ACTGTAAGAGACTGATGACTGTGGTGGCCAATGCTGAGATTTCCAACAGACTTTTATGACACCCAAATCTCAAATCTGAACACCCAACTATCAAATACCAAATACCAAGTCCCTAATATTGAGTATCAAGTCCCAAATATTGACACCCAAATCTCAAATCTCAACACCCAACTATCAAATACCAAATACCAGATACCAAATACCAAGTCCCTAATATCGACTATCAAGTCCTGAATATCAACATCTGAATCTTGAATATAATATTGAGTCCCCAATACCAAGTCCCAAATATCAAGTACAGAGTTCACAATACCAAGTCCCAAACATGGACTACTGAATCTTGAGACCCAACCATCAAATATTGAGTCCCAAATATCGAGACCCCACTATTGAATCCTGAATACTGAATACTGAATACCAAGTGCCACATACCCAGTTCCGAATACTGAGTTCTGCATGTTGAGACCTGAATATTGAATGTTGAATTCCTTGATAGTCAGCTCTTGATATTTGGGTCTCAACATTCAACTATCGACAATTGAATGTCAAGACCTGGTGTATCGAGTTGTGAGTGTGGAGTCCCAAATATTGAGACCCGAATGGTGAATATTGAGTATTGAGTATTGAGATTCAGATATTGAGTCCCGACTATTGACACCCAAATACCAAATGCTGAGTCCTGAATATCAACACCCGAATATTGAATATTGAAACCTGACTCGATAGTCAGGTTTTGATATTCAATATTTGGGTGTTGATATTTGGGACTCAGTATTTGGTATTTGGTATTTGGCATTTGGGACTTGGTATTTGGTATTTGGTATTTGGTATTTGGTATTTGGGACTTGGTATTTGGTATTTGGGTGTCGATAGTTGGGACTCGGTATTTGGTATGTTGGGTCTTGAATATTGACACCTGACTATTGAGTTGGGTTTCAATATTTGATACTCGCTAGTCAGGACTCAATATTCAATATTAGGGACTCAGTATTTGGTATTTGGTATTTGGTATTTGGGTGTCAATATTTGAGACCCAACTATGGAATGACCAATTCCAAATGTCCACTATTGAGTATCAAGTATCAAAGATTGACCATTGAGCATTGAATGTCAAATATTGAATCCTGAATATATCGAGTATCTAGTTCTGACTATCGAGTGTTGAGTTCTGGATATTGAGGCCCGAACATTCAAGATCCTGATATCTAATATCTAGTATTTGACAGTAGGTGCTAACATGGGTAACTACACTTTCCACTTGTTTGATCTTTCACTGTTTGTAATCCACCCTAGCCCATCCACACGACAGAACCCCAGCATAAACATGAATGGAATCCCTCATATACCATGCCCAAGCAATCCAATCCCCTTCCACTGCATGAACCCCATGTCTCACAATCCTTCTGGAAAACACAATCATGCAGCCTGGATCATACCTGAACTCCAGCTGAAGGCTTGGCATGCTCATCCAAGCATTAGAATAATTCCCCATGGTAGTGAGAATGTTGAAGCATTCAGGAATAGATAAATGGTCTCAATGATTGGGGGTTTCCTGATTGGAAATGACGGACAGGCTGTTAAACACAGATGCCCAGTACTGGAGAGTCTCTGACATCTTCAGCAGTTCCTTGCTTTCTGCCTTTTCTCCAAGGCTCAAAAAGACTCACAAACCTGCCCATTACTGCTCAGGATGCATCACCCTGAGTGCCACTGTTGCAATGGCTTTGAGGATCTTCTCAGAGGATGCCCCCTTCAATGATGCAGATACCTCCAGATCCGACTGATTCTAGGGGATTTGTGAGTTTGACTACCAAAATCACCATTGCATCAGATCCTACCTCATGCCCCTGTTGAAACCATCCCAGAGACAAATTGATGCATCTGGGAGTTAAGACATTGTTTTCCAAGCTTGGTTTGAACCACTCTTGATTAGTTCACCAATTGCCATCAAGCTTGACACTTTTTTCGAGGATTGGAGCGAGCAAATCAGAGGCTGCCCAAATTTCCTTCTGTAGGCAACATTTGGTGTTCAATATCCATTGAGTAACAATATATATTACACACCTGGGTGGCATCAGTCAGGGTGTCCATGATGTACCATGCAATGATGGCACCGGATGCATCAAGAATTGTGGCAGGTATCTCGACCAACTTTGTGCCCTCATGGCCAGGAGGACACCTCTCAAGCAACTTCTCCTCTCTCTCTTCATTATGCCTGGTGTCCTTCAGGGAGATCAATTTGCTATATCTTGCAACATCAATCTGCATCTGAACTGTGATGAAGCAATTTGACTGATAAAACCAATTTTCTGAATCTGCAGGAAGACCCACTGGGATTTTTATATGCCTTTATCAGGCAATCAACCAATTGATTGCAAGCCATCACCAGATCAGTGTCTAGGTTCAGAGAAGGTATAACTGGGTCTCCTCCTGTCTTCTCTGCATTGAATTTCTGTTCAGTATATTCACATGCCTCGTGAGTGACAGTCAGGGCCCAAGTGTGCCAGAGGGTTATTTCAATATCAGAAGTGGAAGACACAGTCATGATGGAATTGATCTTGGGAAATTGGATGCCAAACCCTGCATGTCCACACTTTGGAGTTAAAGGGGGTGGAGATAGTGAGGATCAGATAAGGGAGCCTTGCATGATGTTATTTTCCAAAGATGTGTTATTGTCCATTGCTCAATGAAATACCAGATGATTGGAAGTGTGCTGGATATCAGATATTTGTTTGTCAAGACCTGGGCCTCAAATCTCAGTACCCTTCACTCAATGTTTGGTAGTCGGAACTTGGCTTCTTGTAGGGCAATGCATGCCATGTGTATTAGCTACTTGGTAGTTGGTGCTGCATGTTTGTGTCTATACTGGGTGCTCGATTTTCTGGCACTTGTGACCTTCATCATTAGATGACTTTGAATTATTACCTCCTTTGATTTGGATGATATACAACTACCTATGAAACTCATACATTTTTACAACTTTTGAGTTTTGGGTTTTGGGTTTCAATGTTCAGGGTTTGATGTTTGGGCTTCAGGACTCAGTACTCTGTGATTTGAGTTTTGAAATTTGTGTTGATGTTTGAGTTTTGAGTTTCGGGTGTCAGGTTTATGTTTATGTGTGATAACAACTACCTCACCCCACCTGTCAATATAATATATATCACTACCTCAGCCTATATGTCCATACGTCCATATAGTATACAAATACCTTGGCCCTTACATCTATGGACCATCTTCCAAGGTATCGCTGGATTCCAAGTCGACAGGGCACTTGGCTGTACACATACCTTGGCCCTTACATCTATGGACCGTCTTCTGAGGTATCGCTGGATTCCAAGTCAATGGGGCACTTGGCTGTGTTGACTTTGATCAACATTGACAGGATCTGAGTCTGAATGTCATTGATGACTCAGATCAAAGCTAGTGCAACAGCATTGCTCATATGTCCATATAGTATACTGATACCTCGGCCCATACATTTAAATGATATGTATCTGGGCCCACCTGTCTATATGACATCCCCCTATGTCAGCCCACCCATCTATGTCATATACCCTACATTGGCCCACCCATCTATGTAATATACCCTTACATTGGCCCACCCATCTATATAATACATATTTTACCGCCCCATTGGCCCACCCATCTATCTAATATACCCCCACCTCAGCCCACCCATATATATAATAAATATTTCACCACCCCATCAGCCCACCCATCTACAAAATAATACTAATATGTTGGCCCACCCGTCTATATAATAATATCTGCCATACATCTCTCTTCAGCCCAGCTGTCTATCATATATGTCTATCCTAGTCTACATATTGCCCAGATGGGCCCACCCATCTCCATTGGTAATAATATTTCTCCTGGCACATCCACCATCATTAAGGATATTTATAACATTGGCATAGATAGGCCCACCCATCCCCATTGGAAATAATATCCCTCCAGGCCCATCCGTCATAGTCAGGGATATTTTTACCTTTGGCCCATATTATATGGGATATTATGCATGTCTGTTCACTCATATAATACAGAGATAGGTCACTGCAATATGTGATGATGGCGCAAAGCATCTCACATTCATCATTGTAGATGGCTTGAAAGTAATCTGTGTCACTAGCAATTTCTGTGTGGTCATGCTCAGAAAAAAAAAACTGATCTTCTTCAGCTGCTCATCCTTCATGAGGAGGTGGTCTCTATTCTCCTGGTGGAGCACACAATTGAATGCCATTATACACTCAGAATATTCAACCTGCCATAGCAATGTTGCCACTTGAAGGTGAGCAGCTTTGCAACTAGCAAGTACTGCCTTGAATGTTTTGTATAAAGTGTCAAAGTTCATGCATGAGAGACTGCTGGATATTGCATCATCATGCTTTTGAATATATCATGTGTGAACAGTCTAAAACAAAGAAATTAAAGACAAATATCTCTTGAGGGACCTCTTCCGCTGGGGAAAGGTGAATCTCTGGAGAACCTGAATGAGAGGGGGATGGCTTGGGAGAAAATGAATAGTCAGAGCCAGATAAGAGCTCAGTAGCCATAGTATGGAGTGGCTCAAGGTGAGCAACCTTCTGAAAAAAACTCCAAGAGAGTTAATTCAACATAGGTTGCACTACTTGATGTAGTGCTGGTAAAAGCAGGACTGCTTGGTCAAGGAGGTGATGAGACTAGTGATGAAGATACAAATTCCATTGGCCTGCTGCAATGACCATGCACTGTGAAATGTGAGGTCTTTGGACTTTGAAAGACTTCACAGTTTTTGGTAGGTTCAAGTCAAAGCCAAGTCTACACTACAATGTAAGCACTCCCATTGTTCACTTAATGATACTGCACATGCCTTTGGCAGGCTATGTCCCAACTGCAAATTGGGGGAATATTCATCTATTGAGGTGCTTATTTCATATCTCAATTCTCCATCTACTTGTTAGCCATCTGATGTATGACCACAAACATTACCTGTTCCTTCTGTATTCAATCAAGATGGTCAGATGCCTGTCACTGGTATCTGTCACTCACAATCTGGATATGTATATGGCATTGGTAGAAACATGCTGGATAAGTTGGAAGATGATCAGTATGCACATCAGTGGAATATTAGTCCTTATTACCCTTTCCATGATGAAGGTGAATGGGAATTAGGGAAGTTCTTAGTGGAAAATCTTACTCAAACACAAATCACCAAGTTCTTGAAGTTGAAATGGGTAATGAGGAATAATGATCTAAGCTGTACTCCCAACTCTGATATTACCTTCACAGTTTGATATCCAGATTATGCAAGACCATCCTTCACCACAAAGAATCACCTCCTGGACTGGATGGACTCACTGCCTTATTTTATTCCATGGAAGGTCTCTAACATAAAATTTAGAGGCTATATGACCATCCATCCTGTGGAGCTTGTTTGGCATAATGTGCTGGAGGTTGTCAAGCAACTCTTTAGTGATCCAACATTTGCAAACCACATGACCTTTAACCCCCATATTGCTAACACTAAAAATCAGTGCAAATATGGAGACTACATGAGTGCCAATATGGCATGGAAAATTTAGGTTCATTTGCCCTGTTAATATGATCCTCACTGAGTAACAGACTGATTTTATAATTTTTAGGACCATCTCCCATTGGGTACAACTCAAGTCCCAATAATCTTGGGATCCAATAAAATTTCCATAACACAACTTGCTGGAGGAATTGAGATGCACTTAGTCTTCCTCACCATCAGCAACCTTTACACATCCATTTACAAATGAAATAATTGTACTGTAACCACAATGCAGCATTATGCACCATGTTGTTTGATTCTGGAAACTAATGGACTATATCTCAATGCTCTCTTCCTCACATATCATGAGAGAGCAGACTTGGTGAAGATTACAGAAGGTCTCAAATGTGTACTGTAAGAGATGCTTGTCCCAAAAAAATTACAATTATAATACTATACATATTCTATGACATCAGTTCTACCAGGCCAGGCATATCTGATTGAAATGCAGATTTATGGTGACAGGTATAATACTAAACTCCACAGAACTGTGTTTGATGCTGCACTTCACCATGCTTTGGATGGGCTGTAATGGGGCCCATCCAGAATAAGGCACTCTTGATTTTCTTACATGGAGGGGCAGGACTCAGGTAAATGGTATAATATTTGATGATGGCACATGCATTGTTGGATATGCAGTATGCCATAATGCATCCCTCCAGTATAGGTCCATTTTCACTGCAGAAAGGGTTAGGATAAGGCATTAATACAAATCACCTAGACAGTGATACATCAAAGACTTGTGAGACCTTGAACATCATGTGATTTTTGAAGAATGTTGAAAAGAACTCCCTGGTCATCAACCAAGCTAGTGGACCTGTAATAAAATGAGTAGAGATTGCAATGGTTTCATCAAGGATTAACCATTGTCTGAGGATCTTTCTGCTCTGGTGTCAATAGTGCCCTAGATGTCTAACTCACTGACAGTCCAGGGGTTGTATTAAGGTCATGTGCTCAAGGGGGTCGGATCACAAGGGCTTGGCCTCAGCTTGTATGCTGTGCCCCTTTCCTGAGTATGTGCCCTTAATTTCCGGGGGCTAGAACAGTCATCAGGAATTTCTGGGATTTGACTAGGGCAGACAATGGATGTCTGGATGTTACTTGGACAAGTGGATAAGACTAATCCAGATGAAGTCCAGACTAGAAACTAACAGAGGATAGACTAACCTAAGGTAGAGCCAGAGATGTAGTCTAGGATACAATCCTAAGACTCAGAATATGACAAGAGACTTGGCTCAAGTCCGGAGGACACAGGAATGAGCAGGAACTAAGATGATATTCAAACTGAAGTATTTCAAAGAGTTCCAGGAGGTTTATATACTGTAGGTATCATATAGGAATCAGTCAGCTAAACACAAAGGTCATGTACAAAGCATATGCAAAGTCTATTAGTAAGTAGGACAGATCACAAATAATGAATACTGGAAATGAAATGTATGTAACAGATCAATAATCAGAAGGGAAACATAGTTAACCAGAGTCTGGAGACAGGGGAAGTCTAAATGGGGTTGGGTGCTGATATAGGGTTTGGATTCCAGAAGGAAAATAAAGATAGATCAGATCATTGGAGATCCAGAAAAGTGGATTTAGAGTTGAGAGTCTAGAATGGCATATGATAGGTTAAATGTTGATGACTTGGGGTTAGAATTGGTGCTTTATGAAGGGCCTTGCACCATGTCAGTGGCTCCCACTGTGACAATCATATTAGTACTAGGCTTGTATGACTGCATTTGCTGTATTGCCTCAGATAGGTAGAATTCCCCTATACATGGTCTTCACCTGTTGCAGCTAGTCCACACTTTCCTGTGCCATGCACACACTCCCACAGTGCTGTTCATGTTCCTGCACCTCATCCTGTGACTTTACTGTGCTTAGAGCACTATCAGATTCACCCGACATTGTCTTCAAGTGCATTTCCACATGTCCACTCTATCTAGTGTTTTTTCCCATGCTTAGTGTGCTCATAGCACATTAGTTCTTGTGCTCTAGGACCTGCTTTCAGACCAACAGAATCCATCTATTGTCCATCCTACCTCATTGGTACATATTTTGCCTTGCCTTGTGTTTTGTAATGTGTGTTGCAGCCTTATTATATATCTGCATATCCTATTCCTTCTGAGTCTAACAGGGTATAGTTTAGCTAGTATAAAAAGTACCTATAGTTACTACTTTGACTTTTCTTACCTCCTACAGCACTTCCTTATCTTAAAGCCCTCTGGTTGGGCCTGGCCTAGGTTTTTACTAGGCCTGAGCTCTCTGAAGCCAGGCCTGGCACATCACTAGTGGCAAAGGTATATTGTCCCAGTCTTGTGGAGTGTGGTTGCAAATTGTTTGCATACTAGTGGACTAACAACAAAAGAATGACAGCTGAGCATATATTGTTCTGCTGAAATCAATTGTCAAATCCTGCAAGTGATGCAGCAGCACAGTGGTAAAAACATGATAAATAGTACATATACTGCAGCCAATGCTGCATAAATCACAAGTACTACTTTACTTAGTTATATTTGAGCTAAATGTAACTTAAAGTAAATACACTTATGTCCTTGCAAAAATTGGGGGGTCAGAAAGGAGGTCATTAAGCAAAGTGCATAGTTGATATACTGGATGAATTCATATTCAGACCCAGCCAGCAACACCTGTGGTACAATAAGATAATCAGTGGATGATATACTACAGTGGGGTGCTGAGTGCTGAATGCCAGCTGAGTTTTATTTTCAAAGTCTATCAGGATATAAACCCTACCCTTCACATCTATCTTTTTTTTCTGACCATCCATCATCCTCTCACTCATGTACTTTTTTAGTAGGACTATCATATTTCATGCTGTTTGGTTCAGTAGAAGTCAGCACTTTCATGAAACTCATATTCCTAGCTACTTCAATACAAAATTCTTAGCATAGATATCATTATCTCTCTGATAAAACTCATTATGAGGTTGAATGACCATGATTGAAGCAGAATTGAGTAAGATAGTTGAAAGTGCTAAAGTCATGCAGAAATGTCACCCCATGGATTTGTGCCATGACAGGGTTTCAAACTGCATGCAGACTTTGGAGGTGCTGACTGGTTTGCAAGTCTAGCAATAAATTTTCAAGAGATGTGGGTAGTCAAGGAACTCAGGGCAAGAATCAAAGAGTTTCTTACTGACACCAAAATCAGCACTTTGCTAACAAACCACTGCATCATCAACAGGACCCTACAATACAGCATAATTGTCATATCCCATATGCCAGACATAGATCCCATCATATTCCCACGCTTTCTGGACATATCTCCGGACCCCATATCTGACTCATTCCTGGATCCCCTATCCTGTCCACCCTACACACATTCCGTCCAGCAAGACATCCGGACTTTACCTCCTCTTGGATTCTGGACTACATCCACCACCTCACATATCTCAGTCCTGTTTCTGCCCTGCCTTCTGGATCCCCAGATCTCCAGACCTCTGGATATTAACTGTACTATCTCCGGACCTATTCCCACCCTCCGTCTGAGATCCTGCACCTATCTCCATTTAGGCATCTCCCCCTTTCCAGTTCTCGGTTATCTCTGTTTCCATCTTACTGATTGATCCTTGTACTAGTTTCATCTCCAAGTTCATTTACTTATGTTCTGTCTTACTTACCAATGTGTTTCCGCATGCTTGTACATAGCCTTACTCCTTTGCTTACTGATCCTCTTGGATAGTCTCTAGTATATAACCCCTGTACAACTACAGTAGAGTCCTCAGTCTGAATATCATCTTAGATCCTGTTCTACTTGCCAATCATCTTCTGGACTTCAGTTCATCTGAGTCTCGTCCTTTTCCATAAGGCCTAGGGAAGGATTCCCTAGGCCGGAATTCCAGACCTTTGGATTTGTCCCCTATGTCTCTGTCCCAAGTCTAGGGATTGCTTCCCTAGGCTGGAGTCTTGCCTTTCTGGCACTTACCCTCTTTCTGGACTTAGGTCCACTTCCTGTCCCTCTGACTCTACCTTAGGGTAGTCTACCTCTGTTTGCTTCTACATCGGACTTTGTCCGATGTAGCCCCTATTCCTTCCAGACCTCCGGACCTCCTGTCTTCTGTACCTCTGGACGTCCTGTCCCTCATACCTCTGGGTATCCTGTCCTTCAGATGTTCCGCCCTCCATACCTTCAGACATTCCGTCCTCCATACCTCTGGACCTCCTATCCATCCATCCTGTTTTCCTGTAGAAGTATTACCTTGCAGTGGGAACTCTCCTGAGCATTTCCTGCATCCCTCTGGAACTCTCCTGCACTCCTCCAGACATTTCCCACACTCCTCCGGAAGTCCTCCCGCACTCTCCACCAGAGTAGCCAGCCTCCGGAAGTCCTCCAGACTTCATTGGACCATCATCGGACTTCCTCTGAAATGAAGGGCACATACTCGGGTAAGGGGCACAGCATACGAGCTGAGGCCAAGCCCCTCTGAGTCAGTCTCTCTCTCCTTTGAGCATGGTTCTTAACAATAATAATCTATCCATCACTCTCATTACATCATCAAACTTACATAGACAGCTTCAGTATGTGATGTACATAGTTTCCCTTGCCCACCTCAATTTTATATATAAAATACTAATAATGGTCACCCTCATATCTACTGTACTTGCTTACTCACACCAACCTTGCACTCTTGCTTGACTGCCAAGCTGACTTTGAAACCAGCCTATGTCACCACCTGGATTGCCCAATAAGTAAGGCTTATAATACTGGGTGATTAGGTACCTCACCTAGGCTGACAATACTGAATTGCATTACAGCTGTGTGCAAAAAGGTTGACAGTAGTGCATGATGCATGAATACATTAGGAAATAAAATAAAAAAGATATGAACATACTACAATTACATCACAAAGTGTTGTCTTCTTCCCCTAGCTTATTACTATCATATCCTTGATCCCTCTCATCATGCCTTCTATCTTCAAGGAACTTTTTGATACTGCCGTCAAAACTGAACATGAAATTACTCCAACTGTTCCAACTGGCAAAATCCCAGACAGCAAAGCAGAGCAGCCAAATTCAACAGCAGCTGCAAAAAATGAGGATGTCCTCACAAGCAGCCAGCCAAGACCATAGGTGAGTATATGCATTTGTGCCAGTAGAGTACTCAAGGTATCTAACTCTCATGAAGCTTCTGACACAGCCGAAACTGTTGACAGACATATAGAACCAATAAAATCAGCACCAATCACATACTATCTCACCATGTACTTGATTACCCAGATGCAGAAAGCCAAAAAAATCAACAAAAACCAACCAATGCCTTCTTAGTACTTTCCCCTAAGCTTGAGTTCAACACAATCAAGGCACAAATTCTTAAGAAGATCTCAGAGGGTTTGAAACCAAAGACAACTGCCTTTGAACACTACTCTGTTGCATGTACAATACCACAGACTCAAGCATCTTCTATGCCATGGTGTTCACTACCTGATTATCAGTTTCTTCTCAATTCACATCAAAGCAAAAGAATCCCTCTGTTACAATCATGTACGCCCCTATTCATTTTCTCTTTCTTTACCTTGTATTATGTCACAAACCACATGATGCTGCCACTAGACTTATCTCCAATTCATATCTTGTATTACATCACAATTGCCATTGCCATTGCTAGATGGTCTATTCTTGTTATCACTGACGTGTCCTTCCTTATCTCTGACTCATTGTTGATCCCACACCTGCCCTAAACCACCTATGTTTACTATATATAGTCGACAATGTATCTTGTAGTTCTTCACTTTAATCTTACTAGGTTTTACCTGAAACATCCTTTGCTTGAGACCTCCAATCTCTTGTCATCTGAATTGTACTTTAAGTTAGAAGCACTTCTTCTGACTTAGCTTACACTGAACATTTGACTTATTGTCTTGCATAGAATCTTGGCAGAGGTCTTGATTCTTATCAAGTCATCTGTTGTTAGAACTATCCTAGTTCATACAATATAAAGATAAACTCAAATATTCAGCTTCTCAAGAATTGTTAGCTCTGTTCAAAAGCAGCATGCTCCTTAGACTATTGTGTTGTGCACCCCAAGCACTCTGATCACTTTCCATTTGGACATGATCACTTTGCTGTGTGGGCAGCTGCAGGTTTGTATTGTACCATTCTACTGATGAAATCTGCCTATTTGTTCTTCTTTCTTTCTTTTGCAATCTTCCTCAGCTTTTTGTGAGAAATTCCTGTGTGTGAAAACTCTTGGCAGATGGTTGCAGCTCAATGAGAAACAAGTTAGGACAGTGGTTTACAAGTTGAAGTAGATAGTTCACATCATTGAAGGTGAGTACTTGGGGATGACCAGGAGGACCATAGTTGTGTCCAATAACATCTCCTGGTTCACACCAAAGTTTGATCAACTGCCAAAATGTGCTCTCTGAGAAGCCAACACAGGCAAGTATTTGTTCAAGAGACAGTATGTTCTGTTCATGAAGCCCAACAGCTGTGAGTTTGATACCACAACTAATTTTTCAGAATGGCATAGTGGTGAGTGCTGTGATTCATGTTGTCAGGACTTTATTTTATTTTATTTCCTAATGTATTCATGTGTCATGCACTACTGTCAACCTTTTTGTACACAGCTGTAAATCCCAATACCAGCATTGAACACTGCCCTAAATACTATGTAATACCTTAGATGTAGGTACTGTGAGGTCTATATATCAACACCAGCATTAAATAATTCCCTAAACAATGCCCTAAATAATGGCTTATATTGATACCAACATTAAATACTGCCCCAAATAATAATATTTATTAAGTGCTTTTGGCACCACTGGGAGATTCTGATAACTGGATTGTCTAAGTTATTCCTATCTTTACTATTCCCACATGTCCTCCTCCTTGACACTAATGCCAACATTGAGCTGTCCTCTTCTTTGACATTGACATTTAGCTTGCTAACATTGAGTGCCCTTAGAAAGTCTCACATGCACTTCTTCTTAACATTGACATTAAGCTGGTCAACATCAAGTGTCCTTCCCCATACACACTTCTCCTCAACATTGACATTGAGCTTGTCAACCTTGAGCTCTCTCTATCTATCTTTTGCTTCCTCTACCACCTGAACATTAATGAGCTCACCAACATTGACCTAATAGGCAGTTGGTTTTTCCCTGGTGCATCTGTGCTCTCTGTGCTCTATCCCTAGGTGTGTTTGCAACATATTAGCCTCCTTCTCTTTGACTATATCTTTGATTGTTGTAATGCCTGTATCTGCTATATAAAGGAGCTAGAATGGTGCCTTCTCAATAACACCCATCCTCACAGTCTGGAGTGTTGACAGCTGGTAAAAAAAGCCAGCACAGGGAGGAGGTATTTATGAAAAGACAGATGCAATTGCAAGGTACATTTTTCAAACAATATGTTTATCTAGCTCATTCAGATTACATAAATGTCAACTGAGGATCAGAATGCATTTGCAACAATGATATATGACATTGATGTTAAATTCAATGCTGGCCTTCACCAGGGGAAGAAGGATGGATTTTAGCCATGAGGGTGGAGAATACAAGGCCTTTGCTGGTCTATCACACCAAGTTGTGTCACTATCAGGATGGTATGTGCTGTCATTTTATGCAGTTTTTACTCATCAATTTATTTAGTCACTATATAGACCCTTGCACCCATCATAATCACATTGAGATCCAGACTGGGAATTGGAAGAATCAACTTAATGTCCTTGTTGACACATATTTGAATTATTGTAGTCAGGATGAAGGCAATGGTATGCTGAGTATTCCAGAGACTGTCATAATGCCTGATGGGCTTAATTGTCTCTCACTTGCTGACATTGAACTAGTGGACATGTTTGGTGTGTTGCTGCTAATTTTGTCAATTTATTTCTTATCATATATTGTCAATAGGTAGATAAAGAACAACATTACAACCACAACCATTGCACACCTATTCGAACAAAACACTGATTTATCACAGCTATCTTGGCAGCATCAAAGGATGGGCATCATCAACTCATGGAACAGATGCACAAGAAGACTCACAGCAGGCTTGTTCAGACTACTGGATTGATAGAATAGCCACCATCAAGCAGGATGTTGGCAAGTGATATCTTATGGGGATGCCCATCTAAGATTATTACTACTTTCTCAAAATGGCAGTGGACAGCATTGGCAAGATGGACAAAAATTCCATCATATTCATCATCTGTGTGCCTGGTCTTGATGTTATGGGCTGTGTGATTGCATTTAGGATCCTGACAGATGTCCTTCCTAAAGGTATCCCAAGCTGTGAAGTGAATGAGTGGTGAACACTCCTGTTCTGTATCCACTAACACTATCACAACAGGCTCTAATGCCAGTAAGAATGAGTGCTCAAGCACATCTCTAAGATTGGATGCTGTCCTTGGTGCAAGTCCTTTGAGTTGGCCAATCTCAAAAAATTTCTTGCCAACACTGCTGAACAGACACTGGACCTGGCATTCTTGATACAGTGGCTCAAAAAACTGTCCACATGTTTTTGCATTTTTTACTATTTACAATATTGTGTGAGAATACATAAAGACCTCAGTGACATGCTGATACCATATTGTAGTGCTGCTTCAGGGCTTTGGATTGAGCACCACATCGTGAGAATCAGAGGAGATATGGTGGAGATACAAGGCTTACAAAATCATGACTCATGCAGACAGTTTTTTGAGCACATATTAAAACTATATAAATCATCATTTATGACACCATAACAATCATGCCACCATTAAATAAATTATAAAGTGGTGTCATTATGTCATTTTAAAACCATATCTAACTATACAAACCAAAAATTTTCATATGTCATGGTTATATTTACCATGAAAGCCACTCCCCCTGCTCAAAGGGATAATATCCTCTCTCTTTCCTATTCTGGCCTCTCTGCTTGTCAAATTTCCTCTAGAACTGGAGTATCCAAGTCCACTGTGGCCAAGTTCATCAAAGAAAGTCACACAGACAAGGAAAACTTCTGTGAAGGGTGTCCATCCAAGCTCACCTCTACTGATAGGAGGGCTATTATTCAACATATCACTACAGGAAAGGCTGATAATGCTGTCCAGGTCACCTATTACATCAATTCCACCATCACATTCCCTGTCTCTTCACACACTGAGAAACATTCTCAAGACAGCTCATCTCAGGTCAGTAACAAGGAAGAAAAGGCTCTCCTCTCTATCACACATATGCAGAGAGGACTAGCACCCTTCATTTTTCACATATATACCTTGCCATCTGACCCAATCCTATTTATTGTGGTCTTATATGATCATATAACATGCTTTCATTCCATGTAATCCAATTCTGATGGGCTAAGGCAAAGGTTAGTCATCTCTGTTTATGTGTGATAGAGAGGAGAGCCTTTTCTTCCTTGTTACTGACCTGAGATGAGCTGTCTTGAGAATGTTTCTCAGTGTGTGAAGAGACAGGGAATGTGATGGTGGAATTGATGTAATAGGTGACCTGGACAGCATTATCAGCCTTTCCTGTAGTGATATGTTGAATAATAGCCCTCCTATCAGTAGAGGTGAGCTTGGATGGACACCCTTCACAGAAGTTTTCCTTGTCTGTGTGACTTTCTTTGATGAACTTGGCCACAGTGGACTTGGATACTCCAGTTCTAGAGGAAATTTGACAAGCAGAGAGGCCAGAATAGGAAAGAGAGAGGATATTATCCCTTTGAGCAGGGGGAGTGGCTTTCATGGTAAATATAACCATGACATATGAAAATTTTTGGTTTGTATAGTTAGATATGGTTTTAAAATGACATAATGACACCACTTTATAATTTATTTAATGGTGGCATGATTGTTATGGTGTCATAAATGATGATTTATATAGTTTTAATATGTGCTCAAAAAACTGTCTGCATGAGTCATGATTTTGTAAGCCTTGTATCTCCACCATATCTCCTCTGATTCTCACGATGTGGTGCTCAATCCAAAGCCCTGAAGCAGCACTACAATATGGTATCAGCATGTCACTGAGGTCTTTATGTATTCTCACACAATATTGTAAATAGTAAAAAATGCAAAAACATGTGGACAGTTTTTTGAGCCACTGTAAGTGTTCTCATCTGCTGATTGATAAATTATTGATCCAATCTTCAGAATGCAAACAGTGAGAATTACCTGGAGTTGTCTCGTCATTACTACTACCATCTTCTTTGGCAATTGTAGCAAGCTGTATACCACAATTACGAGTTCTTTCCCTGGGTTGCAGGTCTCTAAACAGCTCTAAAACAGCTTGAACAGGTGATTCTGGAGTGATCAGGAGGTGTCCCTGGTTAGATGATTCACAAGCAGGAGCCAACATCTCATCTGTGACAACTTTAGGATTGAAAGGCCATACACCAGTTTTTCGGAATGCAGATTTAATGGTCTCTGGCATGAGTGCGCAAACATGGGCAGCACCATAGATAGCAAGGAAGTTGCTCTTCGTAACTTTCTCTCCTTTCTCACGCTCCCATTTATCTTGTTCTTCTGACCAACACTGTTTAAGGACACCAAACACTGCAATATCTAGGCCCTGATAGATGTGGGTACTGTGTGTGGGATAGCAAAGGACATGAATTTGGTGCTGTCAAGCATACTCCAGGAATGCACAAGTGTAGTGAGAATTATGCCCATCGACAAGAAGTAGGCGAGCACAACCATTCGCTTTTTCACATGTTTGCTTATCAAATTGCTTGATCCAGAGTGCACCAATCTCACCATCAGTCCAACCCTTCTTTGAATAACCAATACTATGAGGAACAATGTTATAGGTGTGATTATGGCATAAGATAACACATGACTCACGATGCTTTGAGTGGATTTTTTTCATTCCACTTTGATTGATATGCCTTTCCCTTGAAGATCACTGCAGGTGCAATTGTACTCCCATCTGCACAGATTGTGACCAAAACAGTAATATTTTCATGATTGCCATTTCGCTGCTGATACTGGACTTGTTTTCCAGCTCCACTGAGAGCTCATTCTTGTGAGCTTCCTCCTCCTGGTTGAATTCCAGTCTCATCAACACCCCAAATACACTCTGGTGCCATGGGTTCACCATTGTCACCACTCTCCAGGACATCCTTCAACATTTCAAACCATGTATTGTTAGTTGTTGGGTTCACAGCATGGTGTAGGGAATGAGAATCCTCTAGGCACATATCACACATATTTTGACTCACAATGACTGATACAGCGCACAACTCACTAGCTATGACTTTCCTGCAAAACACGCCAGAGGTGCAACACTTTCCCACACTATGCAACACATTCCTGCACTTGGTCACACTTTGTTGTGCAGCATCTAGGAGCCTTCATCTATTGTCCAACCAGTTCCCTGGTGCATCCCTTTTCATTCATTTTCATTATCAGACCATTTCTGGGATCATACAATATATTATTCCATCATGGACCCTTACATTACATCACTTACATACATAGAGCACTCCCTGTTTGCTTCCAAGCCCTGGGAGTGCACCTAGGCACAGCTTACCTGTTGCCTAGGAAGTTTTCATAGACCAACCACCACCAGAGAATACACCTACCACCACCACAGAATACAGCGACCACTATCATGTCAGTAGTCACCTAGAGTTAGAATCACCATGAGCCAGCACCCATCAGAGTCGTCGCCCTAGTCCCCCAGCAACAGTCCATTATCACCAGTCATCATTCACCAGTCTTTACACATTTGCGCACCACACGCACTCTATTCCCACGCTTCACACCCTTATGCGCATGACATTCCCATGTGCATGCTCCCAGCGCACTTCACCAGAGTTGACCCGGTGTCACCCAGTGGATCTTGCTTTCCTTGCTTCCCTTAAGGGTCGAACACATTGCTTGGCACACTTTGACCAACACATAGAGAGTCAGTAGCCTTCCTCTCACCCCAGAGGTAGAGGCTTTCTTTCTTTCTTTAGCTCTGCAAGTCTAGCAGAGCTGTTGAACCTTCAACAGCCACAAGCACCATCAAGTGAATGTGCTTGGTAAGTTCATAGATGCTTGGAGTGCTTCACAATGAAATGCTGAGTCCAGTTTTTTCCCACTCCAGACTCCCGGAAGGCATCTCCAAGTCAAGCTCAGCAGATTTCATCAACATGTTCCTTGAGACACTTGTGGCTAAGCAGAAAGCCACATCTAGCCATTTTGACAATGTATTCAAGAACTTTGTCTGTTTCTGTGGGTGTGAGCCAGCTTTTCATGGAGCTATTGAGTTCACTAAGCTGAACTCCTCCCTTGGTGAGATTTGCCAGAGTATTATGATTTAAACTGATTAATTGTCCCATTTCTTTGAGGTATGCCTTCTGAACATCCATACACACTTTATGAAGGCCTTGTTTCTTCTCCAAGCTCAGTTTTGCAAGTTCAGCTTGGTACTTAGCCACGGCACAAGCCATGACTTTCTCTTTCTCCTCATGTGAGACCTGTGCCTTCTTTGTCAATGATTTTGGCCTCCAAACCATGTTGAAAGACTATATGGGTAGTTAGAAGGTATATGTTGAATACTGGCAGTGAATGAGGGATGTTGAGCAAGACTGAGTCAAACCAGCACCTTGTGTCCAAGCTTAGTCTGGGTAACAAACTCATACCATCACTCGTGGATCACAATGTGTAGTAGCACCAATGAAACTTTGACTAAAATCATCTCCACTACTTCCAATACATTTGTAATGCTTGCAGATGAAGTGGAAGGGGTGAATCTGGGTGCAATGTGAGTTTTCAATGCTTGTGAAATTCCAACATATTGCTCTGGAGTGATGTTTTGCAGATTCCGATGATTTTCTAAATTTAAGAATTATATTTTTTGGTACCATTACATAGCAGGACATATTCTGAACATTATGATATAGGATTTGAAAGGAGTTGATGAAGAACTCGTCGAGGAAATTAAATTGTACAGTGAAGTGGTGGTGTACAAAGGACCGTGGGATCACCATACAATAAGGCTTACAAATTGGGCAACCCAGGTGGATTCATGAACTAATGGGCAGTCACCAAGTCACCATAGGGGATAATACTCGCATACAATTATCATTCATTAATCATTTCGAATACTAGTAATCGAGGCTGCAAAATAGTAAAATGACATGTAGATATATCCTGAGTTAGTAAGGCAGAGAGATGAGATATTTATAGGTACAGGTAAGTGCTGCTCCTATATACTGACTGATGATGCCTGGTATCCGGAATACAGATAAGATGGTAAAAAAATAGTCGTCGCCAAGCAGGCCGGCTCAGCTTCGCTAGAGATGGGAAAGTGACGATGCTCGAATTAACAACGAGATCAATACAAAAGCTGTGGACAACATATGAATAGAAAAAGAATTCATCCACGCATATATTTCACTGCGTTCTGTACCCAACACCATCGAAATAACCAGAATCCCGCATAAAGGAGGTCCATCGTTCATCAAGCCTTGAATCCTGCGATACCAGGCCAAGTCCGGCGATCTCTGTAGGCACCGGCCGGCTCTGTTCGCCATGGTATGGGGCCACAGAAGACGAGTTGTACTGATAGGCGTGCGACTGGGAGGAAGGAACTGTAAGCGGAGGCTGACTATACTGCTGCGAAGTTGCACTTGCTGGAGCCCAGTAGGTGGATGAACCTGCAGCAGGTACCGGAACGTGATGCACGGGAGTATATGGATAATCAGAACTCTGGGGCTGTCGCCATGACTGGCTCGAAATGTTAGTGCTTGCACTGGGTGCGGTGGAACTTGAATGATGCATATCAAAACGACCACCACGGTCCGAGGCCGAATGAACCCAGTCAGCTGCAGCCTCCGGGCGATATATTTGTGCGGTTGGTTGCTCGGTGGGACCAGCTACTAGATATGTGTTGCTGTTTGAAGAAGCCACCGGGTAGTCTGCAGGGAGACCTGTAGGTCGTTTCACCGAAAGAAATCTAGTTCTTCCAGCAAAAATATCGAGTTCATCGTCATCTTGCTCCACCTTTACGCTCCATTGCTGACCGAGCCGTTGTGATGGCAGTTCATTCTGAGCAGCAACGAGGGATACATGCGCCTTCTCCCTCAGTTTGGTGATGATTGGCTGCGGTATTGACTCCATTACATAGTGTACCAAGCGCAAAAGGAATGAATACTGACCAGAGCCTTAGCAGCACGTCTGCTATGTGTAGCTGCTCTTGAAAAAAGAAGGCACGCATCGTCCAGTTCCTTCATAGCATTAGACGCCAGTGGAGATTGTGGCCCTCGAGTGACAATTGTCCCAAAGACGATCTGTCTGGCTATCAGCTGCAATCGACGCCGAGACCCAAGATGCTTACGGCTGCAGAAAATGCGAAAGTCCAGATAGTCCAAAAGCGAGAACAGAGACTAGGGCATTCTTGGAACGCTTGTTGGATGGTTCGCAGTATCGTCTGAGACGCCCGGTAAGCAGCTAGGAATGATGGGGCATATGCACTCTTTAACGGATTCACAGGGTTCTCAATGATAGCCTGCGCGAAGAAACTGCGATGAATGTAGAGTAGCACTGAGCAACAGATTAGTCACAATGGCCACACGGTACGAAGACAATATACTTACAGGTTTCTTTAGAGTGAGACATTACAAGACGGCCCATTGATTTTGCAAGACTCACTGGCTCCTCAGTAATTGGGGGCGGCGAGGTACCAGATGCCAAAGCGGCAACATCTGGGAACGGATAATCGCGAACTTTGCGATCGATTTCCATTATTACAGCATAAGTCGGCGCTTCAGCCGTCAACGTACGCGTGGCGACTTCCGCGACGCAGTCAGCCGCATACCTGACACACCATGCTGCGACTATATAGAAAGATCTAGTGGGTAAAGACATGAGAACGTATGTGCAGACTCACATTCTGCGTGACGACCAGATTCCCCGTCGTTTTCGGCGGAAGCTGGAGGCTCAGGGAAACGGCAATCCGCGTAAGGTAAGGAAAAAGTCGGCGGGCGACCGGTGTGTAAGCTCTACGTTGAGGATGTCGATAAAATCATCACAAGGAATCATACGGAAGAGAAGGCTGCGCTTACACTCCAGGCATCAGCGACAAAGAGATCCCAAAAGAGAAGGCGCCGCCTTTGCACAACTTTGGCAGGAAGACCCCACTTGGCACTATCCCGATCTACGGCGCGGAACCCGAGTAAGATTAAATTGTTCCTTGATAGACATGAACAAACATACGAAGACCGATCTAGGCGACCTTTCATCAGGTGAGAATCACACAAATGGAAAGACTACGCACGGATTGGGAGAGATGCGCTGCAAGGATAACCAACGACCATGTCGTCTCCATGCTGGTGTCTTTGGCAGCAAGTTCATTGCCGCTCATAGCGTTGTAAGCACTCAACAGATGAAGTGCCTGAACAGTAACCAAGGTGGGTTTCTCCATGACCGGCTGCAGGCAGATGCTAGCGCGGGCAAGTTGATGGTAGTGCTCAGCCTCAGGGTTGGAGGCATCCTGCGTAAGGTCCACGAGGGCTCCGATAGCAAAGATGAGTAAAAGAAGTCCAAGTTCATGAACTCCTCTGGATTCGTCCGGTGGCGTCGCAGTACTATTTGAGTAATACATTGGGAGTAACTCTCCCATCACTTGTTCTTGAGACACGCTGCGGAATAGCCAGCTAGCTTGCTCGAAATAAGTCTGCGTGAGGAAGTTGGCCCGTTCCAAGGGTGGTAGATGACTTTCTATCAGATCCTGAATAGCTGTTATTGGGCCTATGGGGGTGAAAGGGAAGGCCTGCGTAAACATCCTAAATTCTTGCGGTAATCCAGGGCTCATTGAATCCCTTCCAGATTCAGGACTAGAGGCATCTGCATATTCATCTGAGACGATTTTATCCGACTAATGGGACGGTTGCATAAACCCAGCCATACAAAAAGTAAAATGCGCACCGTCAACAAGCACTATCAGGTGGAATGAATACATGTATTTCACCGAGTGAGAAGGATAGAACACTCACTTCAGGTCCGCCTGTGGGGCCGAAAAAGCGTGATATGCCGTGATCGGCGATGGAAAGTGTTCCAAATGCATCTAGAATCTCTGGAGGATTCGACGGCCCCGCAGCGTTATCTCCAAGCTGAGCAATGGAGCTAATTTCATCTTTTTGATCCGCACCACAAAGGTCGTCACGAAGGAGGGGATGGGGTTCTGCCGAATGCCGTGACTGGAGGTGTCCAAGAGCATCTTCTAATTGGCGGATACGGCCACTCATACTGGCTATCTGACGATGAAGATGCTCAGTGGCAGCCAGAACAAACCTTGTTGCGGGAATTAAGACAATCAAAGCTAGCAAGAGTTGCATTGTGCATACCGAGTCCCCTGTCCAGTAGCCAAGCTGCCTGTAAATGAGATGAGCAAATGGTCAATATAAATAGCATGTCATAGAAAATAGCTTACCATTAGGACACAATGCAGCACAACCTCGTCTCTAAATAGGCGCGTGAAAGCTGTCTGGTTTCAACGTTGACGCTGTGTGACGCGGAGTACTTGCCTGACATGACTGGCAGGGAATCTGCTTGTCACACTTTATCTTGAGCCTTTAGACACATAATGTCAGATTGTCCAAAAAAAAACTTCTTGTGCGAAGGTCGCACCTCCTACACTCGGCGCAAGAGATCTGCCCGTTATTCCTTTTCTGTTCGATTTCGCGGGCATGGCCGCCATCGAAACGCAACTCCTCTCCCTCTCTGCGACTCGACTTGCGCTTCAACTTGCCTTTCGATGTGTCCGGCGGCATGGATAATGCTGGGAGAAAAGGGGACTCAGTTGCCGGAATCAAATGTATTTTCTAGGTGGGAACTTTACAAATACTGACTATTAGTCAAGTACTATGCCGTAGATCAAGTTTGTGAGAAAGTAAGGGCTGTGCCGTTGCAAGCAACCGTGAAAAACAGTAATTCCAGGATAGCAAGAAACTTTATCTACTGCGTAGATTGTAATGTTTTTGCATGCGTGTCGGCCTCAGGATACGTCCAGCACTGAAGACTTTAATTGTATTACCCGCTGCAATTGTTGACACGGAGCTGAGTCGACAATGCCTATATCCGACTCTATCGGGATATTGGTGCAGTCAAACTACCCCTCACTGATCAACACGTTGAACTCATCAAAGACCCCCAATTTCACAGTCAGCGGCGCACACGCATAAGTGGTATTGCCTCATTGTCCCTGAAGGAGCTTTTACCAGCGATTTGGCATTCTTCGGTGCCATTCCTACGAGCACCAGTTAATGACTACTGCGTCTAGTATGTGTAAGTGGCGATTCTTGGCTGCAGGGTGCTCCCCCTCTTGAATGGCACTGGGACCCACGAGGCAGTGTACTAACGAAACCTCGAAACACAAGAGGAAACACGAAGCCCTACTATGTCGTACACGTACACCAAAGATAAGCACTGGTTTTCCTCTAGTAGCTAGAGGCTCCTCTATGGTTTGTAACATGTCCGTCTCCGACGGGCGTGCTTTTCGGATTGAATGAATCAATTCAACGCCACTTTTTTTCCGTGATGGCACGGATCGTATGACAAGCTCGTCCCTATGATGTTACCACCAAGTGTGGTAAATACATTAGTGCCGAATGAATTGGTAATAATGATTGACCAGGACCGCCCAGTTAAACAGTTAATCCATAGTAAAGTTATGAGTTGCTGATACAGACACACTTAAGCTTCGAGGTTGGATGGGCACGGCTGGCAATGTGCCTGCCTCTGGAGCTGGTGTGGACGACTGTCACGACAACGAAGCCTCTAGCCCTACTGACTAAGCTATCCAACCAGTGACAAACACCCGCCTGCACCCCCGCTGGAGGGGTACCCCGGTACTTAGGCAGAGAAGTCTCATACTCTGCGTGACTGCTAAATCTCGCATCCTTGCCATCTACATTTTATATTCAACACCGTGCAATCTTGCAAATGAGTTGAGTTCTTTGGTAGAAGCCTACGACAGCCCGCTACCCACCAGAGAAGATCCGAATAATGTACCCACAGCCGAATTCATGGAAGTGGAGTTTTTGACGTCATGAGAATGCAGGCTATCTGGCCCATCACCTTTCCACCGAATAAACCACTAGGCCAAGCGTTCTAAACAATGCGTTATGAACGTTCGGTGATTCCAGTCAGAAATCTATGACCCCAATTACGTACGGAACTAATGTTTTCGGTACCTAAGAACATAGGGGACGCAAATGTAGCGCAGTCACATTTATTGTGGCGGCTGTGTAGACGAAGAAGGTCCGGACATATGGCCAAATTGATGTGGGTCCGTGACGGCGGCCAGAGTGGATATCCATGGACTATCTTGACTTCCATGCTGATTTATTTTTCTGGAACGATCATGTCAGACAAGGTTCACCTTCACAAGCGGAATATGTTGTAGAGATGTACCCTGCAGTTCGGAAAACGTTGGAATCATCAGCGTCTAGAAGAGTGACCGATCCCTTAGAGAACACATTAGCCTGTGGTGAATGAATTTCATGACAGTGATAATTGCCCGCCTTGGAATACCACGTGTATTCAAGAACCGGTGGTTTGGTGGGTAATGGACGAACAATGCAAGTTGACGCCGAGGCAGGCCAAAACTTTGCGTCCACTGTGAAAAAAAACGTCCACTTCCACATCCTAAAGGGCATTGTTTCTGAGTACAAAAAATGCGAAAAATCAAGAACCAATTCCTCATCTACCGTGCACTAGACAGACATGGACCGCGCCGCCACTCAGCATGCTGCCATATCCAAAACGGCCACGAAACGGACCTACACCCACAAGTGTGGCAGGTGCCGTACCGTTCTTGAATATGACACACACGCCGACTGGCCCACGATCAACCTCCTTGTCAACGAGCACTATTTTGCTTGTCCAATCAAGCTCGACTTTGGCGGGCCTGCTCCATCTCATTTCCCTGCCGAACCTGACGACACACAAAACGCACGGAGTCCTCCACATGACTATAATGAAAACATGGGTGCCGCTGACGGCAGGCACGATGAATCATTCGTCGCAGGTTTTAGCAGGCAGAGGAAAAACGAGGCTCGGCGGAAACAGGAGCTCGAGGACGACGAGTACACCTACAACGTACGACCCACATCCGTCAGGTGCCGTGGGTGTGACAGAGAGATTAGCCTCGACAAGCGCTCGAGGTATTACCCAGGGTTGTGGATGAAACATCGAGGGAAGTGTACAAGACTTCAAAAGATTGAGGTGAGCTAATTTCTCCCAAGAATGGAACGAGTAACTAACTCAATTTTATAGAACGAGAAACTCGCCCGAAGTGGAGACGGATTTTGTCCGTCAAATGCAGAACGGCGCCCGACAGGTGCTAGCTCGTTTGAGCTAGATAACCCCCGAACTGACGGCATTTTGCGGGCGGCGAACTCTGTTGAGTACAATGCACCACGACCAATGGGACTCCCGGATGACGAAGATCCGGAGGAGGGAGATCGGGATCACATCCCTTTCAGTAGTAAGTCGGTCCTCGATATGAGCAAGCACTATGTTCACTACGGAGTTCGCACTGTAGCATTGAACCAGCAATTTTATAACGAGTGCTGGCAAAGGGGAGACAGGCCGTGGAAGTACCGGTACGCCACCACGAAGGAAATCATGGAGCAAACATTGGGCGACATTAGATACTAATAATGTGGTGAATATCAATGCCAAAATTCCGGGTATGCATACTTACCAACCCCGTGTTATGTGTACTTACTAGTACCGAACGACCGCATGGCGTTTTGCTGTTAAAGCGCTCCTTGCTGGCAACTAACGTCATAAACTTTCCTGCTGAACTACAGACATTATATGGGCTCCAAAAACGTCGTGGCGTTCGTTCTAAAAACAACTTCTCCAAGTTGGTGGGGTTCTGCATGATAAGATCACTAGACAAACGAGTAACGTGGAAAATAATATTACTTACATATACTTATACACGTTGCCCTTTGATCCTGCAAAATCGTGCCAAATTTCATTATGCTGTAAACTTGCAGTCACTGTCACTGCCTCTGTCCTCGAGGCTTCAATGCACAAGGATTCGGCACTATCCCCTCCAGGTAATGTAGAACCTTCCTCTTGACCAGCAAGATGTCTTCTCGACCATACTTCGAGACTGTCAAAGTACTATCACTCACCTCGCCGCATTTCGCAGACTAACTCGCATAGTCATTTGTAGACGTTCCAATCACCGTTAATGGTGTGGAAACCTCGGTTTTTTTGGAAGCCTCTGAAGGGCTCGTTCAATTGTTCGGTATGATATAATAATTACGTCCGGCAATCGGTTTTCGCTTCAAATGCGCTGTTGTTCTAGATTTGCTTGGCTCAGGCGTATTCGGTTTTGTTCAGAGTGATATAAAGGGCAATATAGGGGAACGTCCTCCGCTCTGCCTAGCCCTATACCAACCCTCATACTTTTTCCCGCGATATAGGGTGTACGAACTCGCTACCAGGCTGATTCTTCGCGTTGCTCCACACTTGAGAATCTTGTCAGAAGCGAAGCATTATTAGAGCATCGACATGGCACCGGTTGTCTGATACGCCTGACCCGGTATGTTCGACCCTTTAATATCATGTGTCACTGATCAGTACCGTTATTCCTCTAGTGGTTTGACATTCCTATGTAAAGGTCATTCTATCCCCGTCTGTGTAGTCATAGAAGGCAACTGACTCGGACGAATTAGCTCTTCAACACATGCAGAATGATCCTTCGATAGAGTTGCACGTGTGCTTCAAACGTTCATACGACGAAGTCTTAAGACCCCATCATACTTTTTTCGTACGGTCTCTAGCCGCCGTACGTCATTGTCTGCTTCCCTGTGCATGTGGTTCCTGATCGTTTGCGGCACTTTCAGGTTGCTGTTCGGGCAGCGCCGTATCGCCGTGACTTCTATGCTCGTATATCGCAAGGAGCGCCCATGGAAAAATTAGACGCGGAGCTAGCAAAATGGCTGTCTGGACTTGATGTAATTGTGAAGCGCCTCAAGAGGTTCATCGAGGAAGAAGGATACGGAAGGATATGATGTGGTGATAATTCTGTGGAGAATCCTGCCAATCTGGATTGATATCGAAGAATAGACATGCCGCACTAGCGCTGGGAGTTTCAAGTTTCATAATTAAGAAGGCTGGGACGCCGCCGGGTCAGTTTTAAGCACCTAACAGCGAATCTAAGCGCCTGTTGTGGTTTGCAGCTGGGTACTCGCGAAGTATATTTTTACTTAATCAAACGAAGAGTCCGCGGAAACGAGGTCACCCCTCGATAGTATCGATAGAGACGGTAAGCTCGTGTTACATCCCCCAATGCCGTTCTTCTGAGTGTGTCGCGAACTGTATACAAGGTTTCACTACTGATATCATATCATGGCAACATGCATGGGTTTATTAAATGATCCAATGAAGGTTTAGGGGGAAGACCAGGGAAGACCACAGAAGTCGTGTCACTTGCCATGAAATAACCATGTTGGAAAGGGGCAGCTAAAATATCTTGTGACACAGGCGCCAACGAGAGCCGAAAAGGGGAGTCTTCGTGCCTCAATCAAGCATGGTATTGTGATCGACAACTAAGTCCTTGGCCACAATGTACGTACATATGTATCCGAAAAGGAAATTTTCCGTCTTTTCGGAAATCAACCGACGGCAACTTTTGTTGTGTTGTATTTGAGATCTGCGGGGAAGTTAAGCCACAGGTCGTGGGTTTCTAGACTCACGACGCAGGTTTGCAAAGAATATCGGGCAATCCTTTTAAAATACGCGGTAATTGGTTCAGGAGGCCGAAAAACTTACCATATGGCTACATGTGTTTTTTTTTCTTGTGCGGCGATAGATGTGAATACTACGTGGCGGTTGGGTTCCGAACACGCAGTTATACCAAGAATTTCCTGAACATTCAAGATTTCTTCACACGACAAACAGGAAAAACACAAACATTTGAATAGATGATGTCCACATGGGTTCGGTGTATTTCCCGAACTAAGCAAAGTCTCCCAATGCCGCAATTGCCGTATAAGCCGCCGGATGCGATGAGATTGGAGATCGCCGACAAACGAAAGTGATAGCACAATGTCCAAGGTACGAAACATGCAATGATAGATGAATGTGGGACAAGCTTGTTGTAGAAGTGGTGATAACGGGGGACACGCCTGACGGGGACGAGGGTGTGGACTGGGCCGAGCAAAGACAGAATTTCCGTCTTAGGCCCGAATCGGTAAGGCCGGTGAGTGAGTAGCATGGAAGTCCACAATGATACCGTCTTAGTCATTTGTCTAGCCCAGTTGAACTAAGCGACATCCATTGCAATGCAGCGTTTAGCTCCGACATCATACATCATGACCGAGAGAATCGCATCGATGATGAACGATCGATAGAACAGCGGAGTTGGGGTTTCAATCGTGATTCAGAACAAAGTCCTTTTGATGGAAACGTGTCAAGAGAAAAGTACACAGCACTAGTTAACGTTTCAGCACCAGAACAACATATTATGGTTACTTGCCACGCTTGCACTATCCGGGTCAAAACATCCAATTTAAGTGACATTCCATGGTATGTCATAATAAGTTTGACACCGAGTCGGAGAGGAAGCAGAATCAGGTGTTCGTCGAGGTTAATTTATTCAGGTACAAAACCTTTTTCGATGTTTTCGCCGGCCGTGGGAAATGAAATGTTGTTATGTTTCTGGAAGTGCCGGATCTGTGACATATATTTTCTCTGTAAATACGTTTTGGCACCCGAACAGCAGCTTACACATATTAACCCTTCCCGACTTCCCTCAACATCATACCTAATTCTCTCCCAACTTCTGCCTCCTCATATTCCCAATCGTCCACCGTTGCTTGATGGCAGAGGCTATGGATGTGGATGACCATAAGTATTTGTCTGCCCTTCCCATCCCCCAATTATTTCACCGCTAATTGATAACACCAGGTCCGATTCCTCTCCTCCTCCGAGTCGAGAGCTGCCTCCTGAATCATCTCCGTATGATTTTATTCGATCCTATGATCACTTTCATCAATTGTTCTACAGAAATTCCCGAAAGCGGAAAACCCCTCCAGAACGAGGGGATTCTGCTGACGCTGAAGGCGAGAGTGTAGACGACTCAGTTGCCGTTCCAAAAGGCGAGTATGAAACTGGTCGTGTCATGTGCGAAGTCTGCGGTGAGGGTGTCTCGTTTCGTGACGAAGCAACCCGCGGGTTTACCCTGAAACACTGGGACGCCCACCGCCAACAATGGTATCGATGCTGCCTTGATCAATATTTGTTTTCTGATGTGTTCCGACAGTGCCAACACCACTCAGGCCGTGCCCGAGCCTGTTATCTACACTCCGGAAAGTACGGCCGAGGCTCTTGCCAACCCTCCCGCCAAACGACGGCGTGCCAAGCGTACTGAAGAGGAACGAATTGACTACCTCAGGGCGGATCCTTACGTTGCACAGTTTGAGGCATATCGTGTATTATGTGCATCGTGTGACAAGTGGATCCGGCTCCGTCCTAATTCCACATATTGCTCCATCCCTTGGGATGCTCACCGGAAGAGCTGCTTGTCAAAAAAAATGTAAGCGAATCCGTACCCTCTCTTTTCATTTCGGCACTCACGTATCTCCAGTAACAACAAGAATGGTTGTGCTCTCGAAGAGAGAAATTCATTGCTCTCCAAAGACCCGGACGTCCGCAAGTTTGATGCCGAGCGGGTATTATGCAACACTTGCGACCGTTGGATCCAAGTCAGCCCTGAAAACCACATGCAGGCAGTCCAAAAGTGGCTGCATCACAAGTCGTCCTGTCAAAAAGGCGTTGGACAGTCTTCCGCGTCTCAAGCGGAAGCTTCATCGTCTCAGTGAGCTACTCAGTCTGATATTTTATTTTGCTTTCTCATTCCTATATTTTTTATCAAGGCCACCAAAATCCGACACAGCAGCCCGAGAAGGTCAACCGCATGTGCCTGCAATTTCGAGACGTCCTTCGGGCTCTCCAGTCCATGGAAAAATTCCCGTCCCGCCGACAATACCATGCTCGCCGTCTTCATCCTTCAAGGATTTGACACCCACCAATTTTCCAGCTCATGAATCCCGTCGACGAAATGCCGAACAACGAGCCGCAACTCTCAAGGCTGATCCCCTAGTTGAAGAGGTTGAGCCGAACAGAGTTTTCTGTTCTCTTTGTAAGAAGTGGGTCCAGCTTCGCCAAGACAGTTCTTACTGCGCGTATCCATGGATACAGCATCGAGGAAAGTGTCTCGCCCGACAGTGAGTGTTTTCACTATTGTTACCACGTCTGCTTTCTCGCGCGTCCCACACATTATCCACTGACACCAACTGCTTCCTTCTTTCAGTCAGAGGCGAGCTCAGAAAGCTGCAGAAGTTGCGGAGATTAGAGCCAAAGGTGGCACATCCCATCCTGACGATGGAAGCTTGTCAGACGATGATGCGTCTGCCGAAGACGAACTAGAGTCAGAGGAACCATACGACACCCAAGACCTACCCATGGATGATAAGCGCAAAGCCAAGATTTCGGATTTTCGGTCTCTTTACACTATGAAGAAACAACGATTAGACAATGGAAATAGCCGCACAGGCTCCGCTTGGGTTGGCCCTGATAATGCCTCCACTAGCAAGAGATCATCGCAAAGCGTCCGCTCTATCCGCCCAAAGGGAAGAGCTGATAGCGACCTACATGCGCCGACGGAAGCTTCCGGGTCGGCGAGCCGTTTGAACCGCCGTCTTGTACTTGGGTTTGCTGACTTAACCACCGTTCCTGGCCGGTACGTTTCTCCCACTAGCTGAACTTGGTATTTCTAAATAATGGTGCTGATGAGCCTGCTACCAGGATGGATTTCATTTTTTCGTCAATCGCATACTTATTTATGACCACTTATGACAGCACGGATGACATGACCATATCTTCCCTGTTGACCTACTTAAACTCTGCTATACCTGCCGACAAACATGAGGACTTCGACACAGCCGAAGTCGTCAAAGCAGCAGCGGCCTTGCAGGACCGTGGTGACATCATCTTTGAAGGCGACATGTTACGCCTTCCAGAATAGCGGGCAATTCCGGACGCTGCAATTCTTGTGCATATATGTATACCTATTTTCTCGATTTGCATTTCTTGGACTTCCACTCCGGCTGTGCACTCATTGTTATTAGCTCTGCATCCATAACCTCTTTTTGTTCGACTTCACCGACGACAATTGCATCGAAAGTGTATTTACCGCTCATACCACCGACATCTTGTATCATTGCTGATTTTCTTGAATGCGATGTGTTATATGCATCGCATACATTACTAATTGGGATTGCAGAATCCTGATATCGCGCGAGAAGGCTGTGAACAATTCCACGTCTCCACGGCCTTGAAACCGCAAAAGGGAAATACTACTGGTACACAATAACGATGTTGAAACAATTGGCATACACTGGACCACCCCAGACAAGTTCGTTGAACCATAAACAAAGGCATCCCCGCTGGCTACCGATTTTGTCGCTTGTTCGTCTTCTTTGATCGACCTGGGGCCTAGCACCGACTCGAGGTATGATGACAGGCGATGAGAGAAAACACCAACCTTGTCTGCGGTCCTCTCCATTTCCGGATATTTTGAATTTTTCTTTCACGGTCAAATTGCGTGCTGGTAACCGGAACGGCACGGGTAGAGTACTTACCGGTCGCCTTGCTGGTCTTGTCGACTCTTCTTCATTGAGAGAGATCGTTCGCTTCCCTTGACGCATTGCGAGGTCGTTCTCGTCTTCAAACTCTCCAATATCGGAGTCACCGTTCGCCAACCTTTCGAGTGGAATCCGGTCGGCACGTCGAATTTCTTTGATAGCTGAATGGTTCGTTGCCTCATGTGCACCTGCGGAATATTTTAGCTAAGTCTCATTTTCCAAGCATGGAAATGCACCGGAATTCTGTTGATCCCCGAGCCCGGATGGGGGCTCATTCCAGAAAGTTTCATCTTGCTTATCGCCCCTTGAGCTTCCGACTTGTGGCTGCGAAAAATCAAGGTCAGCTGCACATTGTTTATCAAGGGTGTGTTCCTTACAAGTTCCCTAATGCGACGGGCTAGACTTGCTTCTAATTGCATGATACGAGCTTCATGTTGTTTGATGAGGTTGTCTCTCTAAAACCATAAGGGATCGGTGACAAATCAGAGGAAGCGAAGACCAACCCTTCGAATGTCATTGTTCTTTTCCACTAGCTCGCGCTCAAAGACTTCTCTGGCTTTTTGGGCAAGGTTCTGGACCAAGGTCCATTCATTGTCATTCTAAAGCGAACGAGGTGAACAGCCACCGAACAATTATACCCGTCTTACCAGGTCATTTTGTTTATGGCGGACGGTGATGTTCGTCGATCTTTGGAGAAGTTGCGTTTCGGATTGTTCAAGCTCGCGAATACGCGTCTTCAGAACAAGGAGTTCTTGTTCGTGCAGATCAGAAGGGGTTTCGGCAATAGCCAGGCGCTGGGTCAGTTCGGATATGACTTGTTGCTTCTCACCCAGCTCGCCGCGCTGGGAGTCTGTTTTAGAGTTTAGCTCCTTGATTCGTCGCTCGGCATCGCGAGCGCGTTGTTCCGCAATTTGCTCTGTGGCTTGTTGAATGCCCTGCTGTCGGGAAAGGTCTATCTGGCAGTCTAAAAGTTCCTTTCGAAGGCTGCCAACCAAGTCCCGTTCGGCGGCTATGGTGACAGTGGCTTCGTCGAGTCTACGCTGCAATGAGCGTTCACGCTCCTCCACAACACTGGCGCGGTTGATAGTTTCCGCCAAGTTTCCGTTCAGAGCCTATGTCACGCAATGAATGTGCTGGTAGACATGTCACCGGAGTACACGCTACCAAAATTGTGTCATTCGTGGATTGCAGACGATCCTGTAGACAGGTGAGCTCAGCTCACGACGAAGAAAGCGCAGGATTACCTGAACTTCGCCGACGCTTTCCTTGGTGAGCCTGAGAGTAACGGACTGGTCGTCGTAACGTTCCTGGAGAACCTGGGACAAGGTAAATATGAGGACCGGATGACACGAAGCTGACCTTTAGCGACGTTCGCGTTTCTGCGAATCTAATTGTAATGGTCAACGATTTCGTTGTGAGAAGAGTGCTTGAACTACCTTTCGTGGTAGCTCTCCATCTCTCGCTTCGCATCTGCCAGCTGCGCGTGTGAGGTTTCGAGTTTGTCAAGGAGCGTGTCGCGCTCCGACACGAGCCTTGCACTCTGGGCTGATAGCTCCCTTTCTGTGTTCCGGATATCTACCAGCCCCACTTCAGCAATCTGGAGTCGCTCCCCGATAGATTCGCTTTCGGAAGTGAGGCGCGCATTCTGCTGAACTAGAGTTTTCTCAAGATCTTTTGAGACTTCCAAGCGCGATTCAAGGTCTTGCGATCTATTGTGAGCATGCACCAACTCCGCCTCCGCCTTCTGTAACCTGAGTGTCGATATTAGTAGGCACTATCGGTAAATTTTGGCAAGACTGACCTCCCCTCTAGGTCCTTCATGTGTTGTTCCTGGAACGTGACAGTGTTCTGCAGGATCCGAGTTTGCGCTTTACGATCATTCATAGCTTCTTCAAATTTGGATATTCTAAGAATGTTGTGTTACCAGCAGATGAATTGCCAAAAATGCACAATCATACTCCTGTCTCATAGATTCCATCTCTTGTCGCATGGAATGCACCATCGCCTCGCGTTCTTGCAAGCTGCCGCGCACAGAGTTAGGCAAAACATCATATGACAATTAGGTGTGTTCATTACCGTGACTGGCTGTGAGCTAGCCGGTCCTCCGCTTGCGCAAGTCCGCTGAGAGCATCAATTATTTCATGCTTCTGGAGCTTCAGGTACTCAGCCATATCTACAACACGCCCGGCTGGATGGCCATGAGAATCGCTATTCATCAAGATGACAATCACCGAACTTACAGGTTCGCTCAAGATCCGATGTTGTCGAGGCAATCAACTTTCTGTCGTTCCAAAAATGTTCCTCCAGTTCCGCAACGCGCGCCCGGGCATCTATTAGCTCAGAACCCATATTTTGCAATTTTTCACGCAGGAGATCGGCCACCTGTTGAGCTGCACACATAATGTGCCGTACTGATTTCTCATAGGAAGGTGCAACTCACTCCGAGTAAGCTCAGCCTGTAGCTCGTTTACGACTGTCCTTGTTTGGCCCACACTGGGCAGATGCCCAGTATCGTCCAGGAACACTTTAATTATTCGAAGTCACAACGGAAACAAGGATGATAGTTCGGAGAATGGACTGACCTTGGAGGCCGGTACGAGCGGCGTCCCGGAGCTCCTCAAGGCTTTCCATCGTCTTTCGGGCATCGTTCACCAAGGTGGATGACGCTTGAAATCTGATTCGGAGCGCCTCATAAGAGTCTCTGAGTTCGACACAACTGCATGGAATCAGCGAATGGGAAACAGATACACGAGATATTTAGAAACCTCATGTTAGCCTTGTCAATTGCTTCCTTGGTTGTCGATTTAAGTTGAGCAATTCGTCGAGATAGTTCTGAGTTCTGATGAGAGGCGTCCGATGCCTGACGAGACAACTCCGTATTCTGTCGCGAGAGATCGGCGACGAGTTTAGTCTTAATACTAAGCTGGGATTCTAGTTCGGCGTTATGTTCCCGCTGTAATGGTGTTGATAGACGTTGTGCTATAGAAAACTGAAGAGGGTCAGCTTACCAGTTTCGCGAGGTCAGCCTTTGCTTGACGACTATTGCTAGCAATTTTTGTGATGATGTCCTCTTCGGTCATATCACTCTCAAGGACACCTAAACCTGATTGAGAACCGATTTTTTCTGTGGTCGTCTTTAAATGTCGATATTCTGCAGGAAAATGTTGAGAAGGTTGCTTTCCGAGCATTTTAAACTGGTATCTATCGATATCTGGAAAAATGACATTAAATGATAACATTTCAGGCGCATATAATCACCGTGTTCCTCTTTTTTCACCTCCACGTTGGGACGCTACAATGATATAATACATTTTCAGAACCAACTTAAGAGTATATGCAGCATACCCTTGCTGAAAATACACCATTTGTGTCATAGAAAGAAGACGATTGCTGAGAACTTGGACTGTGTGACTCCAGGCGGGAAGTTGTCGTATTGAACTTGAAACTGGGCAAATGGTGGCTAGATTCAGCCGACCCCCTGGAGGCTGCATTCTCTACAAGATTGGAGCTCCGTGTGAGTGCAAATGCTCGTTGTGAGCCGTTGCTAAATGTCGAGACTACAGATTTTTGTTCAGTGTGCCCAGGTTGTGGAGTCATGAACAGAGGCTTTTGACCGTTACTGTTGTCGGTTTGATTTTGGCGTGGTGTAGAGAATAGAGTCACTCTGTGTCCTTGGTGAGGCTTCATTGAAGGTGCAGGTGAGATGTAGTAGTGGTTCCTAGTCAAGCGAGGATTAATATCTGTACGGACATTGTCGACGCGCGTAATTGAATCACGTGACGCGCGTGATTAAAATAATCGCCGGCACAGGTGACACCTTCGCATTAAATTGCTCTTACGGGGTACTATAGGTAGTATGTGTTTCAGGTGAATAAATAAGTGGTGTTTTGACGGGATTGCAAGGGTTAAACGTTAAACATACTACGAAGTATCATTCAAGTCCGCAACCACAGCTGCTAAGATTTGGACAAGGTGCAGAAGGATATTGAGTCTGATCACGAACAGTAGCGAATGCAATGAAGGCATTTATCCATGCAGGTGTTATAGTGCCATTTCCCTCGAGTATCGCTGCACCTGTGAATCAGAGGTCTGCTGTGATAAGAAGAGCGGGAGGGACGAGAGTCTATTGAACAAGTACAATCTCAGTGTCTTGGAAAGAACTCTTGTTAAGGGTTCGTCTACCTATTGAACAAGTACACTACATCGCGTTAGACTTCGTATTGTATAGGTGACGAATTCCTACTCACATCTCAGTGTCTTGGAAAAGAACTGAGATGCCAGGACGCAGCTACTGGTGTTTTAAGGTAAGTATAGCCTCAGAAAAATAATAGGACGCGAAGTCACGCGCGCTGCCTTGTCCTTTGGCTTTGCGGCACTCTCACTACTGGGTGCAATCCATCGGTCTTCCTTGTCTCAGTCAACAAGGTCATATGATTGCCTCATGGAAATTGCGGCACATAAAATTCAGTGATTGTTCTAAAGATTATCACGCACCCATCCCCATTCCCCTAGCATTGCGGAGCTAAAATCCTCTTAAATTTGATTGGAATAACAACAGACGCAATATTAAGCTGCCTGTTCATGCGAGTTGACCGTCCAAATTGTACGGCGCCAACGAACTGTTTATAGGTGCGAAGTCAAACGTTTTAAACCATGAGGCTGGCCAAAATAATCGTTATGAGGTCGAGTACGGACACTATGATGACATGGGGATACTTACTCGACATCCCTTCAAGTGCTCCGAGTTTCAGAAGGACTCTCAGCCATGACGATCGCGAAGCCACTAAGGTGGTTAGTCTCATAGTTACACAGTCTGGCTCCAAAGGACTCATGCATCGACTTGGGGATGTGACTATCGGAGGATGAGCAAACCAAATAAAAAAAACAGATCGGGACGCTCACTAGTGCAAAAACCGAGGACCACAATTATCTGTAACCCACCGTATGACCATTTGTTGCCTTGACCACTGCTAGAGACAACGTCCCTGCGCACAGGATTTAGATAGTTGAAGGCACTCCGGCTGGCGCCACCTAATTGGGTTGTAGCGCCCTCCTCTGGCAGCCTTTTAGTTCGTGTCTGAAATCCAGTAGGTCGTTACTTATCTGCACCTGCCACGCCTCGGAGATTGCAGTGCAATTTGTGTTCCTAGGCTATCCCACATTGACGATGCACTTATCTGCATCATTGATATTGATGGCATTGTTGATGGACGGTCCACACCAGTCCACATGGCTGAAAGTTGGCTAAGTAGGCCCTACTGGGTCCGAACCGAGTAGCTGATAGTCTAAGAAAGGTGTATGCTTATAAACGTTTACGCTAACCCAGACTACAGTGTGTGAGAGAATGTGTGTATTTATAGACCACTAAAACTCAGTGTTAAGATGCGGTGCCCTGCGGGCTGCACTGGTACAAGAAAGGCTACATAAACCTGGTAGCGTCAATCAAAGATGCTTTACTCAAAGGGATAGGATCTTCGCCAACTATGTGGCTGACAACCTGACCTGTAGGATCTACACTAGCTTACCCTGTTCATTTTAGCTTCAGTGAACCTCATATACCAGAAATACCCCGGACCGTCGGAATCATGCCCAATGACTAGGAGTTATTGGGGTAGCGCAGTGGTCTGACAGAGCATAGCCAGCTTCCGTAGCAACCAACTGTAGGGTAAGGACTCATTGCAATTGGTCGTACTGGTAGTAGTCTCTTCATGAACGTACTGCCTTGGGCAATAGCCTCAATGCGCAGTCCAACGATGAGCAGAAACGACCATAAAATGGATCAACGCATTGCGCCCTAGAGATAGCACAATTACTGTTACAGCCATATTACCACATGCCCCTCCTCCATAAGCTACAGATAAGTTATTAAATGGAGGAATAAAAACAGATAAGACGCTCGAAAATAAATCATTATCATATGAAGGACAGATGGTTGGATACCTTTTAAAAACTAGAGGTGGCAAATGAAAGAGGGGTATAGCGCGCAGAAGCAATCGGAATTAAAAAGTTTGAATGCTCGATGATGTTGTAAATCATGTAAGTGTGGTCGCGTTGAAGAAATTCGGGCGTGATGTTGTCGTATTTAAGGAATCCAGGCGTGATGTTGTTGTATTGAAGGAACCCAGGCGTGCTTGAGTAGATGGCTGATTCGAAGGACATAGCGAGGCCCAAGATGCTAGAAAGTTCGGTTAGCGTGTTTGGGACAACTAGCGCGGCACCCATACCTGGAATGCTCGCATTGACGTCGGCAAGTCGGTCCCGAGCTTCGGCCATGACCACCGCAAAGCCGCTACATAACAATCAGTTCGTAGCTCAAACATTACCTGTGGATACGTACTGGTTCAAATGGAAGTCGATGTGACTGGCAAATATGTCATGAAAGGTGTATCATGGAATGTAACGAGAATACATGCTCACCAATGGATAAACCACGGTCCAGAATTGTCCGTGACGAAACGTATTGTAACGTTATCCCCTGTCGACCCCATACTTACGGTGTCTCTCCAGATTGGGTTGACGAAGTTTGTTGTACTGTTTCCCGAAGTTCTAACAACGGCAAAAGTGTGCTGTCAAGTGCATTAGAACGGTGAATCACACAGAGAAATGACAGAACGACGCACTCCGTGAAGGTGGATAGGATGCTATAATGATGCTGAGTGACAGGAGTGAGAAACACTAGAGCGCACTTACTGGACCTCCGAGAGCTAAACCTGTGTTGGGCAAGGCAATCTCCACTACCTTATTTGAGGGAAGCTCATATACGCTTCCACTCGGCAGCAGGTCTGAGGGATGTTGCGCCCCACTGAGCATTTGCAACAAAACCGGCGTCGGAGGGTTGTGGTACGAAATATTGTTGATCCTGAAGATACCATTCACAGTGGTGGCGAGTAAGTTGATGTGGACGTCTGCTTTGCCGATCTCAGGGGAACCGGGGACAGGAATGCTGAGCAAAGATGCAAGCTTCCCTTCGTTGAATGGTAAGATGTAGGGTCCAGGAGTGCTCGTGGGGTCTTCATCAGGCGCGCCGTTGTACCTGAGGATGGCTTGATTCAAGCCGCCTGCAAACGTCTGGTTTGGAAAATTGGATGGCGCGCGAACCCAATAATTATCCACAGGCTGGTTCGCGTAAACGACGACAGAGTAGCGTTGGCCAGCGAGCACTGGAAGCGAATCCACAGTCTCAGGGACAGTTTCGATGCCGTCTGCCTCAATGATCGTCATGGTATGGCCATCGATGGTGAAGTTATATGATGGGTCACAAGAAAGACCGATGATGCGGAACCTGTAACGCTTGCCCTGCTCAACATTGATGACAGAAAGAGGTGATTTGGGTCCACCACGGTAGCGCCCCAGACCATTGATAAGGGTGGAGTTGGAGGTGACAGGGCCGAAAATTTTGTTTAACTTGGGCGTAGGATCGTGGTACCTGAAGGAACTTGTGAGATTTGGAATGCAAAAGGCTGACAAGACAACTCGTACCAGTCGGAAAGCGTGATTATTGTGTTCTCTATGCCAAGGCTGATCAATGCTTGGTCTAAACATGGAAGTAAAGATACAAACCGTCATCTACGTCATATAAGTCTTGATGGGGATCCTCAGGGTCATATATGACAAGTGGTCCTCTAAGACCGTCACCTGGACGTAAAGCTGTGTAACATGGATCGCATAGATAGTTATGGACACTCACAATACTGGGTGGAAAAGTGCGAGTGATACCTATCGTAAGACATACTCTAGCATTCCTTCTCCACAGGAAATAGGAGCACGCACCAAAAAGTTCCAGTCTGGTTGGGTGCGCTGAATTCGTGGAGGAAAGATCGATTTTGAGGAATTGGACACTGAGTGATGAACGATGCGCCATCTGCCCAGTTCGTCTTCTTTTGTTGGATGCCATGCCAATGCTTTGAAGGGCATCAGGGAACTTGAGGTGAGAAAAAAAGTAAAGCGCTTACTACGCTCGTCGACAAAGGCATATTTTTGTCATGTAACCTGTTCACGACATTGATGCTAAAGTTGTCATTCTTCGAAAAATCAGAAGCGGACGATAATTAAATACTCGCGCGAACCTTCTGCGCTTTAATGAGAGGGCCGGGAAAAATCCCTCCTGCGAGTGTTGCCCTATACAGGATAAAGATGAAGACGCGCAAGGGAAAATGTAAGCATTAACTCACGACCGTGCAAAGCCGTCAGGCGCAATTACCCTATTGACGACGACGAGTTCAGTGACAGGTTTGATGGTGAACGGGGGCGCGCTAGACGGTAAGTCATCATAGTTGGATCTTGAAGATACTACCAATATTGCATGTGACAAGGCAAGAAGGCAGCCGGGGAGGATAGCGTGGGGAAACATAGCAGGATGAGACAAACCACGACGCTGAACCCTGATATTAGATGTGGAGATCAGCTCGAAGGTAACAGAATTGACAAATAATGTACAGACTTGTGATATCCGCGATTAGATCGAGCGACAAAACTGGTGGTGGAGTTGGAAGTCAACGGGCGGGTGGGGCCTTCGGGTTGCTGGAGCCACAGATCACTCAAGATGTGATGCGCAGAAAAACAAGGAGTGCACGTTGTGAAGTCGGATATGTCCTGGCTTTTGTACAAGTTAGTAGAGGTTGGTTGGTCTAGATCAAAACAGAAACGGGTCGAAAACATGACGACAAGTGACGCATCGTTCGATAGTTGCAATCTGAAATGACTGGAAAATGAACGCCACGATCTGATGCCATAAGACAACATAAGGCCGGTGTGATGAACATTACAAACTAGACTGCACAATTTGAAACCTTGGCGCTTGGGAGCTGCTCATCCGGCACACCGAAAGACTGTCTACCGCATATCAGATGAAGTGGACACTCGATCGTCGTATGATTAAAAGGCCTCCGAGATGTATATGTGACTGGAAGCCGTTAGCTGTGCGAAGGCAGTAGTTGACCAAGGCTCACTACTGAGCAGTCACGGCAAGAGGGTAGCCATCAGTATGACCAGGTGATACCGTGCTGTCAGTTTGTATTATAATGATATTGACATGGGACTCCATTGATGCCATCACATAGTTTGTCATTTTCGCAGTTTGGCGACCAACCATAATTGCTGCGATTCAAATCTTGATCAACAATAACCAATTAAACCATGTCATGTAAGGACACACCTTTGTGGGCCTTCGTGTCGTCCTCTCATAGCACGCCCAAACGTGGAGTCATTAATCGACCTTTGTATCATAGAATTTGGTAGGATGCCCACGAACGTAACGATGGGCGGGCCTTTGCAGCACCGCACCGTAAAGTCTTTCAAGCCGATGCGTGCACTGAACTCCATTCAGGATGTTGTAGTACTACTACGATGGGTTGCTGTCCGTTCCTGTATATCATTGCAGCGCTGTGCACCAGCAGGGTTGTGGGGGGTTGTGTGCTATGCATCTTCTCTCGAGTTCTTGCATGAGCATGTGCCGGGTAGTCTTGCGACATGAAGTAGAAACCAGAACCACCTTGCATCCTGACAAACCAATGTCCAACATACGTCATGAGCCGAGTGGTTGCACGATGAATGTTCTAGTAATTTTAAAAGTACTGCATACCATCACCATGCAAAGCACCGTGGTCACTATGAAACTGGGAGGAAGTTATCATCACCACCAACACTTGACCTATGCAGGTGAATTGTCCGTTTCGCCTACAAAACTGGTAGTGACACGATGATGGATGAAGTTGTGTAGGAGTTATTGAGGTGCCAGCGTCTTTCGTGTGAATTATTGGGAATACGATACGTTAATTCCGGCCAAAGTTCAGCGCGTTGAACCAACTCGCGCGGACCTCTTCATACCATGCATCCAACTTATAATCGTTACCAATCCCATAGGGCACCGCGTCTTGATAGTTTCTTTTATTTGCAGCGGTATATAAATACGGAAATTTTCTTTCTCTCTCCGTTAAATCCGGGTAGTACAGGGATGGGATCCGCGGATAATTCCTTGCCATGACTAAGCTGTCTCAGCCAATCAAAATAGTTCACGTGACCTAGTTATTATTGACTTTAATATAGAAATTATATAGAATCTTCAACTACCCACACTGCACAGTTTGTGCTCATTGTTTGTTGGAACGGTTTTCAAGTTGTTTGAGTCACGACGCATGTTATTGCAGTGATACACATACTACATACAATTCCTGTTTGTTGAGCAGCTTTTGCTTTGCACCTAACCGTCCAAACAGTTAGGTCAACCACGTTGACTTGGTCTAGATACCATGTTTAGGACGCGACAATGGGGGCCAGTGCAGTCTCTGCTCGCGCTAGTACCCCTGCTTATTGGGTTGCCATGGCTTGCATTAAAACACCAGTATTGTACGTGTTTTTGTTGTCAATCCCACATTGAACCTGTGAGCTTATTTTTCACCCTGCAGCATTACCTACGCCCATTGTAGACCAGTGCGTTATTCCTTTATGTCTCCACTCGAGTCAATACCAACTAACAAATGCTGCTTGTCTCTTGAACCTAACCTGAATCCTAACCATCAGATATGATCCTATGACCTCTCTGCCTCAGCTCTCTGAAGCAACAATCCTCCAATATGCCAAATACCTGTCGGAGGATATCGGATACCGCACGCCTGGCACTCGCGAACACGCGCTCGCAGATGCTTGGATGACAGAGAAGGCTTACCAGCTCAAAGAGGAGTGTGAGCGTGTCGTAGCCGCTCAACCCGGCCGTAAGCTCCAATGCGAGGTATGGAGGCAAGAGGGCAGCGGTAGTCATCGGTACGTCATCTAGTTCATCTCTTCCGATAACCTTCGGGTCTTTATAACTTCTCGGGTATGCTCGATAGTTTCGATATGATGGCTGCGCGGCTGTATAAGCGTTACGTCAACTTGAGTAATATCATCATACGCCTGAGCGATGGCACGGACCAGGGAAAAGTTGATGCAGTGCTCATCAACTCACATCTTGATAGTACCCTTCCTAGTCCAGGCGCTGCCGATGACGCGCTCTCGGTTGGCGTGATGATTGAGTGCGTGCGGGTGCTGGTGAATACCCCTGGGTGGGAGCCAAAGCATGCAGTTATATTTTGTGAGTTTTTGTCGATTTGCGATGCCATGCGGGTAGAATCTATACTCATGCAGCCGCAGTGTTCAATAATGCGGAGGAGTCTCTCCAGGACGGCTCTCACCTTTTCTCGACACAGCATCATATTGCGTCTACGTGTGTCTCATAATCATTCCTCCTGTTGCGTTCCATCTTACATTGTTCTTCCAGTGTCCGTGCTGTCATCAATTTGGAAGGTTAGCTATTCACATATAGGACATAGGTCCATGCAGCTGACACAGGTCTGTAGCTGCTGGCACTGCAGGTCCTGAACTTCTGTTCCAGGCGACGTCTCACGAGATGATTGAGGCGTATTCTCATGTACCTCGGTCAGTTTTATTGCTTTCTTTCTTTCGGTCTCAGTGGTAATGCAAATGTATAGACCATACGGAACTATCTTTGCAAACGAGATCTTTAGTTCAGGCGTACTACTCTCTGAGTGTGTCTCTTTGTCTTCTCTTTATTTCCTTGCACTAATATGCACACCGGCGGTTGTAAGCACTGATTTCCGGCAGTTTGAGTACTACTTGAACGTCACCGGGCTTGACGTGCGTCCGACCTTTCTTTTTCCTACCATCCTCTCTTGTTTCTCTTTCGTTGGTAAAGTTTTCAACGCTAACAGCATTGCATAGATGGCAGTTGTGGGTAACAGTTATATGTACCACATGCGTGGGGTATGCAGCTTGACAAACTAAAATATCGGGATATACTAATGTGGTACAGGATCTGGTAGAAAACATCGAGGCAGGCGTTGCACAGGTCTGTTATCCAGACCTCCTAGATCTGATCCTGAGATTCATTCTCGTCTTCCTCACTTCAGCACATGGCTGAGAACACATTTGCGCTCATTGAACACCTCACTTCACCCGCCTCACCGCTACCAAGGCTTGCTTCAGGCTACGGGCGCCCTCGCACCGTCTTCTTTACATTCCTGGGGGTATTCTTCGTCTACTCGTTCCGCACAGCTGAATTACTGTACTCGCTACTTTTCATTGCCAGTTGTGTGCTTGTCAGAAGCGCTGGCGGGCCCAGTGCAAGGGGTGCAACGATGGCGAAGGCATTATTTTCTGTGATCTTTGGAGGGCTGGGGGCTCTTGTTGGAGTGAATGCCGTTGCGTTCATGATGCAGCAGATGCTGGGCCGGGGAATGAGCTGGTTCAAGGGCGAGTTTGAGCCGTTGATATTGTATGGCCCCGCTGCAATGTGTGGTGCGTGATTTTACTTCAGCCTGTGCTATGATTTTCTGCGCTGGCCTATTCCCGACTCGACTCGGATGTCATTTCGTGTTTCACACCCAGAATTATGTCTATTTTGTTTCAATGCCCTCCTGACGTCGTAACTCACAAACTTATCTACGCAGGAGCGCTCCTAACTCAACTGCCTTTGGCCCCAGTCCCCGAAAAAGCCCTCCTGCATGCACAACTCCTTGCCTATGCGTTCCTGGCTGCAGCGGGCCAGTTCGCTGGTGTTGGATCAAGTGCGGTGTTCTTCCTTAGTGCAGTCTCGATGTTTGGGGCCTTATTTATTGATCGGGTGACTGACTACTTGAGCGCCTCGACCGTAAATGATGCCGGGATAAAAATGAGGAATGCAACAGAAAAGATGCGAGATGGTGATATGAAAGGGGTGAAGGATGGGCACAATAAGGTGGATAAGGCGGAGGTCAAAGATGGCTTAGTGAGCCTGTGGACGTATGCTCTGGGCCAGACCGTCCCACTGTTGACGGGAACTCAACTGATATCTGCGACTTTGGTTGTGTTCGTACCACTAGTGAGTGATTTGTCTTTCCATGGGTCTCTCCTCATATCTCTCTCACAGACAGGGCGTATTGGTTCTGAGGCTCCAGCAGAATACATCATCGCTTCCATGGTGGCGATCATGGGTTCTTACACGCTTAATTTCACTACACCATTCGTTCACCGATTTGATCGGTCTGCTCTGCGTAAAGCAGTCATAATTTTGCTCCTTGTAGTGGGCGTAGTGATGGCAGTGTTTGCTAGAAAGGACGTATTTGATAAAAATCATCAAAAGAGGCTATTTGTACTTCATAAGGAGGACGTAGGTGCCAATTCCCGTGCGATTTGTGAAGGAAACTGAGCGCGTACGGTCTAGTTGAACACACGGGAACAGCACCTCCACATCGCAGCGGCAGATGGCGCACCTGGCTTTGATGACCTGGTCCATGACATCACGGTACATTTCGGCGCAAACGGAGTGCCCCCCAAGGCTGTTGTCATGGACGACTGGAATGGTGATTGGGATACGTTATATCCATTTTCAGCGGTGAGACTTCAAAATATTCAGTCGACATTTACGGGATGCTGATGTATGGTTTATTGATTTGCGATCGAATCCGGCGTCTTCGTTGTGTATTTGAAACGTTGTGCAGTTCCTCTCGCCGTACAAGATCGACCTCCCACTAGACCCGGCGTATGACGCACCTTGGCCGCCAGAAGAGCAGTTCACGGTTTCAGCCGTCAATGATACCCTCGATGAGAGTAAGGGAACGAGGACTATGACACTGAAGATTGATCACCCAGGGATAATGTGGACTGGTGAGTTTTTCTATATATACTGGATCACCTTGGTGTCACGCCGACCAAACTCTTGCTATAGTGATCGCATTCGATGCGTATGTGCTAGAGTGGACGCTAGATAACAGCCCGCCAGAGGAGTTTGCACGACACCACATCAAAGAAGCATCATTCTACGGGACTGATGTCTGGACGGTGGATATGACGATCAAGTGGCCGCCGCCCCCGAACGCGCATCCCAGATCGTCTGATGTGGATGGATTGAGGGTGAACTTCATTGGGATCCAGGAGAAGCGCATGTGGCCCGCAAAAAAGGCTGAGGCGGATGGAAGTCAAGCGATGCAGCTGTTCAGGGAGTTTGATGCATGGCTAGATGAGAAGACAGGCGGTAGTGTAGATGCGCTGTTGATGGGGTGCGTGAGCGGAGAGGTGGTCGTGTAGGTTGGGTTGCGGAACATGGATCGACGAGTTAGAAATCACCGTTATAACCGCCATAAAAAATTATCGATTTCTCGTTTCTTGTCCTTCGAATGAAAGCACCTAACTAAAAATGTTGCGTTTGTGTTAATTATGATTCTACGATTCACGGTATTCCTCGAAAATAGAACAGCACCATCATATAGTACTAATACTAGTACGGTTAACTTGCGATGTGCCACTCGGGCTTGCCCCATTCTGTGTAAACGTTCACAAAATGACCCTACCAGGACAGGCCAGCCAGCATGGTTATATCCTCTGCAGAGCAAGCTGTTCGTACTCCACTATTTGACACACATTTATAACTTGTTCCTACGAACCAGGTCAGGGGATCGATTTTGTAAAGAAACCTACTCATACTCACTGCTAGGGATGTATATCGACACACACTCATGTCCAAGACAACAATCTATAAATGAGTCGCAAAACATGGGGCATGCACTGTCGTCTGCATTGGCAGATATAGACGAGACAGCAATGCAGACAACGCCGAGGGACTGCCAGACGAAGGAGAGACGCATTATTCGTGTGACGTGATAAACTATACCTGAAGAGGGCACGCTGCTTTGTTTTACATGCCCTGAAAATGGGGTTCTCATAGGCTCCACCTATGAGTAGCCCACTTCAGTGTCCACACCAAATGGATGACATACATATTGCTCATGCCAGCAGATTGCCAGCAGAATGCATTTGCCGGGCCTTGTTAACTCCCTGTCGATTCTAGATTTCATCCCAAACAACAACTGTTATTTACTCATTACAGTTTGCAATGAGCTGCCGGTCAGCCACATTCGTGCTTACATCGCGTAGACATGAAATTGATGCAACGATCCCTGGTGCGCAGGTGGCTATTAGGCTAATGTTTGTTATCTATTCAGAGAGGATCCGTAACATAGGGAAACAAAGAACGAATGGATAAAATCCCAAGGTCATCTAGCGGGATAGAAGCGCATGCTCAAACGCTGAGGGATGCGAATTTGAAATAGTGGTCCACGACCAATCCAGTGCAAACCATAGCCGCGCCATGACGGCCTGACTAGAATACAACGGAACATCAAAATTAGCGCACATGGACACGTCAGCTAGCTGTACTGTGAATTTCTTCCAGCTATCTTCGGGACCGTCATGGTCAAATGACCATGTGTGCCAAAGACATAGCAGGAGCGGCGTGGTGACACTGATCACGTAAAATGGGAGACGCTGACTGTTCAAGTACCCAGAATACAGAGGCATGTCACATCAATGCAGAACGAATGCCGCCAAGACGGACTGCCATGGACTTGATTGACTCCGACCTTCTCGTCCTGCGTAAAATAATAATTAGCACAAGATACAGCCGCAAAACCTTTGGAGTCACCTGACATGCGTAAGTGGTGTCGTAAAGACATGCCCAGCTACGAGGGCATTGTCAACAACTCAAAACACGACCGCCGTCATCCGGACTTACCAGCAGGACACAACTGCGACGTTCAGTATCATCCCCCAATTGAATCGACCTGTCGTTGCAACTCAAGTGAATGGGACGGCCCAATTAGCAGCAAGACCTTGGAACCAAATAAGTTGATATATTAATTATAAAATAAAAACTCTAAGAAATATTACTCACGCTCCAGCAGTCGAAAATATGTAAAAGATGGCGGCAATGAGAACTGCCAGAAGGATTGAAGCTTGAGGCCTCGATCATAGTGACAGCTCCCGATGCGACTGGTGGCCCTTCGAACGTTCTATTCCATGTAGAGCAGCGTCAAGAGAACGGTGGCGGTCACGACAAACCTGGGACGTACCAACTTTGCGATCAAAATCACGGTCGAGTATGTCATTTATAACACACCCTGCGATGCGTACTAGTAAGTATGTCCAGCAATGCATAGAACAAGGCGTTTTTCACAACGTCAACGCCGACAGGAAGCCCTAAGCTAATGGAAGACGAACCAGGAATAGTTAGTGCTCAGCTGGACGCCCCTGGAACCAACTGCGACCCAAAGCACTTACTCACTACTCTTCAACCCCGCTCCTCCATTATAATCCTGTATTTGTGCCGCCTCGGCGGCCAAGTACCCGTTTCAGTGGCTCATTCGCACACAATCCAAAATGGCATTGTAGTAGAATTATGTCCGTCCATCATCGTCAAAAACGCACATCTAAAACGGCCTGCGGGAACGAGGAGTACGCTCTACACTGGGGCATTTGCGATTTCAGTTGATGCTGACGCGGATGCTAGATAGAATTGTCCGACATAGGTAAATTACCCCAAATGGATAAAAATTGGAACGAAAATAAACTCCATTCATTTTCCTCCTTTCACTACTATCTTTGGCCCAGAGTTGCAAATCATAATGTAGCATGCTCATCTTCCACTCATTTCCTTTGCACAATGATTCTAGAGGATGATTAGTATATAGCTTGCTGTATTTATTTTTTATTTCATGAAAAATGAACTGGAAGTGCTTGTGGCAGTGAAATACAGTGTGGAACATGCACTTTCTGCACCAATCTGTCAGAGGAGAGCCATTACATGCACCAAAAAATTCAGAAATTTTACTAGTGATTCTACATTGCCTTCTAGCACTGCTCTAATTTTTTCTGACATGAAAACTGTGTTATGTTGAGAGCCATAAATGTTGTACTATCAAGATGCAAAACATGACAGGAGGGGTGAGCTTGTGTTCAGAGTTGTAAAGCACTGCTTGGGAACTTGGCTAACACATGTGCACGCACTCACTCATATCTGTGAACAGTCTTGCAGTGCTGGTCACATGCCAAAGAGAAACTGACCCTCCAAGTTTTCTCAAGAGCTTGAAGATAAGATTCAACATGCCTGCACTATTCTACATGCTTCTCCTTCTCCTAATGTTCACACTGTTGCAACAGAGCACAAAGTCCCATACAACACCCTTCAGTGGCGGTATCTTGGCAAGAGTCAGTCATACCACAAGGCTCATATTGAGCAACAGCTCCTATCACTGGAATTGGAAAATGTGCTTGTTGACTGGATCAAATTACTCAGCTCCATGGGGCATCCACTCAGCAAGCACACAATTTGAAGCAAGGCAGCTGTATTGTGTCATGGCAAAACTAAGCCTCACAAGAAGTGGGTCAGAGGCTTTCTCAAACGTCACCCATAATATATTATACCTATCTAGTTAATACCTTACAGTACAAAAGCATACTTTTATGTTAGAAATACGAGTTTCAATGCTGAACGAAAGCCTTCGGAATCCTTGTCAAATGCGCCGGTTTCGTTCATCGGAGAATTAAAACTGCAGCGTGACATAGTGTGACACGATGACTTCTATGCGGGTGGGAAATTTTGCAACTCTGTGCTCAAATGCTGTTTCGCACCGGCTTCTCTCTGGCAACGTAGCCTTGACAAATTTCTTGATTTTTTTTTACATAGCCTTAAAGTCTGTATAAAATCCTACGTGCTCCTACTGTTTCCTTATTTTAATGTTGTGTAGTTGTTGTGTTATGAAAAACTGCTCGGAACATTTTGCAACTCTGGGCCAGAGATAGTAGTGCTCAGTGGGCCACGGGTACATAACGCCACTCGTCAACGTTCCCGTCACCCAGAACGTTCTCTAACCGATACTAATAATACCCTGCATGCACCGGTCTTCATATTGACAAGATCACAATACCACTCAACACATCTTTGTGCGCACCCGGCCTGCATCGGATTCAAATGTACATATAAATATTCACATATACGTTCCGTTAGCCAGCACGCTGGCATAACTGTATCCCATAACCCAATTTCCGATCTAAATAGCAATCTTAGGACCCTAGGGCGTCTTTGTTCTTCTTTCAACGTCAACAGCCCTATTCCAAACGAGTTTACTTGGGACGATGCACCCATAATATCGTCTTTACTTGTGTTCATCGTTCACACGTACCACTTCTTGTCGTAAGACTGTATCTCGACCATCAACTTCACAAGGTAGGCATTTTCTGTGAACTTTCTCCTGGGATATGTTAACGCTGACTCCCCGCGACCCAGCACCTCCCACTCCATTCGTACGGACAGTTCAGGATAATATGGCGATGACCAGGAGGCAAATTCATTGCCTTATTAGCCATCCGGGTTTCCACTCACTGGCATCACGAATCATTGCCATTAATTCAGTATCACTCGTCGCACCCCATTCGTCATTCCCCTCACACTTTATTCATTTTCACAAATATGATTTCCTTTTGCCATAGTCAAGTCCAGATGTCAAAACATATGGATGAAGTCGCACCCCACTGGAAACCAGTGAAGCCTGGTGAGCTCGAACAATGCTCTTGCCTTGATGACAAGCTTGCAAAGTGAAAGAATGCTTGAGATACCAGTAGGTGTGGTCCGAACTGTCACCGCGGTGATGCTTATTTTTATATGTGTGTACGGACGCTTGCTGGAACCATCCCCAATGGCCTTGATAAGTCGGTCGCATAGCGTTCCATGGCTGCCAGTGAGTATCAGTGGATCGATCAGTCGACATCATAAACTGATGTACTACTATTCAATCATTGACCCGTTCGTGGCTCCGGTTCCGTGCCATCACAATGATCTCACAGGATGCAGTGAGCTGGAATGCTGGATGCGGGCTCTGTCGTCCAGCGCTGTTCGATACTACCGCTCCTGTATATCATGGACTCCTCGTATACTTTCGCATCCTTACCTTGTTTCTATGGACACTGGTTTGGACGCTTTATGATGCGCTGGCGCTCGCCTCGGAGTCGCTACAAGGATAGTGCTGCCTCCTCATCACGATGTTTTAACATCAACGTACGACAGATAATTGGCGTCCAATGGGAAAGTCCCTTCAAGAAATTTTCATGTTCCAGCCCTAGCTTCTTTGTTTGTACGCACACGGGGTACTCATCCGTGGATCTGGAAGTGTTCTTGTCGTGTCAGCTTGGTTCCCACCAGTACAGCGCCTGCACCAACAAACGCAGATTCGTCTTCGTCGATTACTTCCATCTCTATCTCGTTTTGCAGCGCTTGATAAGTGCTGATGTGTAATAACATTCTTGATAGTCCACATTATTTTACCTACGAGAAGTGCAGCTGGGCGTAGAAGGCCATATAGATGCCATGGAGCGTGCGGGTCTAGAGGTCTGATCGAAATCCTTCGATCCGAGCTGGGCACAATTAAATGTCGGACTAGCATGGATTGAGAAGTGTTTTGCCACCGTCATCACATATCGCAAGTCTACGAGGCATGCTGGCTCATGTCAAATGAGTTCTTGAGTCAAGCCGAGAACGGACCTCCCTTGGATTCTTCCGGTGGGAAGCGCCAACGCATACTAGAGCACTATATCGTAGTAGAGCACCGCGTCTTACATAACAGTTTGTTGCGGTATATAAATATAGAAGACAGGTTGATTTTCACGTAGCCTATAACTGGCTATCTTCATCTTGGACTGACCTGATATCTCTATATATATCGTAGCATGAGCCTATCTCTTGATTTTGGCCTGATAGCTGCAAGCTTTTGGCGCACCACTGATCTTCAAGAATCATTAATACCAGAAAGAGTATGTCACTGTATGTGTTACTCGTCCGAAGATTGTCCGACCTTAATTTGGCTATCCGGATCCGGAACACCTCCAGGCTGTCTCCGAGGCCTGTTGTACGAGGCAAACGTGGACATGATCTCTAGCGTTTAAATTAGGTCAGGGATACTACCTGTGATACGATCAGCAGCGTGCTGATGGTTTGTTGAACGATGGGGACAGAGAGAACGGACGGGACAGAGTAGACGGGACGGACGGATTTGGATGGGGCGGACAGGCCGGACAGAACTGAAATTCAAACTTTCATGTTCCCTTACTGACGCCGCAATGTCTTGGTTGCGCCCTGCTCACTCCACTGAATATCCATGTACGTTGTAATTCAGCGTCGTTCGATTGCTTGTCATGCAGTAATGGGGATCATTGACTGGCTGTACATGCATGAGCGGTTATTGCTCGTACCCTGAAATTCCAAGGAACCGAAATTTTCGGACGAGTAATGGAGGATAGACTCCACTGTGTACGAGAACATCCCTGAACTATCCTAAAAGCATGTGAGGCATTAATATGACAGCCGGAAATTATTGGATCGGGAGTGAAAATCCTACCGGAATCGATGGCATCCGGGTATTAGCAGACCATCCAACTTGTGTCCAACGGCCTTCTGGCAAGACTAGTGCGCTATCCGACGCGTGTATTTTTTAATCATCCTATTTTTTCGACGAATAAATACCAGGTGAGCGCTGCCTGTCATAATCCTCCGTCTCTACCCTCCGTCTCGCCATAATGTCTTCTTCTTACAACGTGCTCATTGTTGGTGCCGGTGTAGCAGGCCCAACCCTTGCCTATGCCCTTGCCACAAAGACGTATGCTAAGCGTAGCGCTCCTCTGCGGATAGCTCTACTTGAACGTTCCTTCTCGAGGCCAGATCGTATGGTTGCCGAGTTGCTCCAGCCTGGTGGCATTACCTCGCTCAAGAAACTTGGTCTGGAGTCATGCCTCGGGGATTTTGGCTCTGCTTCCTTGTCAGGGTTTTACGTTCTGCGAGGGGAGCAGGGCATTTGCGCGTCATTCCCTGAAGGCTATGAAGGGCGAGCTTTTGAACATGGAGAATTTATCATGGCTTTGCGTGATCATGCACGGCGGGCGCCCAATGTCGACATGATCGAGACCACAGTAACCGGCCTCATCGAGAACGAGGACACGCATCGCGTAATAGGTGTTCGCGCTTCCAATGCGGATGGTCAGTCAGAGTCATACTTTGCTGACCTCGTCGTTCTCGCGGATGGCTCTTTATCCAAGTTCAGGACTGCTGTCCTCGGGAACATGCCGTATGAGCCTTCGCAAAAGGGTTACTTGGCAGGTCTGATTGTGAGAGACTTGGAGCTGCCGGTACCCAAGTATGCAACTATGATTGTACTGAAAGGTGCTGGACCGGTCGTCCTTTATGAGCTCCCCAACAACGAATATCGGATGCTGGTCGAACTGAAGGCGGCGCCGCCAGACCTCAAGGTTTGTAATTCTTGTTGTGTGGTTGTGATCGCCCCCGCTTACTATCAATATCGCAGGAGCATATATTGCGCGACGTTGTTCCTCAGCTTCCATCATCGGTACGCGCGCCCATTCTCGATGCTCTGGAAACGTCGCGTTTGCGACGAGTCCCGCATTATTATCTTCCGCCCACAAAGCAGGGAGAGTCTAGTAGGGCAGGCGCGTTTCTACTGGGAGACTCATTAAATATGCGCCATCCGTTAACCGCGGGTGGAATGACGGTCGCCTTGAATGATGTAGTCATCCTCTCTGATCTCCTGGCCCGCATCGAGAACTTTGGTAACTGGGATGAAATCTCAGCCGTCCTCCGGAAGTGGACCTACATGAGAAAACCGCTCGCATCCACTATCAATACTATGAGTATGAGTTGGGCTGGCCTATTCGCAGCTGAAGGTACGCCAATGTTAGCTGTCGAATGCTTGAAGGCTTATGGTTGTCGATGTACGTAGGCGAGGGGTTTGAGATTCTGCAGGATGGAGCATTCAAGTTTTTCGGGCAAGGTCCCGAGTATTCCGAGGAACCCATGTCATTAGCATCCGGGTCAGTCATATGTTGATAGTTGTCACAATCATGCTTACCTGGTTCCGGAATCCCCAGGATCGCTGCTTCTCCGTTACTGCTGGCACGCAGTTCTCTTTCCATAGCGTTTTACTCCATCTGGGTGTTGTTCACCCATCCCAGACCTGGAAATAAATCTGCTCCGCAAATTCATGAATACCCATTGCTTTTTGTAAAAGCACTTAATGTCGTAAGGTCATCCAATGCCATTTTGGAACATGTTGACTGATTTTTATGGTATAGCTATGGACTATAGGCAGCGTGATGGGGCCGGTATTGTGGGCAGAAATGTGATCCCCTTGCGATATAATAACATAGATCAGTGATAATTTATGACTTCCAATATTATACCTAATGTGCTGCGTCACCTATAATTATTCAATTCTTCTGACTCGCACACTGCTCCAAGTCCGGCAGACATTGCAGCTGGCATAAAGCCATCGATTAACAACCGACATAGGGTCTTGATATGGATGGTGTTGGGCGCCACGACGCTTGGCACTGACATGTTGACATCGTCATTGGTAGTGTTATCGACGTGAAGTGACTTCCAGGTAATCTCAAAAATGTGGGGACGCTGGATTGGGTCAACTCGGAAGCGACATTTGGTTCACTTGGGGATGTACTAAGTTCAATTTATGTCTTTAGTTCTCGACGTCCCCCTGACGGTTGTTTCAGCAATATTGGACGGAAGAAAACCAAGAAATCATGCATAAATGCCTTATCTCACCCTAAGGAACCTCGTTCCCCTGCACCCCGCCTACTTCGTAGACTGATCCTGCGTTCGCACAGCCTATGCTATGTGTGTAGTTCATCAGTGTGGGCTGCAGATTGGTTGGTGTCTAGAAACTTGGAATATGGCGTTTCAATGTTTGGAACATAATCATCATAAATAAAATGCGATGCTTCATGTGGTGACACCAAGGTTGAACGTTGAGGTCAGTTGAGAGATTCCATAATTCGGATTCGTTCGAACTCGCAAAGAATCTGCTTCCTCTTGTATTTTTGGAACGCCTCTTTTCTGCGGCCAGTAATCATGTTTTTGAATGTTCCGAAATTAATCATCATAAGTACCACAATATAGCTTGGAAGAAATAAAAATAAAAACCGCTCCCTAAAGACTAGTCGTCGATTATAGATCATATTAAGTATACTGTAGAGATACGCACTTAGGTTCGGCCCTATTGAGGTGTGACCAAATGAACGTTAGGTTCGAAGGTTCGCAGGGGGTGTGTGACGTGTGACACGCTATGCTTAGGTCCGATGACCGTTAGGCAGAGCCTGCCAGTGGATGACACAGAGCTTCAATCTACAGTGAATAGGTCTAAGGAAGTTGAGGCTGGGGGCTGTAGCAAGCGCAGACACATGGCAAACACTCAGTACAAGGTCAGACTTTTTTTCATGTTTTTACCGTGTGTCACAGTTTAGGTTCGACGGCCTCAAAATTGGTGTGACTGTCACACAAAATAGGTTCGATTCGCTAGGCGTGTGACGGTGTGACGAACTTAGGTGCGTATCTCTACAGTATCCCATACTATACGCTACTGCTAGTTTCCACATAGACACGCTCCTGTAAAATAATTGAAGTCATAATGGGAGCTGTGTCGGAGTCGGTCGCGAGCTTCGCGTGATATTCTCGCAAGCTAAGGATGAGGCGCGGTCCCAGTATGAACATCTGCATGATTTGGAAGATTTGAACGAAGCCAGAATAAATCTGGGTTTCTAGGTAAGGCAAGTCCTGTAGAAGTGATAGGTAATGACCGCATGCAGAGGTCAATGACAGATCGGCATACCGTTGAGAGCGTTGGAGACAAATAACTCATTTCAATACAAGAAACTACAAGGAAACTTGCACATGCAGAGATTTAGCAAAAAAACAAGATAACCATATTCAGATTATGAGCTCACCTCGCAAAGTAACTCGTGTGAGTTTTAATTAATACCCTGAAACAATCCCCAACAATTCCTCTCGTTGAGTGTTGTCGCAATTCACGGAAGTACTTCACAGCAATCCAGACTGCGAGACACAGTACAAGGACCTCCCATACAGTGCCAAGTATCCAAGTCATGGAAATCAAAAGATGGGCATCCCCCGTATAGTTAATCATGCACTGAAAGGTGCCGAAGAGAATAAATTCCTCTGGTATCTGTCAAGCCTGATGTGCTTAAACATTTCATTTATAATTAAAGCTTACCTCCTGAAATATGCGTCAGCGTTATTATGGTCAACACTACATTGGCGATTGTGATGGCCACAAAGATGACAACGAGAAATATCAGCATCTTTCTGGAACCCAGATACATGGCATGTAGCCGAGCGATCATAATGACTTGCATGACATTTCAGTCATGTCAATATCACAAAAATGTATGCTCACCGCCCAGCATCGCGTCTGCAACGATACCCATCCAATCAAATATGTCGTACATGGCAAGACCTGACATATCCAGCAATATTAGTTATCAGCTTGGGAGGATCACAGGTTCGAAACAAACTCACAGCTGTGGGAGTTGTTATATTGAACCGACGAGTTGTTCGAGAATCTCACTCACCCCTATGTGTATGGTAGTTCAATTGTTTAGACAGAAATGGAAGGCATCGGTGCGAAATACTCACTGCATCTGTCGTCGAAATTGTCGGAACATATACTAGAGTATGTTGCTGGTCAGAACAAACATGGTGGGTGTGAGCACACGTACACAGTAGGCTGATCCTGATTATGAGAGTTGGGTAATGAGTGCAACATCAATGGCTTGGACGTCCAAACGTACACGGCAAATCCTATCCCAACATATCGTACCTAGGATGTGTTCACGTCAGTACAATGTGTTCACCACATTCAAAAGCAAAAGTTACATACAAGGAGATACATAATGGTCATCTGGGACCAGTGTTGCCTCTGCCGCAAATTAGTTGTGGTACTTTCACATCGTTCTTTTGATGGATGTAGGAATCCGCTCACCCAAATTAATTCTACCTATTAAACTGTTCTCAGCGAGATGGCCGCTCCTGTAATGGTGTCAACCTACCTCCTGTCCGAATGTAAGTCCTAGAAATACCATAATGTCAATGGTCTTTTCATACTTAATCTTGCTCACCCCAATCGTACATTACCCCAACACAGGAGGCAACTGCGAAACCGCAGCCAAGGTTAGTTGAGTCATCAACGTCGTCATGCGGCTGACTCTCACGAACCTACAAAATAGCTGAAAATGAGATTTGCATTGATGATCGGCCACCAACTGGGATCGTTTGAGACTAGGGTCATACTATTAGAGGGTGGGAGCGAGCGAGCGGGGGAACTTGGTGGATATGTAACGATCGCATGTGTGCTTGATATACCACAATCCAGTGCTTACATCGCCGAAGTGATATTTGAGGGATTGATACTGATTGATTAAAGTAAGTGTTTCAGCATGGATTTCATGAGAAAGACAATGCGCATCCGGGGATACCGATTGGATCGAAACAGCAGTTGTTGGCGAAATCGTAAAGCAGTAGCTCGCGTGGAATGTTTGAACGCCGCAAAAGATTGGAGAACAGTTCGTAACCTGCCAGCGCAATCTTCGAAGTATTCCGGTATTCTTGCTACAGTCAAGTGATGGGTTCGGCCTCGGCCCATCAATGACACCATTGATCAATACAGGTATTTCAGCCGACCTCGTACCGGATCACCACCCATTCGTCATCGCTTTCGTTCCTACTGCCTCCGTTTCTGTCCATATTTCTTTTTTTTGTACAGCTACCCTCTCTTTTGTACAACCGCCCCTTTCCCCCTTCTTTGTACGACTTCCCACCCTTTTTGTACGACTGCCACACGCTTGAATGCGAAGTTAATGAATGTGTGATGACTCTAGTTGGGTGGTACACAAGTAAAAACGAAATGGGATGGATGCACCGGTGAATAGATAGATCATGGTCGTCGATGACCTTAAGGAGTGAATAGTCGGTTGAGAGAGGGAGAATTTTCTCCATCCTTGAAAAAAAAACTGCCCAAGGAGACGCAGCAACCGATATTGATGAGATCAAGAAACCGAAAAATAGGGAATGTGAACTGCGTGTTTCATGGTATGAACGAGAATGACAGTGGCTGTTGAAAGAGGAGAATTAAGGAGCGTATAAACGTGCATGATGGTGAACGAACGAGCGAGTGTGGGCGTCCTGAGAAATACAGAATGAAATATGGATCGTCGGCATATATGAGGTGAGGAACATGCGAGACATACCTTTGACGATTGGAAACCGAAATCAGGAGCGAAGGGTTGGACAGGAACGAAATAGGCGGAAGAGATAGGAGCGAGGTCAAAGTATGAAGTGAAGGCGAACAGAACGAACAGAAAAAAACTCAGAAACTAGGTCAGCTTTCAAAAGGGCAACAGCAAGAAAAGATTGAGAAAAATAAGTAAGAAGTAACCTGCGAACACCGAACAAACAAGATGCAAAGAAAGGACATCAAGTGTAAAAGAAAGGGGAAAGAAAGAAATCAAATGAACTCATCAGATGAAACAGATATACAAAGATGAAGCCAGAAGGGACGAGGAAATCAAAGTTGGGATGAGATAGATGTCTGCGAGCACTGCCCACACCAGACCATCGAAAGTGAAATTAAGCAAGCACTCCCAAGCGCGGCCATCCCACTCTCACCAGATATAACAGGACTCGCAACCCTCAAACTCCCAAATGAGATAATATGCGTAGCACGCATCTGGATAGCGAGCACAGGGGCCGGGGGTGGCAGGTGTACTCAGGGATGCAGTCAAGGGAGACGTAAGGGTACCGCAGCAGGAGATCCAATGGGAAACGACAGTGGGATATGTAATGGAGAGGATGGGGTTGCCTGTGGATATAGGAGTTCAGGACTAAACATTGAGAGGTTGCCCATTAGGCTGTGGCTGATGGGCTTTGACTTCGTCGTGGCCTTCAGCTCCTCCATCTTCTTTGGCTTGAGTTTCTCCTTCGACGCGGATACGAGCAAGGCAGGTGTAGAGAGCGAAACGGTTGTTGCAGCAATCTCTACACTCACTGGTGAAATTTTCTTGTTATCATCTGACAAGCTAGAGAAAGCCTTGGGCAGTGAAAAAGCATTCTGTCTATGCCTGATCCTCGGACGGACAGAGAGGCGCCGATCCAGAAACGGGAGTGCTAAAGGTGAAATTAAAATAACACAGAGATACTTCGAGAATATTAATGAGACAGTGGAATTTTACAGAAACGTTGGCTATGGGAGGAATAAGTACTCTTGATTAAAACAAATTTGGGCAAAAGCAATGACGAAGCGATAGTCTCTGCAAGATAAGGTTTTTACTCACGGCGATCGTCAATGACCATACTAGTAGCTGCCGTAATGGGAAATTAATGACGTGTCATCTTGGATACAGCTTCACTCTTCGCATCGCGAGGACGACAGCCAATTGCGCCTTGTCGTGGTCGGCGCGTAGAGGACACCGATATCCTTTCACTACAAAAAACGAAGAAAAAATCATGCGATCATATTTGTACCAAAGCACGATTGCTTGATCGCAAAAAAACCCTCATCATGATCTTTGTCGTGAATGGCCCCAGATTCCGTCCTCACGGTCGAAGTGTCTTTTTGTGCAGATTTTTAAGGGCGAGACTTCTTCGGAAAAATTGACTACAATAAGTACCACAACATAGCTTGGAAGAAATAAAAATAAATACCGCTCCCTACGGACTAGCCACCAATTGTAGATCATATCGAGTATCTCCCATGCTATACGCTACTGCTAGTTTTCACGTGGACGCGCTCCTGGAAAGCAATTGGAGTCATCACGGTTGCTGCATCGGAGTCGGCCACGAGCTTAGTGTGATATTCTCGCAAGCTAAGGATGAGGCGTGGTCCCAGCACGAACATCTGCGCGATTTGGAAGATTTGAACGAAGCCAGAATAAATCTGGGTTTCTAGGTAAGGCAAGTCCTGTAGAAGTGATAGGTAATGACCGCATGCAGAGGTCAATGACAGATCGGCATACCGTTGAGAGCGTTGGAGACAAATAACTCATTTCAAAACAAGAAACTACAAGGAAGCTTGCACAGCAGAAATTTAGCAAAAGACAAGAAAACCACATTAACATTGTGAGCTCACCTCGCAAAGTAACTCACGTGGGTTTTCATTAACACCCTGAAACAATCCCCAAGAATTCCTCTTGTTGGGTTCTGTCGCATTTCACGGAAGTGCATTACAGCGATCCAGACTGCAAGACACAGTACAAGGACCTCCCATACAGTGCCAAGTATCCAAGTCATGGAAATCAAAAGATAGGCATCTCCCGCATAGTTAATCATGCACTGAAAGGTGCCGAAGAGAATGAATCCCTCTGGTATTTGTCAAGCCTGATGCACTTAAACATTTCATACATGATTAAAGCTTACCTCCTGAAATCTGCGTCATCGTTATTGCGATCGTCACTATGTTGGCGATTCTGATGGCCACAAAGATGACGACGAGAAATATCAACACCTTTCTGGAACCCAGATACATGGAATGTAACCGAGCGATCACGATGACTTGCATGATATTTCAGTCAAGTCAATATCACATAGTGTATACTCACCACCCAGAATTGCATCTGAAGCGATACCCGTCCAATCAAACACGTCGTACATGGTACTGCCTAACACATTCAGTAACATTAGTTATCAGCTTTTGAGGATCACAGGCTCGAAACAAACTCACAACTGTGGGAGTTGTTATGTTGAATCAACGAGTTGTTCGAGAATCTCACTCACCCCTGTGTATGGTAGTTCAATTGTTCAGACAAAATGGAAGGCATCGGTGCGAAATACTCACTGCATCTGTCGTCGAAATTGTCGGAACCCATACTGGAGTATGGTATGTTGCTGGTCAGAACAAACATGATGTGTGTGAGCGCACGTACACAGTAGACTGAGCCTGATCGTGAGAGATGGGTAATGAGCGCAACATCAATGGCTTAAACGTCCAAACATACACGGCATATCCTATCCCAACATATCGTACCTAGGATATGTTCACGTCAGTACAACTTGCCAACCACGTTTACAAACGAAGGCTACATACAAAGAGATACAAAATGGTCATCAAGGACCAGCGTTGCCTCTGCCGCAAATTAGTTGTGGTATTTTCATATCGTTCTTTGGATGGATGTGGAGTCCGCTCACCCAGACCAGTTCCACCTACAAAACCGTTCTCAGCGACATGACTACTCCTGTAGTGGTGTCAACCTACCTCCTGTCCGAACATAAGTCCTAGAAATACCATAATGTTAGTGGTCTTTTCATACTTAATCTTGCTCACCCCAATCGTACATTACCCCAACACAGGAGGCAACTGTGAAACCACAGCCAAGATTAATCAAGTCATCGACGTCACCATGCGGCTGACTCTCACGAACCTACAAAATAGCTGGATATAAGATTCGCATCGATGATCGGCCACCAACTGGGATCGTTCGAGACTACGGTCATACTATTAGAGAATGGGAGTGGGAGTGAGCGAGCGGGGGAACTTGGTGAACGTGTAACGATCGCATTCGTGCTTGATATACCATAGTCCAGCGCTCACATTGCCGAAGTGATATTTGACGGATCATCGCAATGATATCTGATCTGATTGATTATGTAAAGTATTTTAGCATCAGAAAGACAGTGCGCATCCAGGCCTCAGGGATGCCGACATCGGGCCAAAATGGCAGTTGTCGGTGAAATCGCAAAGCAGTGACTGGCAGTGACTCGCGCGAAATATTGTTTGAACCCCGTAAAAGATCGGAGAACAGTTCGTAACCTGCCAGCGCAATCTTCGAAGTGCTCTTTGGTATTCGGTATTCTTGCTACAGTCACGTGATGGGTTCAGCCCATCAATGACACCATTGATTCAACACAGGCGACCTTGTGGCATTGTCAATCACGACACGAGCAGAATTCACAACTTCTAATTCATGTGCATGCTGATCAGTACAAATGCGACCAAAATTACATGCGTCGTATCCAATTCCCCTGTCATAAAATACTATCGACGTGTGTAGCGACGAGGGCAGTCGTACAAAGAAGGGGGAAAGGAACCGCTGTACAAAAGAAGGGGTAGCTGTATAAAAAAAGAAATGTGGACAGGGGCGAAGGCAGTAGGAACGTAAGCGATGACGAATGGGTGGTGATGGTACACGCTTGAACAAAGATGAAGCCAGAAGGGACGAGGAAATCAAAGTTGGGATAAGATAAATGTCTGCGAGCACTGCTCACACCAGACCATCGAAAGTGAAATCAAGCAAGCACTCCCAAGCGCAACCATCCCACTCTTGCCAGACATAACAGGACTTACGGTCCTCAAACTCCCAAATGAGATCCTAAGCGTAGCACGCGTCTAGATAGCGAGCACAGGGGTGGCAGGTGTACTCGGAGATGCAGTCAAGAGAAACGTAAGGGATACCGCAACAGGAGATACCATGGGAGACGACAGCGGGATACGTGAAGGAGGCGATGGAGTCGCCTGTGGGCATAGGAATTCGGGACCAAATATCGAGAGGTTACGGCTGATGGGCTTTGGCTTCGTCGTGGCCTTCAGTTCCTCCATCTCCTTTGGCTTTGGTTTCGCCTTCAACATGGACACGAGCAAGGTAGGTGTAGAGAGCGAGACGGTTGTTGCAGCAATCTCTACACCCGCTGGTGAAAATTTCTTGTTATTATCCGATGAGCTAGAGAAAGCCTTGGGCAGTGAAAAAGCACTCTGCCCCGGCTCGCGTTTTTCAGCCTGATCATTGGACGGATAGAGAGGCGCCGATGCAGAAACGGGAGTGCTAAAGGTGGAATTAGAATTCGAGAACGCAGTGGACTTTCGTATATTGCTGTAAGAAGCATTGAATGTTGATAAGCTGGGTTTCGAGAAAGCAAGGGAATATTCGGTTGGACGACACAAGTGAATGGGACGTAGATACGGGTGGTGGAAATCGTGCTCATATTGTTGCCGTGAAAGGCTGAGTATAGTCTGATAAGGGGGAAAGAAAGACACACCAAACAATGTTCTTATTATATATGGTCAGCCTCTGAGTCGGTCATGAAATCCATATGCTGAACAGCTGCCTACATAGTGGGTGACGCTGTTTGTGATAATCGTTGCGCTCAGTGACGATGCCACTGAGAAAGTCTTAGATATGGACTTTCCAGCAGAAGTTTGAACGACAGTTGTGACTCCTTTAGCGTGACACGTGACCTGCATCACTTTATGATCAGACAGACTCGGATTGTGTCTTGATCTGCATATCTTGACCGCGCTGCTCGATCGTTCATCGACATCCTCTGGTTTGAACTATCCCCACCAACAAATTATTCATGGCAGATATCGTGGCTTCAAACCGCGATCGCCTACTCAAAGCTGCAGTTGAAGGTATGAGTCTATGATCGCTCTGAAAGTAGAACCTGAATGAGCACACTGAGTTCATGAGTATTTTAATAGCAAAGACATTTGCATACGTGCCTTACTCCAAATTTCGTGTGGGAGCTGCTCTTCTCACTGAGGACGGCGAAATCATCAAAGGTGCTAATATCGAGAATGCCTCGTACGGTGAATACGGTCTTTCAAGATTCTACTTGGCTCTTGCTACTCATCAGTCTTGCTACTATACATAGGAGGTACTATTTGTGCAGAGCGCACTGCATTCGTGAAGGCAGTGGTGCGTCCACCTTATCTGATCTAGTAGCGTTCGTGGGGAACTAAATATCTCGATATCAGAGTGAAGGCAAGCGTAAGTTTGCGGCCCTCGCTGTCACAACGTATATCATTATTACCCTTGCCCAAATTCTTACACTAATTACCTGCTAGCGACGTTGCCTCGCCAATTGCGCCTTGTGGGATGTGTCGTCAAGTAATTCGCGAATTTTGTTCCCTCGACATGCCCATCCTATTGGCTGCTTCTTCTTACATAGAGAAGGAAGATGGAGTACGAGAATCTACTCTTGGGGAATTACTTCCATTTAGTTTTGGACCTGAAGATTTGGAAAGAGATCGTAGGTTAAGATACCTGTTTGAACTCATCTAGGTCGTGTACGCGATAAGATAATATCAGTGTCTTATGGGAATGAATGATTTTGCTGTCTTATTAGGAAGAACGATAAGCATTGTTTTCTTCTAAGATGTAGGTAGACTAACCTGTCGCCCGAAATGGTAGTAGAACTGGTTGTGTGGCTGTGAAAGGCAGTCGTCACCGCGGGCTGCGGCAAGGGAACTGGATCCGTACACAGCATACACAACGTACGTGCACTACACATTTCTTCATCCACAACGTCTTGCATGGCTCCCTGGCACAGGACAGCCGCTTTCATATGGTCAACGCTCGCTTTTCTGCTTTATTTTGGTTACACGTCTGCTGCTGATCCAGAACATGCCATAAGCTACTTCAACAATGCACCAACCCGGTTGTTCTTTTTCGACGATACCGCTGTGAGACATTCATATCTGCCTCAGGGTTTACTTAATATTAATTCACTTTATCCTCTAGAATGTGATATACCACGATGCCATCTTCGGGGACATACATGTTTCTCAGGACGAAGGCAAGACCTGGAAACGCGCAGATGACATACCAGCTGGCGATGCTGCAATGTTTATTGAGCACCCATTCGACAATCGCGTGGTACGTTACTGTCCATACTTATATTTATCTGCCTGAACACACTGACGTGGCTTTCGACCCGACCGAATTCTATCTAGGCATTTGTATTGACAAATTCTTACACACATTACCGCACAGACAACCGCGGAAAGTCATGGCGCACGTTCGACGTCCCTGAGCTAATATCCTACGTCCAAAATCCACTCTCATTCCATTCAGATTCCACAAAGTGGGAGTACACTCTCTTCCAGGCTACCAAATGTGACGAAATTCCCTGGGGAGAACGATGTCGAGACGTGGTGCGCGCTTATCTTATATGTATATATTACTTGCATCCAAATTTCTATGTAGACATACTACACCAAAGATGGATTCGCCTCATCACCACAACTACTCCTAGAGGACGTCTCCCGTTGCCAATTCGCTCATAGTAGTAAGGACTTCAAACATGACGCTCACGAAGACCTCATCTACTGCGTCGCCTATGACTCTTCCGCCATGACTGGCTCGCACAACCTCGCAAGCAGTCGTCTGTACTCCAGCACAGACTTTTTTGTCACCAGGCAGAACGAGACCTTGGCATTGGCAAGAATGCCAAGGGTGTCGTGGCATTTGCGATCGTGTCCAAGTTCGCCGTAGTTGCGCTCAAGGATTTGACGCCCGGCAGCGACGGCGATATGCTGTTATATGTTACTGTGAACATCAAGGAATGGGCCAAGGCACAGTTCCCACATGCCTCCCAGGCGCGCTTGCGGGAGAATGCATATACCATCGTCGAGTCTACAGTCCACTCTCTAGCAGTTGATGTCGTCTTGCACGACACAACAACCGTCGGTACCCTATTTGTCAGCAACTCCAACGGCACCTACTTTGTGGAGAGCTTGACAGACACGAACAGGAACATGGTAGGGTACGTTGACTACGAGACCATATATGGCGTTGAGGGTGTCGGTATCGCCAACGTCGTCGATAATGTGCAAGACGTTGAGAGGAAGATGGTAGCCAAGAAATTGCGGTCGGTCATCACATTCAATGACGGTGAGGAACGGTGTTTCTTATTTTCTTTTGAACTCACCTTATGACTTTGCAGGCAGCTCATGGGATCCTCTGGTCGCTCCTAGTGGTACCTGCTCCTCTCAACCATGTTCGCTGCACTTGCACTCAGTAACAGATATGCACAACTATGGCCCCGTTTTCTCGTCTCCCGCCCCTGGTTTCGTCATGGGCGTGGGTTCCGTTGGAAAGGCACTCGCGCCATATCAGGAGAGCAACACTTACATGAGCACTGATGCCGGCCTGACATGGTCCATGGTCCGCGAAGGCGCACATCAATATGAATTCGGCGATTCTGGAAGTGTTATCGTCATCGTCGACGACGAGCAACCTACCGACTCTATCATGTATTCTACGGACATGAGCAAGAACTGGTACGTCTTCACGCCCTGCCGCTCGCTATGTGTGCATGTATGCAACCGTACTGAAACACCCCGCCCTATAGGAACACGTACAATGTCGGGATCCAATTTAACGCCAGGGGCCTGACGACGGTATCAGATTCGACGTCTCAGAATTTCCTCCTCCTCGGCCAGGTCACGCGGCAGTCCCAACAACCCAATCAGGGTCGCAACGTTGCCATCTACCTTAATTTCGCCGCCCTTGGGCGCCCAAAGTGTGGTCCCAACGACAAGGAGTCATGGTATGCAAGAGCCAATTCCAAATCAGAGTGCATCATGGGTGCCAAGGTCTGTTACTGATGTAAACCTTGCCATGAGAGTGGTCTTGCTGATATACTTTGAAGCAATGGTACACAAGGCGCAAGGCTGACGCAGATTGCTACATGGGTGAGGAGTTCCATGATCCGGAAGTTCATGATGATAAGTGCCCATGCGAGGAACATGATTATGAGTGGTACGTCATTCCTTGTTACTCTACCCATTACGACCGCTCATGTGTTGTTCTAGTGACTACAACTACGTGCGGAGCGATGGTAAATGTGTACCTTCGGGTCCAGAGCGCATACCCAGCACCCAGTGTACCCTTGGGACGCCCAACGAAAAGTACATGGGTTCATCGGGTTATCGCAAGATCCCTGGGAACAAGTGTGAGGGTGGCTCTCGCATGGACGAGCCCATCTCCAAAGATTGTTCCGGAGGTGAGTGCTCCATAAGCGGTGGAGGGTCTGTGTCTCATGTGTCATTTGCAGCTGAACCTGTTGAAGGAGCGATCGTTCACCAGATTGTATGTTTCTGTCCTTGCCCCTCTTCCCAGGATAGAAATTTATGATATTATAGCATTCATTCCCTGGTGATGTTGTACAGAGCGAGTATTTCAGGGACTCGAAGGTGGGCATCCTGTATATCGTATCATATCAATGCCTCACGTCTGCCTCCATAGACCGTCCTCGTCCGTCTTACCGACCTCACAATATGGCAATCGAGCAACGAGGGTTACACATGGGAACAAAAGTTCCCAGAGGAGCGTTTCCTAGCTTTCTACATGCACACACACAGCAACGAGCGCGCATACCTTATCACCAACTCCCAGAGGTTCTATCACACAACAGACACAGGCCGCTACTGGCACACCTCCGAAGCGCCTTCGCCTCCCAACACCTTCGGGGCCCAAGTGCTTCGCTTCCAGCCCAGGACAGAGTATCTCATCTGGATCGGTAATGTGGACTGTCAATCGGGGTACGAAAACTGTCACGCACAGGCCCAGTACACGTGGAATAATGGGCGGAATTGGGAGTTGGTAGAGGACTACGTCGTTAACTGTGACTGGGCACGCGATGAGGAGCTGCGGATTGATTCATCTCAGATCCTATGCGAGTCGTATGCGAACAAACAGGGCTCGCAAGTGTTTTTCGGGAGAGATAATGCGTTGCAGCTTGTGTCTGGGACGGACTATTATGCGACGAAGAAGAAGCTATTTGACCATGTCATGGGGTTCACCAAGTTTTCGGAGTTTTTGATCGTGGCTGAGGTGAGTTTTTTTGGTTGTCTTATGGGTGCGCTGTTGATTGACTGGTTGTGTACTTACAGTTCCTCCCGATGAGGGGCACGCTTAACATCCAGGTCTCACTTGATGGACGGACGTTTGCTTCTGGGAGCTTCCCTCCTGGCATGCATCCAGATTCTCACGTAGGCGGCATCACCCTAACTCTACAAACGCTGGAATTGCTCATGATGTTTTCTAGGCATACACTATCCTCGAGTCAAGCACTAAATCCATCTTCCTACACATGACCATGAATGAAGTGCCAACGCCATGGGGCAACATCCTCAAATCCAACTCTAACGGAACTTACTTTGGGCTGTCTCTCGAGAACGTGAATAGGAATAATGACGGCTTTGTCGACTTTGAAAAATTCGTGGGGTTGGATGGCATTGCGATGGCTAACATAGTGGCCAATCCTGCAGAGGCTGCACTCACTGGACGTAAGGCTCTGCAGACGAGGATCACGCATAATGACGGTATGCTTTGTTTCATGGGTATCTTTTACCTCTCGTTGACGGTTGCTTGTTGCGTCAGGTGGCACCTGGAAGTCGCTTCTACCCCCTTCAGTAGATTCGCTGGGTATGAGGTACCCTTGTACATCAGTGGTATTTCGTGCTTTTTTGTGCATTGCTGTTCAATCGACTTATTTTGTGGTATTTAGAGCTGTGCACTCCACGTTCATGGGTATACAGAGCGCTTCGACGCCCGGGCGACATATAGCAGCCCATCCGTCGTCGGCGTAGGTGATGGCAGTCGGAAATGTGGGTGATTCACTCGCCACCTACACAGAGAGCGATACCTTCCTATCCCGGGATGGCGGATTCACGTGGGAAGAAGTGCACAAGGACGCCCATCTCTGGGAGTTCGGTGACTCGGGGTCTGTCATCGTGATCGTGAACGACGAGGAGCCGACGGACCATGTCCTGTTTACCACAGATGAGGGTCTCACTTGGCGAGAATTCCAGTTTACGACTGAGAAGATCAGAGTGAGGGATATTATGACGGTACCGGGGATACAAGCCGGAAGTTTATGCTCCTGGGTCGTTATTCCGCGACGGGTGGCTCGGTGATCGTGCACTTAGACTTCTCATCTCTCACGCATAAAAAATGTGAGTGGCGTGCTCTTGTACTCGATGATTGATGTTGAACTCATTCTTCCAGGCCTTGTGGATGTAGAAAATCCTGGACACGATGACTTTGAGTTGTGGAGCCCCAGCGAGGAAAGAGACTCGCTTTGCTTGTTCGGTCGACAGGTGAGTCACCCGAACTTGAGTTTTTCCTTTGTCACCTATATCATCTACAGACGCTCTACCATCGCCGCAAACGGGATGTGAACTGTGTTGTTGGAGACACGCCCAAGGCCCTAAACAACATTGTGCGGAACTGCACATGTACGTCGGAGGACTTTGAATGGTGAGCCTTAGGTGTGATACCACCCGCTCAGAGCTAATTTAAATCTGGGTACGAAAAACAGCGAATTCAACCATGTCCGCAACGGGGAAGGCGAATGCGTTCTTGTTCCGGGGACAAGTTCACTACTGTCAGATGATTCATGCCGCAATGGAGAAGACTATTGGTATGAACGCACGGCGTACCGCAAGGTGCACTACTCCACTTGTGAGGGTGGCGACCGCATAGACCGAGGCAATAAACACCTGTGCCCTGGCATTAACGGCCACAGCGCGATGTTCTGGATGATGGTGATTCTCTTCCCCTTTGCGATCACAGCGCTTGTTGCATGGTGGTGGTACAGCAAGAGCGGAATGGCGAGAGGGCAAGTGACAATTATTTTATGTGCGCGCGTGTATGCTTATCGTTGACACACAGGATGATCCGTTTACCCGGAGGTGACTATTCGCATGGATCAGGGTCTGGTGTGATGGCTACGCTGGCATCTATACCATGGTTCCTTCTCGGGCTTTCGGGCATCGCGTTCGAATATATTGCATCAAGCCTGGAGTCTGTATCGATGAACTACCGGGCAAGGCGAGGATATAGGGATGTACCTGTAGACGAGGATGCGCAGGTCTTGCATTTCGAGGATGAGGAATAAGCGGGGTAGAGGTCATACTTAGATGAGACTGCCTCGACTATATATTAATAGCTCATACTGTCCTTGTAGGTAGTCATAGCCAAATGCTGTCCTATTATGCTGTTTCTATTTTTTCTGCCTATGGGATGCATTTGTTCAATGGTATTTAATTTAGAGCGTGAATTGGGCTAAGAAAATGGCATTAGTACTCTGCAGTAAATAACACAGCGAATACAGGGATAGCAGGGATACATAGGGTGATCGTCCAAATTCGATCTTGTGACTAGTCTATAACACCAAGATGATCTTCTTTGATCGTTCCGATGGCAAACTGACCTTGTATTAACAGCAGTAGTCGTACTAAAATCAAAAGACTCACGATTTCGGTAGCGTCAACGCGCGTTCCAACAATTTTTAGTCGTACACGAGTGTTCTTCTCGATGATCTGTTTGAAACAAGGTAGGGATACTAGGGAGACGGCACATGAACGGACAATACCTGGTCCTCTGATGCAAAAGATGGTGGATTCGAGGTCGGATCAAATTTCATGTCTGGATGTATCAGCTAGGAATGCCACAAGACATTGAGGGAGGCAGAACGGAGCAAGTATTCAAACTCACTTGGTGAGATACAAAAACCGTTAACGGCCCGACGTCAGCAAAGAAGCCCATCTACACACTATTCAGTACGGAGTAATGAGACATAACAGGGTATGGCGCACCTTGTTAACGTTATTTACAACCCCATCGACCACCTCTCCCTTGAATGGCTTAAAGACTATTGCACGATAGCGGGTGATGAATTCGGCCTGGCCACTTCCGCTCAGTACCATGCCTTTTCCGATATCCAGGATGGAGACGACAGCAATGATATACCCGAATGCGCCTGAACATGTTCCCTCTACGTCTGAGTAGAGTTTTGACTCGAGGAACTGGAGCATCCGAGGGCCAAAGTATGACGGATGGAGGAGAATTGTGTGCGTTAATTCTTTCTGGGCACCGAAGTTTGGTTATGACGGACTGAATGGTGGTGGAGCTCTCGGAGAGAGGTACTCACAATGAAGAACATGTTGGCTCGGTTAACACACGGGCAATCGTATTGATAGATCACAGGCTAAGTTGCTCCTCCCCAGATGCGGCAGATGACGTAATACAGCCGCTATCACCGTAATGGACGACAAGTTGCAGTATGAACTTTGCTGGGAGCCAGGATATTTCAGATTCAATTTTGACGTGAACATTGCTACTCAAGGCCTACTGGCATTGCAAGTAGAGTACTACCATCGTTTGACCATAATGAGTACTTACTCGTGCTCACTTCACTCACGCGCCGATTTGGTTCTAAACAAAGAATCACACTAAACGACCGTAACACCGCCGCTTCTTTCTGCTACACAAAGCTCGAACCAGACCAGTTCCTGACGGACTTCTGCGCTGCGTTTGAATTGCCTCCAGAAATTCAGAGCAGGCTGGCTGACATTAATGGATACACTGGAGCGCGAACTATCAGGTATATTGTCGTATCTGAGCTGAAAGAGATGGGTTTTAATGATGGCGAGATCGCGGCGATGATGGATGCCGTCGCAAAATGGACTACTGTTGATAAATCCATCCGCCAGCCGAAGTTGGGAGTCTTGGGGGATAGATGCAGGGGAGGCGTAGTCTCCCTCCGGAGGTCTCTAGAAAAAATTGAGGCCTTCCGTTTTTTTTGCTGCATACTCTGCGAGCCCTGACGTGCATCACACTAGGTCCACTTTCTGCCTTGTTCCGTCGTGCGCCGTTCATGACGACAATTTCACCCGATACCTGTGGTATGTAGATTAGCAAGTTTCTTGAACCCCGGTGTTCGCGTCACCAGATTGCTCTACAGGAGCAGCAGGTACCGAAGCGGATTGTGCAAACACGCCGAGGGATGAACGCTGATGCGTTCTCTCACTATACCATATTCGTGATCAGTCCTAATGACTCGAACTCCACTGCCCGAATGCTGCCATGAACCAGGGATGTGTTGCCCTTGCGGACCGGCCGGTATGCTACAGGGCCAGATAAGCATATTGACCCGAATTATTGGGTGAGTGCATACCTTCGGGGAAGTAGGGTAGATGTGTATCCGGTTGGAAAATATTATATCAGAACAATGATCGACTAGGACACTGACCACCAAGTGTGACTGCAAGTTATTCCAGGCAACCTTGTTCATCTGAACGTGACCTTTCTTAATGTCATCAGACTTCAAACAAATGAGAACGGTGTCACGATATTCGTTCCTCCTGCACTTTAAAAAATAAGTAGCTGTGAAACGAGTCCGCTATACGAACATCACGAGGCTCGGAGGATACGGTCACCGTGTTCTAACTGTAGAGCCCCCATGGTGGCGCGACTGAACCTTGCCACTGTGTTAAAGGAAGTTTAGATAGAATCAGCAGTATTCGCACCAGGCTTGCCTGAGTTGTCATCTGTAGCAATCAGATGCCAGACGGGTTATGGAGCAGGGCGTTGGGAGTCCTCGTATTTAAGTCTTTGCCCGCAGGGTAATGGTAGAAGTATGAGGACCTGCCAGTGGTTGTGGAACACCATTGGGGTCAGTTAAGTATTGGGTCAGTCATGGCTTATCATGATGAGTCTGGCGTCGGAGAGAGGTGGAGTTCAAGTGGTCTGCATAGTCATGGTAGCGGCGCCCGCAGCCTCGGCCCATCACTGGGCACCCACTGTGTCACTGTTGAAATGGACATTCAACTAACCAGGTCTACCATCTCCGTGACTTACGATTCAGGTCGTTCCTGTGGTTCAATCATAGCCTTCAAAAAAGTATCTACGGACGCATGGAATCTCATAGAATCAAGTTGCAACCCTAACGTTGCGGCCGAGGGAAAAAAACAATAAATTATTATTATTAGGGTACAAAAATATTGGCCAACGTGGGGATCGAACCCAAGACCTTCGCGTATCGAGTTCGTCGGTAAGATTATGAAGTTAAGAGTACTTGTCATAACTTTACCAGCGAATCGTATTAGCACGACGCTCTAACCAACTGAGCTAGTCGGCCTTATGTTTCGGGGTGGCAAACATTTTGAAGAGGGTGGGATAACTCTTTTCGTTACTAAGAGTTATTGTTCGGCCTTTAAGCTTTGACTCTGACAGATCTGACAGCTTCTCTTAGAGGTATACAGCTAACCTGTCATGTAAATTCGTGAACAAAGAGTGTCTGCGCTGCCATAATGTACATGTGATGTGACCTTGTCGCGCTGGATTACTGTGAGTCAGTGTTTCTATTTGTTCAAGCTCTAGTACTCAGCTGCTAGTGCAAGCTTGCGATGTCGGATAGGTTTTGAATTGTGCTGTTGACGATCGAGTCGATGAATATTTATATTTAATGTGCAGATCTCACTTTTCGCTGGCAAGGTGACAATGTGGCAGTGCTCCAGTAATCAACGTCCCTTAAGGTATCCTTATCGAGAAGTTCAAATTTGGTTTGGTTCAACTTGTTCTTTGACCAACATCTTCATTTGCAACAGCAGCCCTGCTCGATTTCAACGATGGTCACCTATTCCGCTTTCTTTTCTTCTGGCCTTCTCGCGCCTTACCATCCAAGAGCAACAACAACTCCTGCACCACCCTCCTCGCCGATGCCGATGCAATCCAGTCCTATACACCCTGTCGATCGCGATCTGAGCGTGACACCCACACCCGGTGGCAACTCGAATAACGTTGTTGCAGTACCCACTACGAATGCTGACCGTCCTCGCATGCGCAGGCGTCGCAGTAGCATGAATATTGGTGTGAACCCGATGGCTCTTATCAAGTCGCCGATGCGGAATGCGGGCAGCGCGCTTCAGCGCACCGGCGTCATGTCTCCCACCCGGAGTCGTGCAGGCAGCATCGCAGAGAACGCTTCAGAAACCAACAGTCTTTTTGGAAGACTAAGAAGTGGCAGTCTGAACGCAGGCGCTCCACTACGGTGAGTGGCTCCAATGCTCATAATTGGATGTCTTCTGAAACCCTGTGCAGCATGCGTCGTGCAGTCAAGCGAACCGTCCCACTCGCTCCGCCCCCCACTGCCCCTCTCCCTGCACTCCCATCGCCATCTCCATCTGCAAAATACACGCGTACTCTCGCGCCTCCTGCGCTTATCATACCTATTCCTCGCCAACCCCTCATGAATTATTTTGTGTCCAGTCCTAGTACCTCTGGACTACTCAGTCCTGATTCTGTGATGCAGTTCTCGTCCAATATGTCACCTGGTATCTCCTCCAGCCCTGCTCATAAGTGTTATTTTGGAAGTACTATCGATGAAGAGATGAAAGAAAACTGAACGCGCTTCGATGAGCGCCGCTTGTTTGGACATTGCGCCTGGTTGCGCACTTGCTCTCGTGCATAAATATCCCTGTTACCTATTTACTGTTCCAGATTAATTCCCTGCTGCATTTGTTACCAACATCCCACTCATATCCATCCAGTATCTCTATGTCCTTCAGTCTCTGCATCTTTCAAGCTTTCTCGTTACTGCTCTTTAAAAATGGTTTTGCTCGTCCTCGACATTCCTCCATGTTTTGTATGCTGCTCTAGTATCTATGTTATTTTTTGGGGCATCTGACGTGAATAGACCATCGTATTTTGGTCGTGGGCCAAGTACTAGGATGCACAACCGCGCTTGCAAATGACGCGTCATCGTTACGTGGTCCAAAATTCGGTGAACATTAAGAACCCGCGCAGCACGAGATTCGAGCATGGATGTCGGACGTCAACCTACATTGACGTACGAAAGCATCAATATGGGTATAGAACGAGTATGCATACGCTCCTGACGCGGACGGCCTAACCATCAAACGTTACTCAGAAACCTGCTAACGTAAGTTCTAATCACCTCAATCGGTGCACTCACCATGATCTAGCAAGGATAAGCTACGTAGTGAGGTACGTGACACTCACCAATTAGATCTACTAAAATTCGGAAATTACGCCGATATGTCTTACTTGCGGAAAGCTTTATTCTCCTGGCTTCGACTAAGCAAGTCTGACAAGGAATGTCTCTGATGAGTAATATTGTGATCTTATCACGCATTTTCGAACGTTCATGAGGCTATAACGCGTCTACCAGTTGAGCAACAGAGCGCAACCTGGACCATTCGAGCAGATCATTCACGGTGGCGTAAGGAGTCTCGGAACTGCTATCAATGGTAGTTATCACCCGAGACAGATTCGAGCAACAGTCACAGCAGCCCCGTGTTCCACGGCCATTGTGTTGCTATAACGGATAAGTACTGTGATTGTCACGATGGATGCCTAGCTTTTTAACTGAGCGTTAGTCTCCGAACTGCGGCGGAACCGAGCGAACCAATTCTACCCCCTCGACTGACCTACCCACAAAACCATATTCGGCACTGAAACCCATTGACATGTGCTTCGTCCTTGTCCATCTCGGCTCGCACAGCAGATCCGCTGTAGATGGAGTTCTGGTACTCTACATATGGTATCGTGAATCGTGACGCCCACCCAAGTCAACAAACAGATCTTAGATGAGCTTGTCAATCCCGTTTTACATACAGGTGAATCGCCGTTAATGATGAGATGTAGAAGTTCATCGTCCTCGTATCTTGACATCTGATCATCTTAACACTGACTATCTCTACTACTCATCGCACGGCTGACTTCCAGAAAGGGAATGCAGAAGGAAAAAGCTTGAGGTGAGCGGTCTGTCATGTTCGCGGAAGAGAACTACTGATACGAAACAATTACAAAACACACTATGTTTAGGGAGAAGAGTCTCGTTTGTATGTCCTGCCTATGGAAATGCGTATTGGATTCGAGTTTCACATTTTTTGTTAGTGACATTAAAGCCACGGGGAACTTAGGAGACTATATGGCCTAGCGCAGTCATGTTTCACCCTATTTGTGGAAGCCCGATTCAAACCTTGCTATTATTCGAGCAGGTGACACATAGGACAGGTGAGTCTACGCCCCACTTTCTTTCAATCTGACCTGTGGACCCTCCTTTCCAAAAGCACACAATGGTTCGAGCCAACACGATACACCCACTAGCAAAGATTGACATGAATATAAAGGCTGACATATTCAGAGCCCTTCTCTCATAACACAGTCTCCGTTTACTTATCCCAACATTCACGACACGAGTCCAACAACCTCCATGGCTTCTACCGCAACCTGCACTGTCCCTTGTTCTGACTCCGAGCCTACAGAGTTCATTATACCTGACTTCTACAACGAATGCCGCTATCCCATGCGACTAAACCCTCACTGTGATCCGGTATCTTACGCTTCTGCACAATGGCTTTGTAGCGAAGCCCATTTAGTAGAGCCCGAGAGCACCAAATATACGAGCCTTGCGCCCTGGCTACTTCGCTTCATCTTGTTACCCTGATGCGGATGCTTTCCATCTCAAAGTCTGCGCGGACTTTCTGGGCTGGTCGTTCAAAATGGACGACTGGCTCGAGATCGATAGGTCCGATGTTAATGATGCGTGGGGAGTACGTGACTGCTGTATATCTGCGTACCGCGATCCCGTCAACTTCCAGACGGAAAGATATAGTGCAAAGATGTGCAAATCGTGTGTCTATTTTTTTCCATCGCGCACACATTCTAATCATCTTACGGTTTTAGGTACTTCGGTCGCTTTAAGGAGACTGGCGGCCCTGGCTGCACAGAGCGCTTTATCCATGCAATGGATTTGTGGTTCATCTCTGCAGCAAAGGAGGTGGACAACCGCGCCAAGGGACATGTCGATGATGTTGAATCGTACATTGAACTGAGGCGCGACTTGAGCGGCTGCAAGTCTTGCTTTGCCCTTATCGAATTCGTCAATCGGATTGATCTTCCTGATGAAGTAGTCTCGCATCCGGTCATCATGGCCCTGGAGGAGGCTACCAATGACTTTGTTTCTTGGTCAAACGTAATACCTCATTCTGTCATCGAATTTTGGGCACTACTGATATCGCCGCTGACAGGACATTTTCTCCTATAATATGGAGCAATCTCACCATAGCACACATAATTTAGTTGCTGTGCTCATGATTGATCAAGGTCTCAGCCTGCAAGATGCTGTTGACTACTGCGGCCGGTTGTGCAATATCTCCCTCCAACGCTTTGAAGAAAACCGTGCTATCCTCCCCTCGTGGGGAGAAGAAGTCGACAGGCAGGTGGCACTCTACGTCGAGGGACTGCAGAACTGGATTACCGGTCCGCTCCAATGGTCCTTTGTGACCGCCCGCTATTTCGGGAAGGATGCGCATATTGTCAAGCAGGACAGAACCATCAAGCTAATGCCCAAGCGGCCCTTGTGAAATCCGCAGCTATTGCTCTATGTGAGACTGTTTTCACTTTCATGTACTGCACGATTCTCATTGCGACGACTGCCATCATAGAAAGCTGCATCAATATCTATATCTTGCTATGTGTGAAGCTACATTTTTGACCGTATCATGTTTGGCCTTCTTACTCAGAACGTTTTTGACTTTCGCTGTTGTGTGTGATAGTACTAGTCTCCCCCGGTCAGACTATAATGAAAGGAAGACAGTCGTTCATTCCAAGTTCATTCTATATAGAATTGTACACTTGCGAGCATGTACCATTCTTATACAAGTCTTGGAAACGATGTACATATGTACCATTTACATTTGGAGTGCAAATATTTATTTTAGATGAATGTGTGCATGAGCGTGCAGGGTGCCAGAAGTAGACTTGAACCACGAGAAAATTACGGTGCAAGAATGACTTTGGTGAAGTAGATAAAAGCTGCTTACTCAGAGCTAGCACCCGGTCTAATGCATATGTTAGTAATGTCTCATATAAACATTTAACACAGATTCTGATCGTTGGAGTATACTTGATCCGGGATGTATGTTAGCGTGAGATGAATGTTCTTATAGCAAATCAAGAACAGTGGGTTCACCTCGAGCGCCGTACTCCTCTCGCGCACTTTCATTCTCTCGTCCGCGACACCAGCAAGTGCACACCGTCAACAACGCCGCAGTATCCCCTGACTAGGATCGTGCAGATCCTAGCGACTATCGCAATTTATTCTTTCTGATAGAGGAAAAATACGTGAATGGCATGTGCAGGATCACGAGAACTCTCCAGTAGCTATCAAGGCTAGAATGGAAACCAAAAGGATCTTGACATAGTTGGAATCGAGTGTTCGCACCATCCAACTTCGCATTATCGCAGCGGTCCTGCTTGCGGACAATTTCCTTACCATGTACTTGGACGCCATTCCCGGAGCCTACCTCGACACCAACAACACTGGCTTCATTGTCATCCCCCCCTCTTCCGTCGCGGACATGCATCCCCTTAACTTCACGATCGACGGTTGTGTATTCAGCATAGATACAGCTGCACAACTGATCCCATTGGACCAGAACGCCGTGTTTGGCGGCAAGATTGGTGTACAGTACGGCGTCATTACTTCCCTCGGCGCTGACAGTGGGAGGGGCTTAGATTTCATCATCGGTCAGAAGTTATGGTTGGAGAAGTATTATGTTGTCTTTGACGCTGATGACAACCGCGTTGGCTTTGCGTACACGTGAGTCAGCTCGACCTGGTGTCTAAGTGAGGTTGAGGGTTGATATATTCGGACTAGTGATCACACCTTCTCGACGTACTTGCCTTGAGTTGTCAAGCGCAAACTATGTATCGCTAGAGAATAATCGAGGCACGAACGATGCCATGGACAGCTGAGCTCCGGCCGCGGCGTGGCAGTTTGGCATTTGACAGAAGTCGATTTTCGACTTGCCAAAGATCTTGTGAGCATAAAAGAGGGCCGTGGGTGCCCGAAAATGAGGAGCCACACAAATTATTGCAGCTCGTGGGCTACAATATTTGAATTGAGACCTCAGCTCTGGCAGTGTGAAGTCAGAATACATGTTCTTGCCCAGCAACCAGACCACCAAAATAACAAGTTAAAGCTTTCAACTTAGACCCCATCCACTCTTCCTCCACTTCAATCATTCGAGGCTCGTCATCGGGGGTGACGCTCTCGTCTTTTTCGAGCAGATCCAGGGCGGATATTTCATTCAAGTCCGTATTTCTGGGAAGGAAGTAGGCAATATTATCCGAGATCCGCTTCGTCAGGCGAAATAGATCAGCTCCATGTATCGGCTGTATCCTCGAGAGGCTATACTGTGGGTGCGTCTCTGGGTCATCCTGGAAGTCTGTGTTTTCATAGGGAGATATATATCCTGGGCCACCCCAAGGGGGACTCAAGAAGACGACGTCAATCCTGCGCCTTGGGTGGGGTCGTGAAAGATATGCGTTTGCAAATGAGATATAGTCTGCAAGGATAAACTCGATGCGGTCTGCAACACCATAGATAGCAGCATTATGACGAGCCAAAGCGAGTCGTGTTGGGGAGATATCCAGAGCAATGACTAAAATTTTACGAGGATGAAAATTGTAGTGAGCGATAGAACAAGCCTCTCACCATGCTCGCAGGTTTTCGCAAAAGCAATCGCATTTCCTCCAACGCCACAGAAAGGATCGAGGATTGTATCGCATCGACAGCGATCTGCAATTTGGACGGCGATGTCTTCAGGTGTCACGCTATACCAGCCTTCTTCATCTAATAGACATCCTTGGTCGTATAAAGAAAAGTAACGCTTTCGTTGCGCAAAATCTAAGAGACAACTAGGATTGAATCATAGGGCCCTTGAAACGTTAAGTTGTGGCACGACGGACATTTCTGCAGGTTTTCTGGAACCTCGTGAGCGGTGGTGTAGTGAGGAACAAGGGCGGTAGCATCGTATCTTGTGCGAACAGGACCATTATCCGTTTTGCGTTTCTTTGCAGGTTTGCTCTGATTCTGTGGTTTTTCTGAGAGGCTAGTAGTATTTGGATTGAGAAAGTCTTGTGGCAGGAAACGAGTTAAACCGGTGAGATTTGGTTTCTTGCCCATTGCGACCCTCGAGATGAACGTTACAAACGACACTGACGCGTTCGGTTTGTGATTCGCGGAGTTATAGCCGCCCTATCGATTTCAAGTTGTCACATCAACTTCCAGAGAGTACTAATTTTGAAGTGAGCACTATATAGTCGCCCAAGTTCTGACTCTCTTCATGCTCGGAGATGGACGTCGATATCGACGCAGATCATGATGTACCAGATTTTGTACGAGCCTGGCATCCATCAGTTCGTCGACCTATCATTCCCATCGATCCGAAGATCTACCACGAAGCCATTCATCCTCGCGCTATTTTCGAGCTTTGTAAAACTCCCTCCGGCGAATATGTATCCGTTGTTCCCTATTCCTGCGACTATTGTCGTTCGGTAAAGCAATCTTGTTCGCGTCTCTTGCCCTGCGATCGGTGCACCAAGGCTGATCGGCCTTGTGATGCCAGTCAACCAGGCTATCAGAAGCTTCCCCCGCCCAAGGTGACCAAGCTTAAAAAACGTCCAACAGCCTCTTCATCCCCACCAATATCCGGAATGTTCCAAACCCCACCGGCGCCACCCTCCAAGACGATAGTAGCTTCAGGATCCAGCCAACCCATTACAACTTCTTCAAACCCTCGGTCACCTAAGAAACCGAAATTGACCCATCCAAACTCTTCAAGTATTCCCAAAAAAACTTTCAAATACAAGGGGAATAAGAATATGGTTGATGGTAACCCCCTTCAAAACATACCTCTCAAACAACCAGTCAACCCAGAAACTGGGAGCGGTCAGTACCTCGTCATATTTCCCATTCGTGCACATAACGCGTCAGGAATAGATGCCGCAATCTCCACAGCGCCGGTTTGGACTTTTGTTAGGCCTCCAAAGACCAAGTGTGCGACTGACAGCTGTGCAACTGTTCCCACAGTCGATACCCTTCCTTGCACACCTTGCATACCTCGAGTCTGGGCAAATGTGAAGTACCTTAAAATAATGAATGCGAATCGAGTTTAACTAGATACCCAGTCTCGAGCAGAAATTACTTCAATATTTCCTGAACTCACAAAGTCTCTTACGGGTATCTCGTGGCGGCAGTTTCAAATGCCCGCATTGTTCCTAGAGCATCCCCACCCCGAGCATTCTTGGAGAGATAAAAACACTCTGAAAGTTGTTTTGTGAGTTCCTTCTGGTTTTAACCCTTGTTCACTGATTGGGCGGTGTCAAATATAGGGAGTGGAGTTTTCAACACGGACCCGAAGTACTTGTACGTGACGATTCGCATGACATAACATATGAGGAAAGGCCCTCCGACAACAGTGATCTGGCAGCACGGGTTAGAACTCGGTATATTTGCGAGGCTTGCTTCCTGATCTCCAATTTAGGTGGAAGAAAGCGGGTCTGTCAAGGATGAAGCGCCCTCCTTCTTCCCTATCAAAAGCGACCATCTGCAGTTCAATTTCTCATCGTTCACTGCACCTCTTACTGCGGGATCTGAAGGTGGGCTCGTTCGAATTCTTTCCATTCCGTCACTTAGATTACGAAAAGTGTTGCCATCCGATATCATGGCTGTGTCACAGTTACCCACGTCAACTCCAGTACCGGTATTAAATTCACCATCGCCGATGGTCTTGTCTCCATCTCTAGGTCTGGAACCGGAGACGCCAGCGGTGCCTTCCTCGGCAACTCCTCAATTCCAACTCCAGATACCTGAACCCCAGATACCTGAACAAAGGCCATTTGAGATCGAGACATTGGATCAGTGTCGCATGGACAACACCCCCTTACTTGTTTTCGTATCTCGAGAAAGCGGGCTCTTACCACTGCAGCTCCCTCCCGAGTACGCATGCTCTTGCTTGGGATTATTTGTCATATCTGACCTGAACGTCAGTTCTTTGCTCGTTTTACTGGTCACGTTTGTTGATCTCCCTGCAGGCAGATATAGACAATACAGTCATAACTATTTCTAAAACTCAGAAGTGCGAACGTGTACGATGGCACCTTACCTTGGAATGGGTACCGGGAGGCGAAGAAGGGTTGTTGGAAAATATCAATGAAAAGTCGTACCCATGGTGGATTGATCCTGTCGAAAAGGAGGCTGGCGCAGTGAAGACACCCAGAGACCTAAGCTCCCTCTATTTTAGCTTTCTGCCTTTGGACCTCCTTGCGGGCTTCAAACCTAGCGAGTATTTTCCAAGAGGCTGGTACTGCAGAGACTGTGGGATGCTTAATGCGCAGAGGTGTTTTCGACACCAGATCTGCCAGAGTTCCAGATGCAAAGTGATTTTTTTCTGCAACTAGCGTTGTCGAACCTTGCTGATTATGGCAGCAGCGTAGACTGGAGCGGGGAAAAGTACCAACCAATGATGATGCCTTGATTCGCCACATTGATCCGCTACAAGCACTTCGAGGACCACATCATCGTTTACCCATACAGGATCCTCTCGATTATGCACCTTCGTCAGTTGGCAAAATTGATTCCTCGTGGGACGACATGATGCGAAATTTGACGTATCAAGTCAACAGTGGTGTGAGAGTACAACATATTTTCACTGGTAACCAAGAAATATTGCAGCAGGATGCAACAAAACTACTCCTCGACATACAGAAAGATGTTATCCTTTCCCGCAGTGACCTACATAGTATGTATCCTTGTTGCTTTACTTCTAAAACGTGCGAAAATTTAATCTCAGGTCCCTATTTTACTTGGTCCACGAAACTTAATCACGAACATATCTGCTCCGGAGATCCATCAGGACAGCCTGAAATACCTAGACTTGTCTTCGACATCCAGGATACCCTGCTTCATTATATGCAAGCGTATGGCGAAGTCAACGATGTCAACATCAACCATATCATGATTCAGGCATGGGCTACTCCGGGCTCGAGACGGGTAAGCCAGAAAGGACACTCGATGCTGTGTTTTTATCTAAAAGCGACTAGGGCGCCGTTTTCAACGCGAAGAGCCACGTTGTCGCCATCATCTGTCTGGGTGCCGAAGTCGTCATGAATTTAGTACCCAAACGTGGTTTCACGGAGATCCCCATTGAAAGTGCGGAGGGCCGCATGGAGATTGATGGCGAGCGGATCTTAAGTGCGTCGCAGCTGGTGGATAATGGTTGTTCGGAACCTCTTGCGTCGGCAGCAGTAATTGTGCCAAACGACTGCCGCCAAACTGGTGGTGACCTTAACGCCGCAGATCAACCTGACCCAGCGAGCCTTGCTTTGGGGGAGGCATCTGGACCGTCAAGTAATGTGGGGGATGGCAAGGCAGCCAGAAAAGGGAAGGGTACTGGTGCCAAAAAGAATAAGCAAGCGCCCTTAGAACTTTCCATGACCCTAGTTCATGGTGATGCTATCATTCTCGAGGGAGATGACTTTGAGGTGAGGGCATCACGCGACCGCGTTTTAATGTATTACTGCTGATCTAAGTACGTTAGTACCAAATCAAGCGCAGCGGAACTACGATTCGTGAGTATTTTGAATTGGAAGCTTTTGGTTTCTAACTTAAATGACATGCCTTGGCTAGTTCTCATTGGGTCTTATGAGTGATCGGCACGGATCGGTCGGTCGTCTTGGAAGTTTCAGATCTGAGGTTAACCAAATATTAAATATTGTCATTATGCGATAGTTGCTTGTTCTCAGGTCGTTTATAACGAGAGAGGGGGTCCTCGTCGTGCATCGTAGTTAGAGCGCTAGAGCGAATCCGAAAGCAGCAATCAAATCTCCCAAACACACACTCGAACTGGCTGGCGCCTGCTGAGCGTGATTCTTCACAGCAACCAACCTCCAAGAATTATGGCTAAAACATCCACATCTACAGATGGACAAGACCCAAACTGGGGAAGAGGTAAATGCTACGTCGCACTTCTGTGAATAGAAGCTGAACTTTTGCGCACAGTACTAATTTGCGGTGGGACGGACTGGTGAGCGAGTCCAGAGCGACGAACCAGTCATTTGAGCTCGGGTATTTATGAATGGATGTTGTGCGCTTTTCACAGGCCGAAACTGGGGAAGAAAGAACGTGGTGGAAAAGGTGAAGGTAATCCTGATGCGTGCGTCGTTTACCAGCCAGCATAGCTACATCAGCTCAAAAACAGTTTTTTATATCCCAGACCAGACCTCCTCGAGCCCTATATCCTCCGTTCTCTCAGCAATATCAAAGTCGCTTCCATACACGCGTCATGTTTCGGGTGTCACTTCATCCTTCTTGATGTGGACGGCGCAGCGTGGATGTTTGGGCGGAATGCATCTTCTGCACTTGGCGTGTTAGGAGAGGACGCGATATCTGAAGACACTCCGCGACGCGTGCTTCCGACAGACTTGGGTGCAGAAGAAGGCACTAGATTCGTGTATGCAGCATGTGGACGTAGTCATTCCTTGTTAGTAGGCGATGATGGACAGGTCTGGTCTGCGGGCGCGAATAACTTGGGTCAGGTGAGTCGTGCTTTTAGCTCGTAATTTTTGTTCTGTAGGTTGACCGGCTGGGGTATACCAGTGCGGACATCCGGTCGTCGCGCAGATACCCACTTTCGAAGCGATTGAAGGGCCTTTTCTTGATGGCGGAAGACAGCACGTCATCAAGGCAGCAGTGGGCGTAACGTTTTCTATTATACTCACCGATGATGGCAAAGGTACCCCCTTGACGTATTCCGTCCTTCTGCTAGCTGACGTCTCTCAGTCTTCTCTTTTGGCAGTGGCGAGAAGGGACAGTTAGGAAATGGTAGGACGGGAGAACATATTATTACCGGAAACAAGACGGCGTTTGACATTGAGACTGAACCTAGTAAGCTTCGACATTCATTTGGTAACATCACTAGCTGATCCGTTCGTAAAAGTACCCGTGAAAGGACTTGACGATAAGACTATCATAGACATCGCATGCGGGCCGCAGCACAGCGTAGCCCTTGATTCCCAAGGGTATGTACCATCTAAACTCAGTGATACGTCACTCAAGTGCTCTTAGCCTCGTGTACGTGTGGGGTTATAACGGGTACTGTCGGCTTGGTCTGGGCAACCAACAGGACGTCCTCATCCCTAAAGTAGTCCCGCATGTACGTGTTGGTTTGGTTCTCCTTCGCGAACCAGCGTTGAAATAGCTTAACTTAGTTTGCCGGACCGAATGAAATAACAATGGGCGCTCATATTATCGCCGGCCCTTCGAATACCGTGGTTCTGGACAAGCAAAGATTGTATTGGATGGCCGGAAAGGTCCGTAAACGTCAGTCAGGTCGTGTGTTATTTCTGATCCTTTTTGCAGTGGAAGAATAGCGGAGAAGGTGTGCATCAACTATCGGCTCGGTTCGTTTATGCATTCACTTAGCTAATATGGGCAGGATCCTCCGGCTCGCCATACTCTTCATTTAGGTTTATTCAAGATCTAATGTAGGATCTCTGCTTCTTGCTTTGCTTGTTGATTCACGAATATGGCACTTTATTTATCAGGGGTTGTAAAATATCTGGTGGCAGTTGCGGTGGAGTGACCCATTTCGCTCTCACGACCGATGATGACGGCGGTGTCATGACAGTTGCTTGGGGGCAAAATGCATCCTACGGTAAGTAAAAGAAGAATCCTCATGACTGACCCAGCCTGAACGATGACTGCAAGGTGAACTCGGTCTGGGGCCTGATGAACCAAAAAGCGCCACAAAACCCACTCGCCACCAGCCTCTCGCTGGGATCGAGGTTATAAGGTGAAACATCCTCTGCTCGCAGGTTGGTACAATGTTTATTTGATCCCGTCCAGCGTGGCAGCCGGTCAACATACCACCTTGTTCTTGGCAAAACCAAATGCCAAATTCTCTGATCTTCCACGTCATCCCCTTGAAGTCGACGCCCCTGAACTCTGTATAGTCTGCGACAAGGATAACGGGGATGATGATCCTGCTTTGGAATGTGACAAGGTTGGTTACAGTCATCTTAACTTTCGATGACAGTGTTTACGAGGTTGGATCGACAGTGCGATCATCCATACCACCTGGGCTGCCTTAATCCTCCTCTGGAGGCCATTCCAGAAGGTGAATGGTTCTGTCCTAAATGCGTCGGTGAGCTGGGTGCCCTTTCAGGTCACGACTCCAAATCGTCCGGAAAAAAGGGCACCAAATCGTCGCCGGACACCAAGGGGGGCACGAAGAGGAAGGCAACTTCTTCTTCGAAAGAAGGCGGTAAGCATCTTATTGATCTTTCTGTGACCTACTGATCCCTGACGCCTTTTCGTAGCTCCTAAACGTAAAAAATAACGATACATGGAAGATATGCAAGACCCAAACATAATACATCCGAAACTATACCTTCTCTGGAAATGTTCTTTGTGTACTACATTGACTATTCTCGGTGTAACGTTTAGCTGGGTCTTATCGCTCTCGATGTTATATACTGACCTAAAGTGTACATAGTCCTTTCACATTCCCCATTTTATCGATGTTGTGCGATGTATAATTTTGTTTTATATGTAGATGTTACTCAACTCTTCTCTTGTTAGATAACACTTTAGACACTGGAAGTCCTCCACTCTTTATTCGAAAGCATCATTTGCGCGATGTGACTCCTGTGTTGGAAATCACGATCGTGTGTGCCATTTCATGACTGTCATGCACATCAATGCGGCGGTGTGACTATGGTGTGTGTGACCTTAACTGCTGGCGTATATGAATCTAAATGTTTCATTAACTGAAGGTAGAAGGTGGTACATCCGACTCCCGCCAATCAAAAGATCAGATGCTACATGTATAATGCGACGTATTATCTCATTCGATTCGAATCGTGTCTCGACTTCCTTGCAAGTCTTTGAAGCCAGTGATAAACCGCGCGCCTTTTTTCGACCCACGGCAACTTGATATCTCTGCAGGACGATATCTTATTATGCTACATCTTTGATGTGGCGAGTGTCCGAATGTCGTGTACTTCAAGTTGCCACTAGTACTGGCAAGTCTTGGGGTGCATACACCACTCACCTGCATGTCTGCGATCAAACGGTAGACGAATGAAAGTAGTCCTTCGACTTCCTGGCTTTCAACGTTGTGTCACACGGTGTGCTTAGCGCTCAAAGTCAACACAACAGCAAATAAGTAATGCCTCAAGGCGCGGCGATCAAGGATACGACCTGTTACCAGTTATCTAGCTCAGAAACGAAGTGGGACTCATCCTTCCTCTAGTCACTTATCACACCCTACTTCGCTCAGACTGATCCTTGACATTAATTATTTCAAACAATGAGTGAACGCAATCAATCAAGGAATTCAAGGCAAAATCCTCCTCCCGAAACCCGCACATCCACTGGTGAAGCAACTGCTGGTGAAAGCTCGGTATGTCGCTGAGGACCACTTTTCATTTTACTTGAAACATTAACTCTGATGCATCCTTCCTCCAGGGTACTCAGGGCAGACGCCGCGGCAAAGTTCGTCGGTTTCCTAGGGAAGATTGGGAATGCGACTCAGAAAATTTCTGTGAGTCGACAAAGATCCTGATTTTCCTCGATCAAGCTTAAGGCTCATGTGATCATACAAAAGCACTCGCCAATGGATTCCCACGGCCGTGACTCTGTTCTCCCGAATGTCGATCGTGAGGACGCCTCATCGACTGCAAATATCGAGGTTAGTTACTTTTTAGCTTGTGCACCCTCTCTCAATACATAAATTCTGGTGATCATACAGGTTCAGGATCCCCCCTTTGGTGTGGAACAAGGTGCCGATCCCCAATCATCACTTCAGGACGCCAGAGAGGCCGTAGAGCTTATGAAGTCACTTTCGGTACATGTGACATCTGGAAAATCCACCGCCAAGAATGTACCAGCGGATCTCAAGGTTGCATCTAATTTTCATGACACATATCTTCAACCCCTCAGGATATTCGATAGTGTTATTGGGACGCTTGCGGAGGTGTGGATCATCTCTCTCGATCGGATCCTAACCAATCCTGTTCCATAGGTACATCCATACGCCAAGTTGGCGCTGAGCGTGTTGTCTTGGGCCGCAAAAGTATGTTTGGTTTTGTTCTCATTCGTATCTCTTTCTTAGTTCTTATGCGTGTAGATAGTTCTTGCTCAAGCGGATCGCGATACAGCGATACTCGACCTTCTCCAGAAGTTGGGTGATGTTTATGGCTTCATTACAGAAGACAAGAAGCTTCACCAGATTTCGTCGATGCACACTATCCTTGGACAGATTTCTCAGCAGATCCTTGAATGTGCCCATTTTATTAGAGATTATTCAGAGACCAAGAACTTTTGTGAGTCTTCAGCAAGTCACTGCGCTTTTCACTGTCTCAATCCTCTACTATCATCATAGGGAGTAGAACCGGAAAGAATATAGGCTGGGAAACAGATGATGTAATTCGAGGGTATCGCGGAATGTTAGATAAGCTCATGGACAACTTTGAGAAACAAGTTACTCGCGATGTAGCCATTTATGTCCATCGTACAGGTAAGAGTTTGTACCTGCTTCTCACTCGACATCTATTCATACGTCTCCAGGCGAAACACTAGATCTTAGTGGTATGACGTATGCGGATGGCGCGGGACGAGATACTGGGAAACAATGCCTAGCAGGGACGCGCACAGAAATCATTTCCGAGATCACAGACTGGGTCAACAGCACCGGAGACAATGTTCAGCGTGTGCTCTGGCTATCTGGCCCTGCAGGCAAAGGCAAGTCGGCCATCGCCCATACGATTGCTAACTGGTTCAATGATGTGGGGGGGCTCGGTTCATGTTACTGCTTCGATCACCAACGAGATGCTGACCGTCGTCACGAAAAGATTTTTTCTACCATCGCACGCGACCTGGCCGACCGTGATCCGGAGATGAGGCGAGCATTAGCGGAGGCAGTTAAAGATGCGAGTTCCCTCAAGACTACAGTGGATATCGTCCAGCAGTGGGATGAGCTTTTCATGAAGCCACTGGGAAAGCCCTCAAGGTCAATTGTAAGACCCGCCGTCATCGTGATAGATGCACTGGACGAGAGCGGCGGAGTCGAGACACGGCTCCGCCTTCTCCAAATTCTTGCGGGAAAACTAGGTGTTCAACGAATCACCGAACTCCCAGCCAACTTCCGGATTATCGTCACTTCTCGTCCCCTCCGCGATATCGAAGCTGAGCTTGCAGGTGCTCAGCATATTCGACGGATGTCCATGGACGACATTTCATCAGCCACCGCAGAGCGCGACATCCGCACTTACGTATCGAAGGAGCTGGAAGGCCTCTCGAATTTTGGGGACAGAGAATTCACAGCCCTCGCTGAAAAAGCTGATGGACTTTTCGAGTGGGCACGTCTCGCCTGCAGAAACATCAAAGCGCCCCCTCCTGGTTTATCTCCAATCGAGTCCTTCAGTCTTGTCACGTCCCGTGATCTTGCCGAGCGGGAAAACTTATTGTATGATATATATCAGCTCATTTTGACAGAGGTCATGCGAAAGGATAGGTCTACACACACCGTATCTCAGCACGGGCAACTAGCGAGATTTCGTTCTGTAATAGGACAAATTCTTGGCGCAGCTGAACCCCTCTCATTGGAGTCCCTGAATGTTATGCGGAGCCATTTTCCGGACACAGGCGAGCATTACAAAGTGCAAGTCATCATAGAACACATGGGATCCCTCCTCAGCGGTACCACCAACCCATCTACCCCCATCCGACCCCTTCATGCATCCTTCCGCGACTTCCTGACGAACCAATCATACAGTGGGGAGTTTTACGTTGACGTGTCGAAAGTACAACGCGACCTTGCTTTCGCATCACTTCGAGTGATGGAACATGAACTTTCCTTCAATATCTGCGATTTAAAATCTTCATATCTTCCTAATGTGAAAGATCCCGGGTTGCGAGAACGAGTTGAAAAGTGCATCCCCCCACACCTATCCTACGCCTGTCGATTTTGGCCTGCCCACGTACAAACAACAGTTTTCGAAACGGAGCTCGCGGATGAAGTCAAATTATTCTTCGACCATCAGCGACTGCTCTTCTGGATTGAGGTCCTTGGCATTATCAAGGTGCTCAGCCGCGCAGTCCCCGCCCTCCCACGCATTTCCCAGTGGCTGAAGGTGAGCATATGGTTAATGAGTGTCAGATGAAGGGCTGACACTCAACCACAGGGCCAGTCTGATACGAAGATGCCTCGTTTGCTGCAATGGATGTGCAGAGGTTCATCCAAGTCTTCGGCGGCATGATCTTGCACAGTACGCCGCATCTCTATGTATCAGCACTACCGTTCTCTCCCGTGAACTCTACGATATCCCAAAAATGCGCTACCAAATTTCTGAACACTCTTCGTCTGGTATCTGGACGTGATGAGAACTGGACGGCTGTTCAGACTGTGATTAACGGACACACTGGTTATGTTTACTCAGTCTCGTTCTCACCGGATGGGACTCGCATTGCAACCGGATCGGATGATTGCACTGTGCGGCTATGGGATGCAGCGACGGGCCAGTCAGTAGGCGAACCTTTGCGAGGGCACACTTCTTCAGTCACCTCAGTCTCATTCTCACCCAATGGGAAACACATCGTGTCTGGCTCGGCCGATAACACCGTCCGGTTGTGGAATGTAGCAGCATGGCAGCCCGTTGGTGAACCCTTATGGGGGCACACTGAAACAGTTTACTCGGTCTCGTTCTCGCCAAATGGTACTCGCATCGTGACAGGCTCAGCAGACAAGACTGTCCGGCTGTGGAATGTAGCAACGCGGCAGCCAATTGGTGCACCCTTACGGGGGCACACTAGTGGTGTTAACTCAGTATCGTTCTCGCCGGATGAGACTCGCATTGTTTCTGGTTCAGATGATAAGACTGTCCGGCTATGGGAAGTAGCAACGGGGCAGCCAGCCGGTGAGCCATTGTTGGGGCACACCGATGAGGTCAGGTCAGTCTCGTTCTCTCCGGATGGGACTCGCATCGCGACTGGATCTGCGGATAAAACTGTCCGGCTGTGGTCTACAGCGACAGGGAAGCCTGTCTGTGACCCCTTGGAGGGGCACACTGATTGGGTTGGGTCAGTTTCGTTCTCGCCGGACGGAACTCGCATTATAACAGGTTCACACGATGGGACTGTTCGGCTGTGGGTTGTAGCAACAGGGCAGCCGGTTGGTGAGCCCTTGCTGGGGCACACTTGGCAGGTTCTCTCAGTCTCGTTCTCTCCGGATGGGACTCGCATTGCGACTGGTTCTGCAGATAATACTGTCCGACTGTGGGATCCAGCTACAGGGCAGCCAGTTGATGAGCCCTCCCAAGGGCCCACCAATTCAATTACCTCAGTTTCGCTATCGCCGGATGGGACTCGCTTTGCGATTGGTTCTTGGGATGGCACTGTTCGGCTGTTAGATGCAGCGACGGGGCAGCCAGTTGGTGAGCTCTTCCAGGGGCACATTCGTGCGGTCTCCTCGATCTCATTCTCTCTGGATGGAGCCCGCATGGCGACTGGTTCTCGGGATAAGAGTATCCGGTTGTGGGATGCAGTGACGGGGCAGCCGGTCGGTGAGCCCTTGATGGGGCACACTGATGAGGTTAGCTCGATCTCATTCTCGCCGAACGGAACTCGCATAGTGACTGGTTCGGACGATAAGACTATCCGGCTGTGGGATGCAGGAACGGGGCAGCCAGTTGGTGAGCCCTGGTGGGGGCACAATCATGGAGTTAGGTCAGTCTCATTCTCGCCCAACGGAACTCGCATCGCAAGTGGTTCTCGGGATAAGACTGTCCGGATGTGGGATGCAGCGACGGGGCAGCCAGTCGGTGATCCCTTGGTAGGGCACACTGATGAGGTTAGCTCTGTCTCATTCTCGCCCAACGGAACTCGCATCGTGACTGGTTCGGATGATAAGACTGTCCGGCTGTGGGATGCAGGAACGGGGCAACCAGTTGGTGAGCCCTTGCGGGGGCACAACCATTGGGTTAGGTCAGTCTCGTTCTCGCAGGATGGGGCTCGCATCGTTTCTAGTTCGAATGATGAGACTATCCGGCTGTGGGATACAGCGACGGGGCAGCCAGTCGGTCGGCCTTTGCGGGGACACACTGAGTTGGTCAGCTCAGCATCTTTCTCGCCAGATGGGACTCGCATCGTTTCTTGTTCATGGGATGGGACCGTCCGGGTCTGGCATGCAGTGATTGGGAAGTCGTTGCAGGATTACGCCGAAGAAGACTGTTCAGCATCCTCCCCACATGACAATTGCATCCCACATCCAACAGTGGCCATCCCCACACCCAACACTGCTCCCGATGACTTCATCTCCTTCTCATCAAACTCGACACATGCACTGCGTGACACTGCTGAGCTACTCGCAAGCACCCCCCGTGATGACCGCAGTTCGACGTTCGCTCTTCTTGGACACGATGGATGGATGACGGGACCCAACCGTCGGCTCTTATTCTGGGTACCACCCGCTTCACGAGGGACATTTAGATATAATCCTCGAACGACATTAGTAATTGGGAGAAGATGTATTGAGCTTGATTTGAGTCGCATGGCACATGGGACACGTTGGCAGCACTGCTACGAGTGAGTCTCCAGTCTTTTCCGTTCTTCGCATTAATCATTCAATACTTCTAGCTCTTGATGATGAATGGCTCCAGTTGCGGAGACGTCTGAGATCCTTGCATCAGCCACGATGTCGAGTGTATGATTAGTAATTCGTATGCCTAGCCTTGGGTCTCGGTTCGGAGTTGTTCGAGTGAACGACGTGTTAGAAGACTGACTGGGTAACAGGTCTTTGCGAGCACGTAATAATTATAAACTGAGGGCGAATAAAGTGATCAAAGATGCATTCGTGCGAAACAGATGGAGAGAAGAGTGTGCAAGGTGCCTCCCACAGTGAACTGAAGAAACAAACAAAGTTTGCGGCAACAGCGGGGATGTATTTGAACATTGTGGGGCTTCGGTGGTCCACAGTTTAAGAGTTAGAATGTTGAGAGAACTGGGTCACTGTTTCGGAAAAGAATGTAGTTCGTACAACACGTGTATGGTGACAACAAAAGCACCATGAGAGTGACGCGTGCAAGGATATACGAGACATGAGGCGTTGAGGAGTAAGGCTGGTAATGAATTCGACGAGGATTGATGGATCATGAGTGATGAGTGAGTGGGAATTAATTCACTTAAGATACGGAAAGTAAGGACTTGGTAAGGATATGCTTTTATATCTAAGCAAATGACTCATCAAAGCGGTACAAGGGGAATTCCATCGTCAGCGGAGTGGCACTCTTTACAAGAACATGGGAAACTTGAAGAATACTTAAAAATGAGGAAAGCCTGGGACGAGCAAAGCAACAAGCGATATGAGAGACAACCCTTCAGTTTCATTAAGGAGAATACCGGACGCGGGACGTACCAGATAGACCTAGTGCGACGATGGGCTCATCCTCCTTAAGTGAGGACATCTTCAATATTCGGTTGGCGGGAATGACGATTGGATGTCAGGAAAAGGATTGCAATGCACTTGCAGGAAACCACTCAGCCTCTATAACTCGTGCATCCAACTCGAATTTCTGGTTCATTTGAGTGTTGACAAGTTGGCACGAGTCGATTCTCGCAAGAGTGGAAGAAGCGCTGAGTAAAGTCGTGGGTGTGAAATTTGTGTTCACTGTTGGATGTCGACGACAAACTACAAGCTTCACCAACAAAACCGTATGAGGCCGACGGCGTGGGAAGCAAGCGCTGAGGACCACGTACCAGCCGCGTAGCCGCAGCTAATATCGTTAGCACCTCCGCTTGTACTTGGTCGCATTACAAACGATGAGGACGCGTCTGCGCTAAGACCTTTCCCTGCAGTCAGGACCCATAGTTAGAACCCAGCGCCTTCACTCACATTTCTTCTATCTCGACGCGCACCAGCACCGTCCATCCACCCTATTCCCTGCCACCGTTCCCATAATCTCCAAAGCCACCATACCACGCAGCAGGTTGTCATTCTTTCTCTCTCGTGGGATCAGTCGAATGAACAGTCAAAGTTCTGGGACTCCTGTAAGTAAACGATGATCGGATCTACGAAGATGGGTGAACTTAAGGTGATGTAAAGAAGTGACAGGGACGGAGGCATACCTTGGCGTAACCGCCTGCAGTTTCCATCAACGCCTTGACGCCCGCACGAGAATCGTGCACAACATGATCATTGTGGTCCATGCCGAACACAGGAACTGGAACTTGCGCTTGGTATCGTAGTGAGGGACCCGACGTCCGGGAAGGATACACCTATTAGTGCGGATGGAGGCTTCTGAGTCTAATTGGGGGCAGGCGAGGCGACAAGGGAGGTAGTTGTTAAGCATGCAGTCAGGTAGATGTACAGGTCGTCACTAGAGACAAATGTTACATCCTGAAACTGTCATACCTTGGCGGAGAGCATAACGATGGCGTGAACGGTAACTTCTCGAATGACAGGAGTGATGTCAGAGAAGGTAGTCTGCTGCACAGATGATGGAGTGAGCTGCCTTCCAATAAAAACGTACCCAATTCAACCAGATTTCATCGACGACTGTCTTTCATCCCGCTTTTCGGCGAACTATCGAGAACCACCATGCATGAGAGGCAAAATCAAAGGGGGAGGAAGAAAATGCGATTTGGACCCCACATCTGGTTGTCTGCAGGTCCCGCTTCTTCAGAATCTTCGGATATCCTTTCTTCTAGTGTAGTCAGACACTAAAGGTCTACGTCAGCCACGAAGCTGTCGGCAGGACAGCTTGTCGTGAGATCAACCCAAGCCATCTTCAACAGCTCGCTAATGTTCCATTCCCCATTCCGAGTTTGGACGCGTTTTTTGAAATCAACGGCCTTTCGATGAGCAACGAGAGTGAATGCGTGCACCACAGGCATGCCACCAAGCCGTCTTTCGACTTGACTAGAAGCACCAGCAGTGTACGACATCTAATCCCGCTAGGACGAAAGGAGACACGTTGCACAGTATTATTCCTGAGTAGTAGTACGAACGCGGAGGAGAAGCACTGTAGATATGGAAAGAGGTGAATGCAGCACTCCAGGACCTATACGCAGATGGACATTATATTCTCATATGGTGATCATTACAAAGATTCACTGTACAGTGTAGGTGTTGAAATGATGTTTGGACATGATCTGTACCCTAGGATCTGTGACAGTGCCGCGTCAATTTCACCTGGCCCAGATAAAACACGTACAATAGAACCTGTCTAGTACAGCACATCCTTCTCCATCCAATTCCACTATGCCGATTATGGTAGGTTCGTTTTGACTCGTCCATGATGCAGGGTTCGGGTTGAGGAGCTGTATGGAGGAGAAAAAGATAGCCGAGGATATGAATTTCATCTGGAAGAGAATTAAAGCGGTGGACGAAGTAGCTGAGGAGTCGGTAGTGGAACCTTTGTGGAGGTTGGGTAAGATCGAAAACAGCATGAGGAATCACATTAATCACGTACTGGAGCACTGTGTAACAATTATAAAGACGGTCGTCAATTTTATAGCCTAGGCGTGAAAAAATGATGACGCACCCCTTAAGGACAGACTATCCTCCGAAGTTCCTAACTTCTGGGGGTGGACATGACATTGCGTCTGGCATGAATCGGTCCTTGGTCTGTAAGGGGAATAGTTATTGGGAGGCGCACAGGACATGTAAGACAGTGACGTGCGTACTCCAGATTGCGCGAGTCATAGTATGAAGTCTCACACAGTACTTTCCTACTCACCGGCCTCCATAGTCTGATCAACTTAGGGTCAGTGGCGTTTGAGTGGCGTGACATAGTATCGAGCGTGTGATAAATATTTCGCAGGAGTGCACGGGTACGAAAGTAACGACTCGAACCGCGGTACAGGTGGATTACTGCTTTCATGAAAACAGCACAAACGCTCGGCGACTCGGAAGGTCTACTAAGTCCTTAGTGGTGAAAAGTATCATACCTCATGCAGGCTGCTTGACTATCTGCGCATCTCAGTCCAAAGGTGGCATCATATGCCTGGCAATGTAAAACTATTAGTGATATGCCATGTACTACGGACTCGACTCATGATTGTCTCATAAAACAAATGGATTTACTTTACGTCATAGAGTTTGATCCCTCACTACTGATGCATCTTTCGATGAGCATGAATGTAGACGAGCAGCTCGTCAGCGGCGCATTGTCCTCCTCCCACTCCCAAAGGTGTTCGTCAGCGATATCCCTCGTTCCTGCGTCTGACATAGAGTCGAGCGGGGTAGAAACTTCGGTCGACTCGACCTCCAAACTGGAGGGACTTGGCGGACATGCATCGGGGTCATCAAAAGACGCGACGTCATCAAGGTCCACCTCGATTGTCTGAGTCCACCGACTTGGATCATTAACATCACCCCTCTGGGATTCTTGGATTTTACGGAATTTCTCTTGGTGAAGAACTATACGTCCAGCCTGAAAAAGTGAATGAGGAAAGAGAATGACCGCCCAAGATCTCGCACTCAACAGCAAACCAAAGGCAGGAAAGCAGTACGCTAATGAAATTCAATGAGCAAAGAAACCTGCGGTACACGCAAGACTTACTAAAAGATTATGTTTCCACTCATCTTTGTGTCGATGACGTGCGTGCTGCAGAGAAACATGAAGATGACGATCACTGGAGTGATGAGCATGTGTGAACAAACAAGTATAGCAAATCTACCTATTATCGCAATGGCCGTGTAGCTACCGTCGCGGACTGCAAGCTTGAGCCAAGCACGCAGAGCTTCTGATCTGCTGGATGTGCTTCTAAAAAACCGCCATAGCATTGTAAAATGGATGAACGCAAAGGTTACAATGATTGAGACGCTGGTTCTCGACTCGGCGATCAGATATACAAGAGGTACGAAAATTCTCACCCGACATAGATTCGACTGTGATGAGGCGAGATTATGACGCAAGTGGGGGAATAGCGAGTGCCAGTTATGATTAATCGAGCGCTGACTGCCATAGCGGCAACCTGCGCGCCACTGAAGATGAACAAGAGTGCAAAGATAGGTTTGCCTTTGTTGTACATTTTGTACACTGCAATAAGGGCGAATGAACAGTCACCTAGAGTAAGACCGAAAGCCACGTACCCCGCAGCATGAGTAGCAACTCCACTGAAAGTAACAGACACTGAATTATCACGGTCTGGTACAAGCTCCATACTCTGCAAGTAGACGGACTATTGGGAACCCCCGAGGCCATCCTCAACGCAAACCAAATGTTGAAACTAGCGAGTGACAAGAGTGAGCACGCGACCCTAAGTTGCTGAACTGCTCACCTTTGTCCGGCTAAACCGGCATACCTGGTCATCACATAAATTGTAGCTTCGGCAGTCTTCCAAAATCGCCTGTTCACCAGAAAATGTTCATCGACGGCGTTCATCGATACGTGGAAGGTACTCACGGCCAGACCAGCTTGATTTCATCGGACAGAAACCAAAAATACTCGAGGACCATGAGCCCAGTTAATGTCGCTGGCGAGTCTAAATCAAACTGGAAGAATGTTCAGACAACGATTGGAACGTACTTGTTAGTATAGTGATGTTGCGTGCAACAGGATCGATGGAGGGGGACATCACTGGCGCAAGCAGGCACTGGCAATGCCAAGTAAAGGAGTGACTAAAGTTGAACAAGGAAGAATGGAAAAGTGACAGACGAAAGTCCGAGACTGCCCCACTGCGAAGTTGGACGGTCAGAGGGAATAAATATCAAGTAATTGTTGAAGATATATGTATTCATGAGCAGACCCGACGAACCTAGAGTCCGCCTGACCCTGACGAAGCACTGGCATGCCATAAGCGCGCGCTAGTCTCTAGACTGAAGCCGAAGAATCTCATGTTTTTAATGTCAATTATCCGACCTCCAGTGACTCGGTCCGCCGAGTCGGCTAAGCTCAAGGCAACTTGTTGGGGTCAAACTACGTGCTTAAACTGTGAAACTTTACTTACTTCAAATTCGAGCCCGAGTCACTGGCTGCGGACGTGACAGTGCCGATCAGCTAGTAGTTCTGGGATTAGTCTAAAGGATATGCCGTTCGCTGCTCACAAATAACTTCCCCCTTTCTACTAGTTTCTCCCCCTTGAGGGCTTCGGCCCGTTCGCGTATATAGTGTCCGCAATGTGGGTTCCATAATTACCCGAGTCGGTGGATGAACATGCCTGTTGAACTTGAACTTTGTTTTCTGCATGTGTTTGTGAAGAAAAACAAATTCTGAGGCTCAGATCGAGGACATGCGGCAAAAGCGATGTCTCCAGTCACAGCAATGGCTCAGGCTCGGTGATCAGGGTATTTTTGAATAATATTCTGCTACGCAACGACACAGGGTCGATTAGTCGATTGCTCGCAAATTTGATCACGATTTTATGTACAATTTCGTAGACACAAGCTTTCCAAGTCTCTTCAAGATCGCAACCATCTCCTTCCGCGACTCCAGCAAGGGAAGAATAACGCTGAAGGCCCCGCCCATGAAAACCCATACGCTTCACCGTCATCGTCAATTGAAGTTCACGGATCTAGTTTGATTGATACTCACATGGAGCATGTCACCCAAAATGCGTAAAACCGCTCGCTGAATACGTAGTTCGTGAAAAACATGGTCAACGGGACTGGAAAGTCTATGTCAGAGTCTGCATGGCAACGCAAGCGATGGAACCAACCAATAAGAATGACAATGACAGACATTGCTGATGAATACCATGTCGCTCGCCTGAACACCCCTTGCAGGGTGTCATAGCAGAGGGGGTCCTCTTGGGCAACTGGATCCGTAGGCCCCACCTCGAAATCTGACGGCAATTTTTCGCGTTTCTCGGCAGATGCCACATCCAAATTGGGGTCGTTATTTTCCGATTTGTCCAGCAATGCAATAGCCCGGGTCCCTTCGAAATCGTAATTATCAGGTTCTGACACGGTTATCATCAGTTGCATGCAGGCACGTTGCAACTGACCGCTTACTCAACAGAGACACGAAGACAGTAATGAGCCCCGAGAACATAAAACCAGTAAGACCACTGCATACAGCGGATATTGGCAATGCGAGGTTAGCTATAGTGATGGCGCCTGTAATATGGGATAGCCTGTCATCATGAAGATCTTTGCAGACGGAACCGAAAATGCTCTCCATTGATCTTCCAGCAGCCGATCATCCATGCAAGCATCCCGAGAATAGCCCCGATAATGGAGCCGCACAAAAGCCCAGTGCGCGTGAGTTTAGACCACCATACCGTGAGGATGATAGGGATGACTGCGGGACTAAGCACTATTCCCCTGCGCCACCCCACGAAGAGTAAGCGTGTTGAGTTAATTTGTCAAATGGGCCACCCACTGAACATAGTACAACTGGGGTAACCCAATTCAGTCTCGGTAGAATAATGTCAGGGAATGTTCTCACCCAACCCAGGTCGATGTTCGCTTGATTGAGCTACGACACAAATCAATACATTCCCCATGAGTGACTGGAAAAAGTATTTACTATAGTCGCCCAGCACCCCATCCATATCGCCCATGCACAAATCACGTAGTGTGAAACACGAACAATCTCTGCACCCGTCGCCTGTGGATGCCAATAGGTACGATAGATGCTACATTTAAATGAGTCATGACAACGGCCAATGTGGCATACAAGTCTTACTCATACGACCTTACATTGGGTGAGCGCGTGCGCAGAAATCGTGCATATGACAAACTTACACAATACTCGATACCGCGATGAGCTCAGCGCTAGCAGCAGACGTTACGGCCATGCTGCAGAAAATATAATTACACTTAATGTCTAAGGTTTTTAGTTTTTTCGTGACTCACAAAACCACTAACAACAGCGCCACAGCTCCGCCCTTTCCCATTAGCACCGCAGCCGCAGCTGGTGCGGCGAGTCCTGCACTTGTCTGTTGCGGTGACAGGGGGGACGGGTATGTCGGGAACAAAGGCTAAGGTGACGTTAACTTGGCGCCGAAAAGGCGGCGCACGAAACCTTACACTGCTTTGAAGCGCTCGGGCACTCAGACCGAGGCAAGATCCGAAAGCCCAAGGCACGGCAAACCAAGAGAGACCACCAAGCATCTGTGACATTGTAGTAAGCGTTGCATCATTCGGCGGATGAAGGGATGTAAATACATAAGCTTTAGTGGTTCCTTTGGGGTGACTTGCAATCGCCTTGAGATTGATAGACACATCAGTTTACGATTGCAGTGCAAATATACGTTATTTACCCTTTGCCAGTATCCTACGCGCGCCACGTCAGAAGACTAAACATGAGGTAAATCTATAACATACCCTGATCACAAAACACGCCGGCAAATCCTGAAAGCAATGCTGACGCTCCGAAGACAAGACCCTGACAGGAATGAGCACGAAAAGATGTGAAAGAGTAAATGAACCAATGCCATCTGCCCACCTGATTCGACTTCATGGTCATATAACTTCCATTTGCATTACCGGGGACAGGCACATCAATTGCAGCTTGTGTGAGCAACTCATACATTCGAGTTAAGCTACCAATCTCCGGTGATGTCCCGCTTTATTTGCGCAGATTCTCAGCAGCACATCCCTGTGACATGGGGACTTCACCTACTATGCACGGAAGATGAAAGTGTAAATGATGGCGAATAGAATGACGGTATGCGTCCAATCACAAATAAAGGTGGCACGCAGTCCACCGAATACGACATAAACCGCGATGCCAATCGGCAACAGAAAATACGCAGCAAGTATGTTCATGCCGGTGAGGGCGTTCACAGTGGCGGCGCCTCCCACTAAAACACGCGTCAGTGACCATCTCGGCACACGCGGCAATCTCACCTAAGAGAGATCCGCATACAACAAGAACGCAGATGAACGCATATATGGTAAACACGATATGGGCTGCGGTACCGAAGCGAACTTTGACAATCTATAGAAAAGTTGATGGGTCAGTCTCACGTACAGTGTACGTACCATACCTCCAAGAATGTGTGAGCGCCGTTCGCGTTCATCTTGACTTTGGCAGCCACCATTCCAAACATCGCCACTTGGATAGAACCGCCCGCACCGTACCACCTTCAGGAATTGTGATCAGTCAAAGCTTGAAGAGGCACAAATTGGCTGACCAAGGGCCGCTGACACCTAGGCACGGTCAGCGTATATTGCTCGAGCACATGTTGTAATCCATACCAAATGTATAAGCTGCAGTGCTAGACTGAAGGAGAGTCGCACTCCATGTCCAGGCGCTGACACTGCGATGATGCATCACAGGTGTTCAAATGTGTGGACAAAGATGACCTACATGCCGCAGCACACTAACCCTGGCTAACATGGGTAAATCAGCGAAAGTCTTATTTGGCTAGGAAGACTGACACACTTTGACACTGCGGGAAGCACTCTAGAAGCAGTCCCATTATATGACGTGCACAAGTATAATGCGACAAACCGTGAACTCTTCAGATGAACTTGGGGTATATCGAGAGAAGTTAGATTGCACCGCGGTCAAGCATAACATAAGGAGGGCGAAGAAAAACCCGATTCCTAGAAGTGAATCTAGAAATTGACCACGATCGGACTTTTGACAACGCACCAACAACCACACCGTATCCAACACTCTGGTCTGATCCATGGAATGAGTAAATGGGTAACTCGAGAAAATGATGTTTTCGCACCAAGAATGGGCTTGAAATCTTTGAACTGAGACATCGTTAAGACACAAAACAAGTAGAGCTGTAAAACTGCAGGAGATATCACTCGCTTTCATTTTTATCATAGCATCTAAGAATATCGAGAAAGATAAGCAAAAGTCATTCGTGTGATACATCCATTGTTCTTTGGAGAACAGGTGCTATCGATTGACAAGTGCGGAACAGCGAGAACACTTACAAATCATCTCAAGGAGGCGTTCTATCCTGGTGCATCTTATCAAGGACCAAAGTACTGTAGTTTATGCCAAGAAGGGAGCTCGTGACAGTACCAAGGGGATTTTAGTCCGACGGTCAGGCCTAGGTCAAATTTCGCAGATTTCTTAATATTTCGGTCATCGAGTGCCATCGCTGGGGCTTAGTACGGACGTGTGCGGGATGTGAGTGCATGCTATACGCATGGAAAACTGAATTTGAGCCATAGTCTCGCAGTGTGCTTCAACATTTTCTTTTAGTCTACGGGCTAATGCTGGTACTTTTCGACCGTCTCCCACACACATTGCCGAATCTATGTATGGGTCAGTGTCTTTGTCCGCGTTATCATATACCATGAGTAATATCAGCTCACCTCGTGACATGGTCAATTTGATCGTCGGATGCACTCCTGTTCAAGCGCTTTACTCAGCTTCTGAAGTTGGGCAGTGATTGAAGTATCACTACCCTTGGAGGGTGTACTACGTGCTTGAAAATCGTCGAGGAAATTATTGACGAGAGAAAGAGCGTGTTTGGAGGAGACTGGGACTGATGAGGCAACTTGCAAACGGACTGGAGGATGGGCTATATCGTCCATGATTTGTAACTTGTTGGTTGGAGTTTAATGAACGCTGGTGATATCCGATAGTTTAGGCTATGTTGATGATCCTTCATAAGGAAATTTTCAGTACTGCTAGGACGTTCCCGTGATGGCGGCCTAACCATATTCAATTTTTCCACCGCTTCCTGAAGTTCTTCTGCCAATTATTTCTCCCATTCCGCATTGATGGAGTGTGAAAGCGTAGAGGTTTGTATTAGCTAGTTTGTATACATAGTACTAGTGAAGATGAGCAGGTACAGGCAGGTGCTATATAAGCACTGTTGTTGGCAAGCCAACCTTTTACCCTACGGCCCGGAATTTTCCGAGCGGGCAGGCTTGATTCATTAGCGCCAGGCGACGTTTTTGTGGTTCGACCGCGTTCAATTCATTTCACTTCAGGTGGAGAAACGACTGTTGGCAAGTGCACTCTTTTTATTCGACACCACAGCCTCCAAACCACCTTTACAACTAATCCTCGACGTCTACAACCATGGGAAAATTGACTTCAATGCTAGGTCTTCTCTTGACGCACCCTCTTGAGTTCAGAACTCTTCTTCATTTCTACCTTTACCATGAGACGAAACGCGATATCACCGCTCAGCAAGAGCACCCCACGTCAGGCTGGGATCGAGCCTCCATGCGCCGCTGCTGGGAATTCCTCGACATGACAAGCAGAAGTTTTGCAGCTGTCATCAAGGAGCTTGACGGTGACCTCGCAAGAACGGTAAGCACTTTGCCTCTTTTATGTTTCTTCTTTGCGTGGGCCTCTGCCCATGTTTGCATGCCTATTCAGTTTTAACCAGCTAATCATCCATTCTACCCCATCCGCATGATTGACCCTCGACTTTCCAGATTTGCATGTACTACCTCATTCTGCGCGGCCTGGACACAATTGAAGATGACATGACTATTCCTGACGAGAAGAAGCAGCCAATACTCCGCCAATTCCATAACTTAACGGTAACCCCTGGCTGGAACTTTACAGAGAACGGCCCTGATGAGAAAGATCGAAACCTGCTCCTCGAATACGACACTGTCGTAGAAGAAGTCAATAGACTACCACCCCAGTACGTTCACATCTTTATTCACGCTCTTCCACCTAACACCTACCACAGATACAAGACTGTCATTCTTGACATCTGTCAGAAAATGGAGAACGGTATGGCTGATTACGCACATAAAGCCGCAACCAACGGCACTGTTTACCTCGAGACTATTGCGGACTATGACCTCTATTGCCACTACGTCGCAGGCCTCGTAGGTGAAGGCCTCACTCGCATTTGGTCAGCTTCAGGCAAGGAAGCGTCTTTTCTTTGCGATCAACTTGAGCTAGCAAACTCTATGGGCCTTCTCCTCCAAAAGACCAACATTATCCGTGATTTCCGGGAAGACGTCGAGGAGAGACGCTTCTTTTGGCCTCGAGAAATTTGGGCTAAATACGGCTTCAACGAAATGAAAGATATGTACGAGAAGGGTGACATTGAGCGTGCCACGTGGATACAAAGCGGTATGGTTCTTGATGCTCTGCGACATGCATGCGATTCTTTGGACTACCTGCGCCTACTCAAAAACCAGAGCGTGTTCGTGTTCTGCGCAGTCCCCGTCTCCATGGCAATGGCTACATTGTCACTTTGCTTCATGAACCCAGAAATGTTCCAGCGCAACATCAAGATACGGAAAGCGGAGGCTGCTCAAGTACGTCATATTCACCTATAATTTATTTAGGTATGCTGACACACCGCAGCTCATTATGCGGTCAACAAACACCAGAGAAGTCGCTTTAATCTTCCGGGAGTACGCACGGAAGATTCACCACAAGGCCAAACCGCATGATCCAAACTTCCTCAAAATTTCAGTGATGTGCTGCAAGGTACTTCACACGCACCCTCACATAGTTCGTCTATGACTAAATATCATTATTCAGATCGAGCAATGGTGTGAACAAAATTTCCCTTCGTTCGTTATACTCGGCGAAAAGGGGCCGATATACGATTCTGCAGACAAGAGAACGGCCGTCTTCAGAGCAGAAGAGAAGAGGGCAGCGCAGCGTCTTGCTGCTGATCCAAGGAACGCACCCCTGCCTCAGGACTTGTTCCCATGGGAGCTGGCCGCCTATGTCGTTGGCGGAATGTTGATTATGCTGAGCCTAAGCGCTCTTATCGTGTGGGTCATGCTCAAATTTCTTCCACAGGCATAAAGTTTGGGATACCGGACTCTCGCATTTGGCATTTTGATCTTGGAATATGCAGTAGACATCATACCCCTCAAACTTACCATTACCATTAATGGACTGGCTTTGTGATAACCGTTGCCACTTATATATGTGTATCCTGTCGTCGATAGTGTTGAGACTGGTGTTGCATGGGACGAGACATGAGAATTACGAAGCTACTTCCGAGCCACAAATGACTAGAGGATGTAAGACCTTGTCTCGAGTTTGACGGCGGGCAGGCGATCGAGTGAGCATCGAAGAGTTTGTTATGAGTGTAGTGTTCGAGCCCACATTCTTCAAGCTCCACTCGAGCAATCTGTGCCATCTGGCTGAACAATTAATTGTGATACTTTGAAAGTTTGAACTAATAACATGGCCCGGGAATCAAACTTCTTGGTTCGCCGAATTCGAGTTAGCTATGTGGCGATTGCGCGACATGAGCCCACCACTTCAGAAATTTCAATCTTGTCCGCTCTGGGGCCAATCATAGATTGAACAAGCATAATTTTTTTGTACATCGTATCATGATAGAGGAACTTGTCATTAATCCATCCATATGGGACTGGAGTCGATGAGGAGTTGGTATTGTTAGTTATGACGCTATTTTGCCGGGTCGGGTTAACTATGACATTACCTGCTGTGAGCCAACTGGCAGGTTTTTCTCAGCGAGGTAATAGAGAAAGCACGAGAAAACTTACGGGGGGCATTAATGTTGTGGTAGAATACTAGTAGGTCTAAGTTGACTCGACATGGGCAGAGTAATATACGACCGCCCTTCCCGCGTAACTTTCACACGCTGTAAACCAGAGTCTCTACGCTATTTATATTAGCATCTGTGCGAAACACTGTAATTGGCGAGAGCCGCAGGGCATAATTTGCTGCATTGCAACAGCACAGGATACCAGTTCGCTCTGTTCGTCTGTCAAGTATTCGTCGTTTGCAAATAATCGCGGACGATGTCTCGATTTGTTCGTGCATCTAAGTATCGGTGAGCACATGCCCAAGATTGCAGTACGCCGAGAGACTGATCGCGTCTCCCACAGCCATGTCTTCGGACAGACAGCAAAGAAAGAACATGGATATGACAACGTGAAGGTCTCCGGCAGCGCATGGGACACGAATCTCGTCTCTGCTTCTGGGGTGACCACTTTCCCTCTTCACGTCTGTCCTTTGCTGATGTACCTCCCAGCGATACATTAGCGTTAACTGGAATGCATCCGGAGGTGGCGCATTCGCAATACTTCCCCTCCCCTCCCCTTTTGCAGCTGTCCCAAACTTCCCGTACAAACTTCCTGATGTTATTCCCCTCGCGCGCAGTCACACTGCCCCCGTCCTCGACACTGATTGGTCCCCACATAACGACTCCATCGTTGCCTCGGGTGGTGAAGACGGCAAAGTCATGATCTGGAAGGTCGAGTCTTCCGCTTTCGAAGGCTGGGGCCAGGATCATTGGGTACCAGAAGACTTTGACCCTGTCGCCCGCATCGATGCATCACCACGCAAGATCGGCCAGGTTCTCTTCCACCCCACCGCGTCTAACGTCCTCGCCAGTGCGTCCAGCGAACACACGGTTAAGCTTTGGGATCTTGCTGATACCGATCGCCCACGCTCTATTCTCACTGGACACAACGATACCATCCAGTGTCTGGCCTTCAATCCTACCGGCACGCTTATGGCCACGACCTGTAGAGACAAAAAGCTTCGTCTATTCGATCCTCGTGCAGGGGGTGAAGCCGTTCGCATCACTGAGGCGCATGGCGGTATCAAAGGCGCTCGTGTCGTGTGGATGGGCGATCTTGACAAGATCGTGACTACTGGCTTTAGCAAGATGAGTGACCGTCAAGTCTCCATCTGGGAAACGGGAGGTCTTGGAAATGTCAAGACGATGACTATTGATCAGTCTGCTGGTGTCATCATGCCTTTCTGGAGTGACAATGGCATTCTTTTCCTGGGTGAGCGCGTCGCATGTACTTAGGACTCGTCTTTTCTCATATTATTGCTTCTAGCTGGCAAAGGGTAAGGCAGAGTCGGATGCGTTTGCTTTTCTCGGTTAACTTAAATCCAATAGCGATGGAAATATCCGGTATTACGAGTACGAAAGTGACTCGCTATTCGCACTAGCAGAGCACAAATCCCCAGATCCCCAGCGGGGAATCTGTTTCCTCCCTCGTCGTGCCCTTAACGTGTCGGATTGCGAGATTGCCCGTGCGTACAAAGTATCAGGTTCATCCGTGGAACCCATCGCTTTCATTGTGCCTCGCAGAGTAAATATTTCTTGAAACGCTTACAATAGCTTCACTGACGTCATCATCAGGCGGACTCATTCCAGTCCGACATTTACCCAGCCGCGGCCTCGTCAGAGCCCTCTCTCTCAGCAAGCGAGTTTTTTGCTGGAAAAACTGCCGCATTGAAGCTCGTTAGTCTCGAAAACGGTGCTGTGTTCAATGGTGCGCAATCGGCGTCCACACCCTCAGCGCCTGCACCTGCACCGACACATGTGCCCGCACCCACTGCGTTCAGTGCACCTCCGCCTGTCACCAAAGCTGTCACCATGCCTACACCTGTGCCACAAACTCCAGTCGTATTAAGATCTGAGTCGGCACCAGCGCCTCGACCCGCCTCACCTATCTCAGAGTCTCCAGCCATCCTCACTCCGCCAACGCAAGTTAATGATGAAGTACGTACTCTTGGTATCAATCTTGGATTACGACGTTTAAGCTATGTGTAGGGACAGACTACTGTATTAGAAGCTGAAGTCGATCGGCTTAACGGTGAGCTCCGCGCCGCACGGGAAAAAATCCGCAACATGGAGTTGCAGGTCGAGGGCCTGAAAGCGAATGCAAGGAAGGCAGCTCAGGCTTTGATGGAAGCGTGAGGGCCAGGTTTGTGAGACTCATGCGGTTGAAAGTAAAATAGCACCTAATGAGACTGGAGTGCTTGTGGTGTAGATTGATGATCGTGTACTTAGTCATTACATCTTGTATAACCTACGTTTTAGTGGACATTTGTTTCCTTTTGGATTTGACTGCTGCACAACGTCACCGTCATTGACGGTTTGTACGGTGACTGTCAACGGATACGGTTGCCATACCGGTATATACAGTGTACGGCCAGACCGTACTGTACAAGACCGTATTCCATACGGCCGTCAACCGTATTACCTTTACGGTCTCGGAAAGGGTGCCGGTTTATCCGTAACTTCTTGCCCTGGACCGCCATGTCCTGCAACGACAACGACTGCAACGAGTCTGACGGCTTGCTGCACACGCTTCACACTGATAGAAGCAGTACTTTCCGTATGTTCCTTATAATATACTACTAAGGCTAGTTTGTCTCTCGTATTTCTGTCCTCGATCACCAATCTTATCTCGCCATCAGTTCTGTCATCGCCCGTCATCTCTGCCATCACCCACCCGCCATCTCTGCCATCGCCCGCCATCTCGCTGACCGCTTGCTATCAATTGCCCATCTCGCCAATGCCCACACCTCACGTCCATCTTCAACACGACGCCTATCTTCAAGTGCCACAGACAAAGTGTCCTGTCGTTCGAGTCCATAACCATCCGTCGTTTATTGGGGAACACCGTGACTGCTCACGCCTTATTTATGGCCTCTAAACTCTCGCAGGGGTGTAGTGATTGGAATGAGCGCCGATATTTTACTGCAGGTTGATGGCTTTGGGCGCGGTTGAGGTGGAGTTGGAGGGATTGTGGGTGTTTTTCTCTAAGTTCTAGAGGTGCGTGTATTGTGCGTTTTATGCTGCATCCAATCGAGCAGTCCATGCTTCGTGCTGCTCGAATCTGACTATCTATCCAGCATAATATCGTTGTTTCTCGCGTCGAGCAGCTACTCCAGCGCATACCATCTCACTCCTTCGAACGGATGCATATAGTTTACTGCAATATTCTCCGCGCGTTAGTGCGTTGTTTGTGGCATACCTTGAATGAACCTTCTACTGATCATTACATAGTCTCGCCTGACATCACGCTCTCACCCGTGCCACCTATTATTCCGGCCCCAGTGGGTGCGAACATCAATTCCGTGGAGGGGCGGTTGGTCATGATCGAGGCAGGTTTGACCAAGCTGAATACCGTCATCGAGAAGCTTGAGGGAGAACATGAGGCCCTGCGACAAAAGGTGCTTCCTCAACACCCCACAATCCTGCTCTCACATGGCCCATCCCTACCTCCCATTTAAACTCCAAGGTCCAATGAATCACGCCCGATCCCACCCACAATCCTCCCATCCGCAGACCCCAGCTCATCCGTGATGGTAACACTGACTCTTCAGGCCGATTAGTGGTGACCGAATCCAGCTGCCATGACATATTCATGGATATCGGACAACAGAACCATCTTTTTATTTTAGTGTTTGCAGCGTTACTCACGCCATCATGTGCACACAGACTATTGGATTATAATTAATGCTAGTATCGACCAATGATTCTTTCTTTATCCGCTAGTCTTCACTTTGATTTTCGCTTCAAGTCGCTAACTCATAAGGCAAATGTGGAGGTACAGGATCCTGGACCGCCGAGCACAATGGCTTATCATAATACTGCAGTATATGTATGCCTCGCATTCAGATTGACATCGCTTTGCTTCTCATTGCCTCATGACGCTAAATAATAGCCACATTGCGCCCGGGCATTGCTATTTTCCCATCTCATTCAGACGCAATAAGAAGCTACACGACGTGCATTCCTTCGTGCGCCACACTCATTTTCTGCCTCCTGGCCCAATGCAGACAGGGTATTCGGCAGACGATTTCGTAGCGGCGAGGAGTTTGCAGGTCAGCACGGTGCGTTCCATGTCAGACCCGACAGTCATTGATAATAATGGAGAACCCATGTGCTGCCAGTACATATACGGTGCGTACTGTCTGCGCTGCTTCTTCTTTGTTCTAACATACCTCAGCATCAATGGCTACGTTCTGGGTGTGCTTGTTGCGAGGTATTTCGGTCTGTTATTAAACTCTGTTTGTCAGATCTACGATTATACTTGTTCACTTCATCAGGAGGTAATGCACTCGTTCAGCCTCACTTGATATATTGACGATAATAATTTGTTCATAGTGGATGTTCTTGCTTCGGTCACGCTGGTCCATTGTGAAAGGCCTTTATGTTGTCACACGATATGTGCCTTTTCTCCTCTTCACTGGGCATCTGTATAGTGTGTTTCAGCGCCTACACATATTATAAATTGACATGTAGTGCTTCAGTGAACTTCATCTCGAACGAGAACTCTGATGTATGTGAATGCTCGGTGGACTCATTGGCCGATCAACGATGCTGACTCCATGACTTGCAGAAATGCCAGTTGTTGAACACTATTTGCTCATGTATGTCTGTCGTGTACGCACATCCTTGCAGAACCCAACCCTTTGCTCTCGCAGGCTTCAGCTTTATATCAGTGTCTTGTTCTGAATGTATATCTCCCTTCCCTACAAAAGCCGTGTGATCCTGATCACATTCACACAGGCTTTTTTCTCCTCAGGACATATGCGCTCTGGAACAACAACAAAATTGTGCTCGCAACTATGGTGGCAACCTTTCTTGTGAGTCCCACACTCTCACTGCACCATGAGCTTGTGGATATATATTTGTCAGGCTGTCGGCATATCGTCCATAAGCTTTGCCTTCGCCACTACTGCCACCGCACCGTGTACGCGCGCCTAACTTCACTTCGGTGTTCTAGTACCGCTATTCACACTCCACTTTCACAGGGAAAACTAGCGCAATCCCAGGCATCACAGGCTGTTATCAGAGCTCGGCTATCGTCCAGCTCTTCATACCATTCATTCTCTTGCTTGGGCTTGAATTTGGTGTGTCGCCAGGAATAGGGAGTATACATCTACATAGACACGCACTGATTGACGCTCTCCAGGTCTCATGTGCCTTACGCTCATACGCGCTATCCTCAGCTGGCGGTCCACCAACAGCCATCTGTACACTGTCCTGGTGAAGCATAACATATTCTACTATGCATGCGGTCTCTGTGAGTCAAGACATACACATATTTTCAGGTCATTTTCCCGTGCTCATCGAATAATAATTCTCATTCCGAAAGTTTTCTCGACGGTGAACGTCCTCACATTGCTGCTATTATATATAGAAACTGTACAGGGGTTCGGTTATATCTATGGTTATGTTAGCCCCAAGGCCCCCAAACACAAAATGGTCAGGTGTTCTATTTAAATTTACCTACATAAATGGTAAAACAACCCTATAAAAGAGTGATTTCTACACCTAAGATTTGATATCTACATTGATTTGTATGCAGGTCTGTGGATAGACCATGTAGCGAGGGCGGACATTACATGAATTATATTGCAAATATAGTATATACTGATATATACATGGTATCTACATTGATGGGGAGTAGAAAAATCAGCGAGCCAATTATCGATTAAAATCTATCATTAGTTCAGCTACCAACACATTGCCATACCTTGTCACCCAGTCGACAAAGTGGATGCCAGCAAAAAAAGCCAGGGGAGGAGGAGGAAAGAAAGCTAAAGTAAGTGTAGGTCATTAAAGAATTCGAAGGAAGACTCACTGATAATGTTGGGAAATGATTGAATTTGATTAGGAGGATGAGGCGTCGGTATTGCATATGAACGACCGACCCATCGAAGCGATGATTCCGAAGACAGACCTTGCGAAAGAAACGCAAAAGCTCAACAACCAGGTGGCCAAATGCAAAGTGGGGATCGCCTGGGTCAATCTTCTTGCAATTGCAGGAAGGCTGAAGTTTGGAGTGTACAACAACAGGCCTGAGAATGAGACTGAAACGAAGAGGTTAGTAGAGTGCTTCGAGAAGTACGGTATAGTATCAATGAAGGAGATATCCGCGATACCGCTGATCATGAAGACATTGCGTCTGAAGGATGTGAAGAAACTCACCAAGACTTTCAATGAACCAGAAGAGATCATCGAACTCGAGATGAACGATCTCGATCCCATCATTGTCGCATCTGGGCAACATCAACTTGCCGCACTATGACGATACAATCAGTCGCTGATGGACGAATACTCAGTGCATGAGAAGAAGTGGGAGAAGATACGTGCCCTGAAAAACGTCACCCAAGAACACATCTCAAGCTACAACGAATGCCACGATGAGATGTGCCGTTTGAAAGGGCTACTCCACGGCAATGTGAAGTGGGGTGTCATTATATACGATGAAGGTGAGTGTGAGTTCCGGACTCGTCTATAGTATAACGGCAGACGTACCGATCGATACGTCCACGTTAGTCAAGAGGTCTATGCGCGGACGACACACGCCTCGATGCTAACACGTCCGCACTAGTAAGGAGGTCTATGTGCGGACCTACAACGCCCTTTCCTATAACAACTATCAGTTAAATGACATAGTACTAACGATGTGCATACCAGACAAGTTACTCGAGAAAGGGACGACACTGGCGAACCACCTGAGCAGGAACAACGCCTTGCATGAGTATAAGGAGACTGAGGAAGAGGTGTTGATCACCGTGTTCAAGAAAGTAAAGGCAGTATTCGACAAAGCACCATCCGACAAATGCAATGAGCTGGCGATCGCACATTTGCTGGAGATTCGTACGCAACAGGAGAAGAACGCACGTCTGCACAAGGTGCTGCACCAAGACCATATGTGCACGTTCCTTGCGACGCGTTTGTTGCAGCTTGGCCTGCACTTCAGGCATCGCCGGGAGTATATGGTGAACTGGCTTGCTAAGAATATTGACGTTTGCATGGGTGTGAGTTCATTTGTTTATGTATGAGGAAGGGACTGCACACTCACGAATGCAACAAGATATATTTACAATGGATTCAGATGTGCGCCACCGTTTTCAAGCACTTGAGCTCGAAGGCCCTGTTCCCAAGCTCTGCTGAGGTGTCAGAACTCCTCGACAAAGTCGACGCACGCGATGCTCCTGCGATGGCCAGGGTAGCACAATTACGCACGTCACTTGAGGCACCCGTCAAGTCGAAGGACGAGCAAGATCTTTCGATATGGTCGACCGTGATGGACACCCTCGACAAGCATGCGTCGTTCGCCTTCAACGACATGAAAGATCACATCGGGGAGATGACCCCAGCGTATGTCAGGCGTCTGAGCTCATACCGCCAGAGCGTGGTGAAATCACTGAAAGATGCGTGGGGACTCACTGAAAATGAGGACTTTGAAGGAAACGAGATTCTGGCTCACCTCGATCGAGTCGTCACACAGGTCCTGCTTTATCTTACGCCTGAGCAAGGCAAAACACACGCTCCAGAGCCGCTACTGTGTGGATTTCTCATGAACAACGCATGGGACTCGTTCGTGCGCATCAAGGACGGACTTCAAGAGGTGAGTGCATTATTATTTCGTCATCATGAAGCAAAGAACTCACCTGGATTCTCAAACGAAGGTCTGTCGTTGGTTCGAGACGTTACTCGATTACTATCACAATCTGCATCCGAAGATGCATGCTATGAGCCCCTTCAGGGTCCGGCCAGCCAGCAAAAAACGGCATTCCTAGGTTTTCCCACGGTCCGAAAAAGGCCAGATATTCAATATGGCGCTCCAGGACTGCCGCCCGCAGCACCGGCATCCCTCCCACAACAGCCGCATTCTTGCAAAAAAATCACCCGGCACTCCAGGACTGCCGCTGCAGCACTGGCATCATTATCCACCACGCCCTCTAGGACTGCCGCCGCAGCACACTGATCATCGAACGCCCTCCCAGACACAGTTCTCCAACAAAAAAAACGACCCTGTGCACGGCGGCATTCTAGGACTGCCACTCACAGCACCACTATCATCAACCCCCCATGCTGACCCCTCTTGAAAACAGTTCTTCACCAAAAAAAAAAAAAAAGACCCTGAACTGCCACCATCATCATCATTGATCAGCCCTCTCAAATGGTTCTCTGCAAAAAAAAATGGACCACACGTGCAGTGGCATTCTAGGACTGCCACTCAATGCACCATCTCCCTCAAACTGTTCTTCACAAAACAAAACAAAAAAGACCCTGCATGCAGTGGCACTCTGAGACTGCCACCTGTGCACCATCGTGATTGATCTCTATTCATACCAATGTACGCGCAGCAGCGCTCTGATATTGCTGCCCATGGCTAGACCATCATGCTTGCTAGCCCCTTCAGTGGTTCTCTACAAAAAATTGACCTCTCACACAGTGGCACTCTAAGACTGCCGCCTGTGCCACCATCGAGAATGAACCCCTCCAACTGTTCTTGACCAAAAAAAAAAAAGACCCTACATACAGTGGCACTCTGAGACTTCCACCATCTCTTCCACCAGCATATGTACCCACAGCAGCCCTCTATAATGGTTCTTTGCAAAAAAAAATTGACCCCACACACAGTGGCACTTTCTGGGACTGCCGCTGTTGCACTATCATGAATGAACCCCCCAAAAAACTATTCTTGACGACAAAAATACCCTGCACGCAGTGGCACTCTGAGACTGCCAATCATACATACTGACCCCCTATACGCAACCCTCGATGGCACCATCCAATGATTTTGTTATCAGCATCATAACATGGTGACCCACCAAAAAACCCCTGCATGCAGTGGCACTCTGAGACTGCCACCCATGCTACTTTATCATACTTGCTAACTAACCCTCCATGGTTCTTTTCCCACAAAACATGTAGCGCTCCCTTGCATACAAAAAATTGTGTGCTCCAGAAAGGCTGAAAGACTTGCCCTCCCACGCAACAAATGACCGATTTGTGTGACACCATAATGGGGTCAAAAAATAGAATGTGTTGGAGGGGGGTTAGAAATATTGCTTGGATGACTAGAGCGACCAGAAAGTCCCTAAGATAGAGCCAGAGATATAGCCTTTAATCCCAAGACTCGCGGTTGACAAGAGACATCACTCAAGTCCAGGAGGAAATGAGAATGAGCGGGAACCAAGCCGATATTCAAAACTGAGGATGTATAGAGATAATATATGAAAGAAACATCAGTCAGTGCGGTCCAAGGCTATGTGCAAAGCATATGGACAGTATAACAAAGTAAAATCAGAGAAGAATCAAGTAAAATAGGGAAAAGTCTGACAGGCACATAAGGCCTAGACATGCTGTCGCCATCTGTGACCATCAATGCATCCTCACCAGTCTGGGATGTAAGAGAGTCCATTGCACCAGGAGATGACTTCCAAGTATCTGGTACACATTAGTTAGCATATCTAATTGATTTCTGAATGCACAAGCAGCAGATGAATCGTGAGAAAAATTGTGCATATCCCCACCTATTTGTCTATTACAAGAATAGTGGACAGTTTCTGAATTCTGAATAAAATCACAAGTATGTATGAGGACCAAATTCAGAGTAGGTTTTGCAAAAAAAAAAAAAAAAGGGGAAATTTGTTTTGTAATCTGCACATTCCAAAATAAGATGCCTCCAAGGTTACATTTGTTCACGACATGATGTTTTCAAGTCTATAATGGAGGATCCAGTCACATATCGGGCTCTTGAACCAATACCACCACCATGGATGATTTTTCCCACGCATTTTTGCCAGGCAAGGTCGAGTTTTGCTAGCTCACAGTCCACCACTGGGCCTTTATTAAAACAAGCTCCCCTCTGAACCCACCCATGCATATCAGCTGAATGAACATGAATTCCCCATAAATAGCCATCAGAGAATATACCCCGAAAACCTCATCAACCGAACCTCATACACGCCCCACCCACAAACACACATAAGCACGCATCACAACTCAAACACATCTGAACCCCATTATACTAGATAAGACACCTATCACACCCTCGACGCGAGCCCACAACGACTAAAACCGCCAAAAATTAACAAAATGAGGCAAAGGCTATGCCTGAACGTAAAAAACTAACAACGCTTAAGTCACATATCAAATTTAAAGTCTGCCCAACCAGTAAACCCAAAAAAAAAAATTGTTTACAATTTGTAGATATGACAAATATATGTACGAGTGGCCCTCTGAGTACCCCACTGAGAGGCTCACTCAATTTGGTGGACCAGTACTTCTCGATTGATACATTGGGTAGTATACAGTGGCTCAAAAAATTGTCCTAATGTTTGTGAGTTTTCATTTGCTTCATTGTGAGTCAGGGCGTGGGAATATGACTAAGCTATAGGGAGGCGTCAGAAGGCTCTGCTTCTTTGCTGTGTCTTTGTTCCCTATCAAAGACTTCAATATTTCAATGACAACTGCAATGACTATGTTGACTTGTAATTGTAAAGTAAAGTACTGAGATGGATGGAA